TCTCTCCTTCTATCTCGTGGTTATTTCACCCTCACAGTAACCTTGCTTATGCATATTGCATATGTAAATAACGCAACCCACCTCTGAAGTAATCGGGCGCATCCACTACAGAGCGGCATATTCCAGCTCGATGTTCGAAAGTCAGAACTGCAAAGGAATATCAGATATTTGTGTTAACAAAAAAAAAAAATCTAAATCAACAATTGCAAATGGATGCATTTCAGTTTTAGAGTTGAGTTAGGTTTGTGTACATTGTTCATTTAAAATCAAGTCACATTAAATTTAAAACCACTCAAAATTATTCAAAATCATAATTTCAGTTTGGCACAATGAATTCCAAAAAGTGGACTTCTCACATGGTCAAAATTATGTCTGGAGTGTCTGTCAAGAACTATGCTGTATTCTCTTGTGATGTTAAACAGGGCTCTTATGCACGGTATGCTGATAGAAAGTGCGAGGAACGTGGGGAAATATTTATTTATTGTATTATTGCCGAGCCTTATTTAATGCAAATTATGTTGACACGTAACACGTCTTGCAAAACGTTTTTACCGGGCAAGTAAAATAAATACCTTTAAGGTCCACTATTGAATATATGTACTTAAAATCTCTTTCCACTGAATCGAGTCACATATAATTTATTTTATATTTTGGATTGTGATGTTATCGATGACTGCATGATGAGAATGAACCTTTCCTTTTATTTGGTTTCTTCACAACAAAAGTTTGCCCAACATGATAAATTGTAGCAGCTCTTTAGCTATTTATTATCTGTATTAGTCAAGTTCAAACGTAAAGCTGAACACAGAAATGTGTTTCCAGTGGGTACACCTCATAGTCCTTGTGCACATAATAACAGGAATAGATTAACAAAAAAGGTTAGAGCAAATGCTGGTGATACTTTTGCTTTTCTCAAATTCATGTGAGCAGAAATCTGTTTATTTGTGACATATTCAAAATAGCATCATCATCAAAATCTACAAGCTGTGGTCTCACTCCAATCAGTTTGTCTTTGTTGTTTTACCTTGTGGTATTTGCTGACTTTTTTTAAATGTCAAGTTTTGAACCTCGCTTTGTTACCCAAATGTATTTTGTTTGCGCTTAACATTTGTAAACAAAACAGTGATGTCTTGTATTCACCACCCGCAAAAGCAGGTACATTCACACCACTTCAGTGCATTTCAGACAAATGCTATGTCAACAAATGGGCAATACAAAGATAATAATACTCAAATTTGATTGACAGTATCAAATTTACGATATTAATTTAACAATATGATCATCGCTGTTGTGAGGAATACACAACCCTAAGGCCGATGTCTCACACAGATAAACACTATATTATTGATTTTATTGTGTCTTGCTTCGAATGAGTAGAGGTAGAAAATTAGAAACAACTATGAGAATGTTGCAGTGCAGTTTTATACCACTCCAACGCACAACCACATTAATAAATCCACAGTAATATCCCAGTCAATGTCATTATCTCATTCACCTCACAGCAGTATCCTTGTAAAGCACAATTTTCCATACAATTTGAGTATTTAAACTCATTACATGGTGCAGGTGTGAAGTGCACTGTGTGCGTATATGAATATTTAGCTTTCTATATTTAGGAATGTAATTCACTTTTGGCCTTTTGACATTATGTACTTTATGAATCATAGAAAGCATTCAGCAAGAGGGTTTTAATTTATGTTGCCGGGCCCTTTGTGTTACTCTGTCAAACTGTATTTTATGGCATACATGGCAACTTTTACTGTATCACATTGTCTTTTGCACTGGTATCCTAAATGCAGCAAAGCAGATGTCGAAACAGTGGCCATTTCCTCAGCCCCTACCTAATGACATTCTTGTTTAATATCATTAAAGATGTGTGCTCAATTAAGACAATTTGCCCACCGATACTTTTTCATGAAGTGCTGAAGCAACAATTCCATGCCTTGCCGCACATTTGTATCAATCTGCTCAGCGCATTTTATATTAGACTCCTGCGAGAGCGCATACATGCCAAGCTCCAGTTGACACTATTATCGGAGCATGATAACCGTAATAGCGGCTGTCCCCCTCATTCACCTTTTTTGGCAGCAAATCAAAGTAACATCCAGGTGTTCGGCATGATGTCAGCCATCTGCATGTACGCACAAGCAGATGTGGGATGACAGATAATATCTCTACTAAGAGCTTTTACCTCACACCTCTGAGTTCTGTCACAAGGTTTGTATTATCAGAGGCAGTCCGACAGACATCATCGACAGGTCCAGACTGTACAGTCATGATTTACTTTGTAATTTACCAAGCCGATGCCGAAAGGAACATGTATGTACAATCATGAAGAACACCAAAGGTGCACTTTCACGGTATCGAACGCTCCTGTTAACAGCTGTATCAAAAACGTTGCTCCTCCCATTTAGCTCAGCCAGAACCAAAATATCAAAAAGACTTCTCACACATGATGCAGCGCAGGTCTCTGTGCCATTATAAACTTCAACCAATAAAGTAAGCAACAGTACAAACTGCATACATTTCAACACCCCTTAATTCTAAACTCAATTTGACTAGTTTAAAAAATTATGGGTTGTACATACATTTCAACACCCCTTAATTCTAAACTCAATTATGGTTTGTCAATACATTGTGTGTAACTGGTGGAGTGCCTCACTTGCCTAACTTCTGCACACAGCGTGGCTTCAGTTCACACTGTGTTAATGTCAATGCAAATGGTTATCTATCTCTACAGTGGCCTACGCTAGACTGCTGACCAATCCCGGGTGTTATCTGCCTTTCGCCTGACGTCATCTGGGATCGATTCCAGCTCTCTGTGGTCCTGAGGTGGGATAAATGGGAATGGGAAGGGATGGAGAGATAAATACCCCTTCCTGTTATACTGTCGTCACTCCTGTTTTCCTCTTTTGTTTCGATATACACTATTTACTGTATATAAGCTACTACATGATATTGACCCTACTACTGTATGCCACAGTATACATTTAACTATACTATAATGTACTATACTATACAACACACTATTGCACTACAATCCAAGCACTATCTTGTTTAGAACTTTAGACCATCAAATTAAAATGTAATCAAAAATGTTTCCCTAATGAGTTGCTAATACTTTAATGAGTTACCACTCATACATAAAGGCAACACTATTGTAATATCCCCAAGAGAAAAACGTGAAGGTGTTTTTTTTTTTCTTCATCCCGATAGTGTGACACATACATTAGCTAGAAATAAACACACACACAATCCGGATCCTATGGCCATGCATAACGAGTGACCCAAACAGTTAAGGATTCAATGTCCTGCTCAAGGGCACCTCTGCAGTTTTTCTTGGGAAGTAAAGTGGTATCTCTCCAGCCAGAAGCATGCGTTCTGCGCCAGCAATAGGACTGACCTGAACCAGTCAGTCTCTATTCTGTAACATCGGCAAATCTGCGCTGCATTCTGCTCTATCCAGCTCTACTACTGCAACTACTTCTAGTCAGTTTAGTCAAAGGTATTTGAGTTCATTATACACGAGAGGCAGTTGCTGCTTTAGTCCTCAATGAGATCCAATACTTTAGATTTGGCTTTTACAAGGATTATTGGACTGATTTAGCAAAATGTTATGATTGTGGTTTAGAGTGCTGCACAACTGCACTGCATCATATGGAGAGGTGTTTTAAAATTTACATTTAATACATGAGAGGAGCAAATTTTTAGAATATAAGTCAGATGCTGGACAATTCACAGTTCATCATCGACATTAATAAGGTTACTGTTGAAAAGAATCATCTGAAATTATCAATCAAAAGTGACGGCACAGCGGTAGACTGGTTAGCGCGTGTGCCTTTCTGCATGGGTTTTCTCCAGGTACTCCCACATTCCAAAAAACATGCACAGTAGGTTAATTGATCACTCAAAATTGTCCTTTGGTGTGATTGTGAGTGTGAATTGTTGTTTGTATATGTGTGCCATGCTTTTAGCTGGCAACCAGTTCAGTGTACCCCGCCTTCTGCCCGAAGACAGCTGGGATAGGCTCCAGCACGCCTGCAACCCTTGTAAGGATCTGCGGTTTGGATAATGGATGGATGGAAGTGACTATTACCTTATTCTGCTACTGGTCTATAAATCACTGAATGGTTTGGGCCCTGAATACATGATACAGATGCTGATTGAATCTAAGACCAGTATGGTTCTGAGATTTGCAGTCTTGTGTCAATTAGTGGAGTCCAGAGTTCAAAGCAAATATGGTGACACTACTAAAGTACTTTTGTTTCCTCTGCTTTGCTTCTGAATGTTGTTCACTTTTGTGTTTGGAAATGCTTGTTTGTGTTGTGTCTTTGCTTGTGTGACGCACATTGAGTTGTCTCTTGTATGAAATGGGCTTTATAAATAAAGCTGCCTTGCCGAGCCTTGCCTTACAAAGGCAGAATTCTTTGGATTCATTTATTGGATTGGATTTCATTTTGAAAGTGTACCTCGTGAAGTGTCTTCAGTTCCTATCTACTGGTGAGATGGTGTTTTTTTTTTAATTTTTTTTTTTTTTTACAAAACTGCATCAATCTCATTTTCCTTTAATAATAGTCTGAAACTGTATTGTGCTGTACTACTAGATTATCCATACATGATTAGTAGCCTGTAATGCAATCCTGCTCTATACTATACTGCATTTACTGTATATAGCAGACTACACGGTACCATACAAAACTTCTACTCCAAAATGCTATACAGTCTTGTCTGTGTTGTAACTATACTACTCACTTCAAACAATAGGTTCTCTTGTGTGTATGGCTTAATATATCCTGCTGTACTCAATGTGACCGTTAAAGTCAAGTGACTGTTGCCGCACTAACATTTAAAAAGCCTGGAACGCGTTTAGTGAAATGCAGTATAGCCATACTTATATGTGCATTCTGAATGAGGCATATAGTGATATTTGCGTATAACAGAAGCACCACCTCCCTCCCATTGGACGGCGCCTGTGTGAGGGCGTGGCAAGGAAATATGAGAGTTGCAAACCCATGCCCTTACCGAGTAGACATGGAGCGCCATGTACATGGTCTACTCGAACCAAACAGGAGTCTCAACTAGAAAGCTTGTCATTTCTTCTGTTAAAAAGGCAAAATATTTGAAAGACCGGAGGAGAAGAGCGGTCCTGTTGAGGATGGAGTGTGCTTTTGACGCACAGAATCTGATCTCCATTTCTTTGAGGAAAATCCAGAGCTCCAGGACGCAGCGAGGAGGCATAAAGCTCCACAAGAACTTGCTGGTAACGTACGTGCTGAGAAACGCGAGGCAGTTTTATATGAGCAAGAACTTGTCGCCGACGCCAAGGACGCAGCAGTACGAGGATGTCGCCGCAGCCCGAGAGACGCAAGAATACCTCGAACTGACCGGGAGCTTTACGGAGTTGGCCAATGACTTCTACTGCAACTTTGGCGGCATGGACTCGGACACTTGGCACTGCGGAGCTCCCCAGCAGCATTCCAGCTGCCAGTCTGCAGAGGTGGCGCACCAAGATGCGTCGGCGTGCGCAATGGTTCCTCCAAGTGACTCTGACCTCATGGTGTCGGAAAGCTTTTGGACTTGTGCGGACAAACCCGCTTGGGAGTCACACGCCCCAAGCTCACAGGTCAACCACAAAACTGTCCTGGATCTGGACACGCATGTGGTGACGACTGTCACCAACGGATACTTCCACTCGGACTGTTGCGCGCAGCCAAAACAGTCTCTGGGCGCGCAGTGGTACGCCAAAAAGAGACGGATTGACACGAGTTATCATATTGTTGAGCCAGAGTTCTATTTGTCTGACTTTGGGCCGGTGCCTTGTAAACGGCTGAGGACTGATGAAGATTCACATTCAGACTCAGAAACGTTGGACTCCACGAACATCTCCAACCTGATCTCGGTGTTGGGTTCAGGTGGACTATCTGAGTTTGTGAGTTGGCAGCACACGGACCTGGAGCAAATATTTGCCTCGCAAACTATTAGTTTAAAACACACATTGTTAACAGGCAGCGGTTGGACGCGAGCAATCGAAGCATTTTGATTTGTATGATTGTGGCTTTGTGCCGTTTTATTTCATTGCTTTCGAATAAAAGATGTCACCAATAAAAATCTGCTTCTCTCTGCTCTGTTATTAAATGCAATGTCACATCCCCTTCAATATAAACAAATTAACGTACCAGACAGTCGTAATAATAAATGGCATACATACACTAGGAAGTAATGCCTATATACATTCATTAAATTCATGTAGTGCGCTATATTGTTGGCGCGTCTGTAGTTGCAAAGTCTCTGGGTTGTTTACTGGCGAGGTGGTTTAATGCGGGATTCTTTGCAGCGACGCTGGAAGAGCTCCACCATGTGGCTAGTAACGAGATATACATTCTCACGAACTACATAGGTGTGCAGTGTTATTTTGGAAATATTCTCTAATATGTATCATTGGGCATACTGACCGGCACATGTATTTAAAACACAATTATGTTTACAATCATCTCTTGATATCGATTAAAAGGTTGAGCATTATTCATGACTGGTGTATAAAACATCAACATTAAAAACATTCGTCGGTTCCAAAAGATATGATAATTATGTTATTGAGGGAGAGGTTAATTTAGTTAACATTATTTGATAAATATTGAGTCGGCATCAAAGTCGAAAAGCAGGTATTCAAAGGGCTCGCAGTTGTTTTTACGCGCTGGGTCCGGGAGGTGGGGGGTGGTGGTACGAGAGGCTCAGAATAGACGCGGAGCGCGTCCTTGAGACATGACTGCTCGAAGCTTTGACATCTTTAAAGACATCAGCGCGTCGACCTGACAGGATGTTGGCCGTTTTTGTCAGAACCGCGGTGAGTGTATAGTGGGTTTATTTCGCAAGCGCTTGCATAAACTAAAGGTAAGGACAGTAACGTGTGTTTGTTTTGATTGCACTGGGACGGTTTGACAGGGGGTGGGGCGCAGCCTGCTCGGGACTGCCTGACACTATTAGCTTTAATATTACTCGTCTATCTTCCATCGATTCTTATTTGACATGGTGCCATGAAAATGAAACACAGCGCGTCCCTGTCGTCATTCATAATACTAGCCTTGCTTTCTTTTAGCAGGCCGTGCGTGTCATTAGCTTTGTGTTTGTGCAAGCTGCTAACTGACCGACTATTGCACCACCTGACGTTTTAAAGTTTTGCATCGATATAAACCGCGTGTTCAATACATACATCGTGGTTTTAGGTAACCATAAAAGACATTACGACGAGTCATACGAGTGATTTTTTTTTAATTATGACTTGTTAGTCTCGAAATAGAAGGATGAATAAACAATATCAAAGGGTCATCGCAGTCTATGCACGCATCATTTCCGTATTTGGGTTACGACGGCGTGCCAACTTCCGGTCGCTCGTTGAACGCAAAGTGATAACATTGATGGCATCAAACCAGGGATGGCGCTACACCGTGGCTCGGGGGTACTCCAGCCCCGTCAAAAATATATGTAGCCCCAATAAAGCCCCACAGCATTTTATATGATATTAAATACGCAGTATTTTCAAATTATTTTATCACCCCCCACCCCCATTGAATCGGTCAAGTGCCCCTTTAGCCCAGGAACAGAAAAAATGGTGAAGCAGCACGTCCATCAAACTCTTTATAATATGCTGGCTGCCCCCTGGAATTACATCATGTCGCCATAAATGACGTACACTATTGCCTTTCTAATTGCTCCAGTTATGCATGTGATGATGAAGCGATCAAAGCACCATATCTGATTTAATGAGCTGATTTATGATCCAGATGCAAAAGAATTGAGGTTATGAAAACTTAAAATGACAGCCAACAATCAAATAATAACAATGACCAGCATACACTACTAACTGCAAGATGAGAATAAATGTTCCCACTGCTCGAAAGTTTCCCAATCCCTGTGCCCAGAGTTTGCGACTCAACGGCCGACGTCATGGCTTTGCCAGCCGGGTGACAGAGGGAGAGAGAGAAAGAGCACAGCTCTGTGATGTGAGCGGGGTGAAATGGAGAGAGACGGACAGACTATGATTGCCGATTCGTTGTTGCCACACTGAAATTGTCTCGCCAAATTTATAAACTTGTCATCTCCTGCTCTACCAGCTCACTGGTAGAAGTGTTCAAATACAAATCTGAGTTGAATCGCTGAACATAATGGCCGACACGCCCCAGAATTGACTAGAGGAACTTCGGATGACGTTTCCACTTTGAAAAGCATCAGCTCCAAACTATTGAATTGGTATAACATAAACACACATTAAGACACATTGAAATAATGAGGTTATTTTTCCTCCAAGGTGTGAAACAAGCGAAGACCGGAAGCACATAACACTCCGCACCTTTGACCCGTAAATGCTTAATGGTGTTGCCTTCCACACACTGTAATCCATTTCAATTGGCAGTTTCCAAAATGGATGAATGGACAACTTTCATTAAGTGTAAAGTAGTCGTTGAAGGAGTAACTTTTGACTATTACAGGTTCTTTCCGAAATAGAACACAATAATACAAAAAGGTTTTGTGGTCTCAAAATATTATGTCAAAAAAACAAGCTTTGATGCTGATAACCACAAACTTTATTTGGCTATATAGATTTCTTACATGTGCCCATGTTTGTTTCACCATTCCAAATGTTTGAGTGTGTTAACCTTCTATTTCAAGTTAACATGGTGCGCACAAACACATCTGCTTTTCTGCTTTGTTGTTTTGGTGTCAGTTTTCACAATTTCACTAATTTATCCTACTGGAATGGAATTTGTAAACCCTTTGAAATGATGTTTACAGCACTAATACAAGCTAAATGATTGCAGACTGTTTTCTCTTTGCCAGACAAGACATATTGATTAATGATCGTCTGACATCAGTCAGACTTGTAGGCCAAATCAGTGCTAGTGTGCGTATCCAAATGTTCGATCATTTTTTGGCACACGGGTGACTCAAAAGAAGTGCAAGAGAGTCAAAATAGTTCACTTCTTTGTTTGTTGGCAGGTTTGTGCAAAATCTAGTCTGTGCGGCTTCATGGTCCAACGAAGTATCAATTGAGTGTAGTGTAAAAGTAGGTTAATGTGTACGTGTAAGATTTGACTATACTGTACAAGACATTATTCAACATTTATATGTGATTTTTATATGAATATTAGTTGTATGTATGGGTGTGAGGGCGTACAATCCGGATTGTTCAGCTTTGTCAGAAATCTTTCTCATTCTCATCAAAAAATGTCTTTTCCAGTTGCGGCCTGGCATGATGAAGCCATGCCGCATGCTCGGACACGTTACACACATTCAGGAGAGGTCCCTGGTTCACCAAGAGGGTTTGCCAAAGCTGCCTGTGCCACCCTTGAAGCAGACGTGTGATAACTATCTGGCTGCCCTGGAGCCAATTGTCAGTGAAGAGGAGCTGGAACACACACGGAAGTTAGTGGAGGAGTTCCTCAAAGGTGGCGTAGGAGAGCGCCTGCAGAAAGGTCTTGAGCGACGGGCCCGAAAAACAGAGAACTGGGTAAATGGCTACAGGACCGTAGCTCTCCTTTATGTTGCAGGTTTGAACTCACCCTTTATCATTTGCAGAGGTGGCAAAAGTGCTCACACACCGTGTACGTAAGTCGAAGTACACATTGCGAAAAGTAAAATGACGGTTATGTACGTAGAACAGAAATTCTACTGTCAATTGTATACAATGCCTATTTTGATACTGTGGTACAAAAGAACTTCTCTGCACATAAAATAGTTTACCTCCTTTTTTTTTTTTTAAGAAGCTTTCTGTTAACAGATACCTGAAAAATCTTCTTCGTAGCAAAGTACTTGGTTACTTCCCACCGCTGACCATTTGGTGTGTCTGCAATTAATACTTTTGTAATCTGAATCTGCGGTGCCCTCTCGGCTTTTTAATTCATAGCTGTCGGAGTGGTGGATGCAGTCAGCCTATTTGGACTGTCGGATGCCGGTGGCTGTCTACACAAGCCCCGGTGTTGTTCTGCCACGCATGCACTTCCACGATCGCCAAGGACAGATGAGGTGAGCCACCGGCCACAAACCACAGTTCGAATAGATTTCCACCATTTTAAACACAAGTGTCAATACAGAACGCAATACTACCAAATACTATGCTTCGTCAAGTTCTTCCTCCGCCATATCAGACATGAACCTTTATAGATAATAAATATTTTGAGAGGAACGATGTAAGCTTAGTGTAAACAAGTTCACATGCAGCTGGAGTTTCAAGCCGACCTTTACTCATGCTTTCTTCGCCATGCCGGCTATTTAAAGCGGGCTGCTCCTAGTATTGCTCAGCTGTTTTCAACTGCTGTGACCCGCGAGATATGCGGCGAACACGACGGCCACATGCAGCAAGAGTCTAGCAAGGATAGCGCATATGCTCCAGCAGTGCAGTGTTTTCGTTCAAGACATTATTTGTCATGCTTAATGTGTCAATAACACAAGTGGCATCTCCTCTGCAGGTTTGCAGCTAAATTGATTGCCGGAGTGTTGGAGTTTAAAAAAATGATTGACAGGTGAGTTTGACCAACCATTCCAAATTGTACAGTGGAACCTCAAAATTGAATACCCATGGAAGTCATGCTTCATGTACCTAAGCATGTCATACTAAGACCGCAGTTCATTGAGCATGTAATGATTACTTCTGCATGTTTTCCTCTTTCTAGGACACTTATTTCAAAAAGCACCTGCACCTTCCAATTGAGGTGTTAAAACAAAAGTCATCACAGTTTCACATTCCATGCAATCATGCTCCAGTTTAAACATACGAATCTTCACTCATTATCAGGGTTAAAACAGGATGCTTTGTTGTTTTTAATCTGTTTACATCTTTATAAACTTTTATGTTAAGAGTGTTAACTTAAGCTTCCCGCAATCAAGATTTTGGAGCTGATCACAGATACGATCAGAAGATGGACCACTCCATCCACTCTATTTAAATATTGTTTATTTACTCGACAGTCAGCCTCCACTATTAGCGGGGGATTAGACCGGGTCGGCCCACCAGTAGCACAATTTTGCCGATAATTAACGGCCATTAAAATGCATTGAGAAAAATAATATAAGAATCATCAAACCATCAATTTCTTGCAAAATCATGAAGGACCTTCAAAGTGTGGAAAATGATTGACCAATCGGCAAATTATGATGAAATAAACACAGGTTTGGCATAAAATGGCAAGTTTTTGCCTATTCGATTTAGCCAGTCAGATCTGTGTAAAGTTTATTAAAAGATGATTAATTTGAATCTCAGTTTTTTTTTTGTAGTCAAGCCTTTGTCGGCCAGTGGTTCACTCTTTTTACTGAGACTAAGATTAAAAGTGGTTGACTTATTTTTACACTTTTATGACAGTAAAAGTGAAGTTTTCTGTCCATTTGTGTCTTCTTGAAGTCGGATGAATCTTATTCTCATTCTGAAATGTTTTACCATGGAGACAATTTGACCTTCGAACAAATTGATACAATTTCCAATGGGGGAAAAAACATTTCTAAATCTCGACAAATCGAAAGTCAAGCATCATAGATTGTGTTGGCTGTCAAGGTTACACTGTTTCCAACTGTTTTAAACCAAATAAACATGGATTATCATGCAAAATAATTTGTTGATGCCTCACAGTGAAACCCTGCCAGTTGAGTACCTGAGCAAGAAGCCACTTTGTATGGACCAGTATTACCAGATCCTTTCGTCTTGCCGAATCCCAGGACCAAAGAGAGACACTGTTGTAAATTACGCAATTGGCAAAACGCCTTCCACTCACGTCACTGTAGTTCATAACTTCCAGGTACTCTAGATGGCACTGTTGTACTTCTCATAGATCTGTTGTCACGCTCAAAACAGAGTGAACTGATCCAGCCTGTTTGTTTTCCCTTGCAGTTTTTTATCTTGGATGTATACAACAGTGACGGGACCCCACTGACAGTAGATCAAATTTACATGCAGCTGCAAAAAATTTGGAACACCTCTTTGCAGACCAACAAGGAGCCCGTTGGTATCCTAACGTCACAGCATCGTAACACCTGGGGAAAAGCATATAATAATCTCATTAAGGGTAAGCATACACAAAAATGGCCTTCAGTCCACTTCAAAATCGCATCCCGATATTATCATCAAGAGCCATTTGTGTTTTTTCCTCACTCTGCAGATAAGACAAATAAGGAGTCAGTCCGTGCCATCCAAAAAAGTATCTTCACTGTATGCCTGGATGCTCCGATGCCTCGCGTGTCAGACGAACTGTACAAAAGCCGCGTGGCTGCACAGATGCTGCATGGGGGCGGGACTCGCTGGAACAGCGGCAACCGCTGGTTTGACAAGACGTTACAGGTGAGTGACTGTCTCTCCCATTGATCAATAGATACAAATATTCTGGTGACTCAGAATTGTCGTATGGATCATCCACAGTTTATTGTTGGTGAAGATGGTACCTGTGGACTGGTGTATGAACATGCACCTTCAGAGGGCCCACCCATTGTGTTCCTCATTGATTATGTTGTTAAGTATATGTAAGGTTACTTCTATTCTGTTTGGATGAACTATCTTCATTTATTCATTTTTAAATGGATTGGAAATGATTGATCATCTTTTTTTTTTTGTCACAGGCAGAAGACAGAAGTAGTCCGTTCCCCCATGGTTCCTTTAATGATGCCTCAGAAACTGCGTTTTAACATTACCCCTGAAGTCAAGAGAGACATTGAAAAAGCCAAACAAAATATGAACATGTACGTGTGTGTGTGTGTGCATGGTTGAAAGTATAATAACCATCTCGATTTGTCCTCGTCAAATATTTTATGCAACTTCTTGTTTTCTTTACGCTGTCAGAATGGTACACGACCTGGATGTGAATGTTCTGATGTTCTCTTATTTTGGAAAAAATGTGCCAAAGCAAAATAACCTGAGTCCGGATGCCTTCATTCAAATGGCTCTCCAACTTGCCTATTTTAGGTAAGGAATCACCTTTGACATCTAAATAGATGGTGCACAGTGATGGAGTGGACTCATGGTCAATTTGCCCAATTTTTGCATTTCAGGATGTATAACACATGTTGCGCTACATATGAGAGTGCATCATTACGAATGTTCAAATACGGACGAACGGATGCAATACGTGTCACGACCAAGGAGTCATTGAAATTTGTCCAAGCAATGCAGGACCCAACTAAACAGGTGTGGTTACTTGTTGGAATACAAAGTATACTCAGGGCATTGAATCACTCACAACTCAACCGGTCTGACTGACAATCTGTTCAATGTCCTGAGAATGCAATGACTTGTATGGATGAGAATATTTACAGTCTTGTTGCAATACAGCTTTCTCTCTATTTACGTTGTCTGACTGAGCATCAAATCTTGCCGACAGAACACTGAGAGATTAGCACTACTGCAGAAGGCTGCTCAGACACATAAGGAGAACGCATACAATGTGAGAACTCAAAATTGGAATATCAGAAGTATGCTCTTTATGTCAACTTGGCTCCTAAGCAACACTGTCTCTCTTTTAAGGCCATTCACGGACAAGCCATTGACAGGCATCTTCTCGGACTGAGGTTGCAAGGTATTGAAGACCTCACATCCATGCCTGAGATATTCATGGACACATCTTTTGCTGTGGCTCACCATTACAATCTCTTAACCAGTCAGGTATGGTCATCAAGATACAGTGAAGAAAGTCTTGCTAACATTTTTGAGAGTGCTGAGAGCGTGTTTAAAAAAAAAAGTGTGACTGCACTGTGATTCAGGCCTAACGATCTTCTGTTCTGAAAATGTGTTTTGCAAGAAGATGAAATGCAAAATCCTGGGCCAGAAAACAGGACTGATGCCGTGTACTGTATATGTATATAGCTGTGCTATTCTGCTCAAAGTTTATTGTGAAATATTTTTCATGTTGCACTCTTGTGTTAACAAGCTCTATAATTCAGTGTAAACAAAACGGGAAGTAATAAATCATTTTAGACACAGTATTATTGTGTCTATATACCTCAGAAGAACTTGTCTGGAAACATAAATGTAATGTTATGAAAGACCCGGTTATAAAATTATCTGGGATCATAATTACATATCTGATGTTTCGAACAAACCAATCCGTGTCAAAATCGGGAACGAGTTATGTTTCATTTATTCGAGCCAAATAATGGAAGGGACTCCGGCCGGTTCAAAATGGCGAGGCTCCCTCTAGTGGTCACTTGCCAGTATCTCTGGGGAAAGACAACAAGAAGGGAACGTCGAAAACTATGGGTAATGTCAGAAAACTGCCGGCAGTCGTCACCAAATCCATACAGACATCTATCTGCAGAAAATCTAAAATATTGGGGGATTATTCTAATATATGCAGTGGTTGAATTGGTCCTAAGTAGAGAAGTCTACATACATTTTTCTGAAAATTGCTTGCAGTTTTCTGACATCAAGCGGCGTTAATGATCGAACTGGAGATTGTTTTTCCACCTTACTATTTCCTTAAAAGGTACGATTTTGAGTAAAAAACGTTTTTAACGCACAGTAATTAAAAAAGATATATTGCAGCCACATGTCTGACGTCGGCGACAAACAAACTGCATGAATATCGCTGAGATCAGGGGTCTCCAACTTGGTGCCCGCGGGCACCAGGTAGCCCATGAGGACCACACCAGTAGCCCGCCAGTGCTAGGATTGTGATTTGCTCGTAGAAATTATGATTTAAAAATGCAAACATGGGCAGTATTATAGATTCTATAGCTACCTATTTAGCTATCTATCTAGCTAGCTATAGTATCTATCTATCTATCTATCTATCTATCTATCTATCTATCTATCTATCTATCTATCTATCTATCTATCTATCTATCTATCTATCTATCTAATGTTCTAATATTATTAAATATAATTTGTACAAATGTTATTTCAGACGTGTATCAATTTGGTAGCCCATCACACAATCAGGACACATGAAGTAGCTCTCACTCTCAAAAAGGTTGGCTTTGATATTCAGCAAGTTATGATGTTTTAAAGTGTGCTCATGTCCACGTATTCAATCAGAAATTAGTGAACCTCCCTTTAGGCAGGTGAAAGCTCTCTTCTGGTTCAACTTTACTTCCAGTGTATGCAACTCACGGCATTGCCAATATCCGTTGTGCATGATACGCCCAAAGCGTTAGGGTTTTTTTGTTTGTTTGTTTTGTTTTCCATTTTGCATTTGTGCACAAAATTGGAACTCAGAGAACAAGTCATTATAAGTTTTTTCATTTTGTTTTTTTGGAATGAATACTGACAAAACATGTATTTTTTTAAAAAAACTACCCGTTTTGTTTTGAACAACAAATGATACACGGATGACATAACTTCCTCAAAATTAATAAACACATAAAATATATATTTTTATGTAATCTCTTCTTTTTTACTATTGTTATGAAATTTGCAAATTTGGATATGATCATTTGGATATGATCCAACTAAAAATGTGTGTGGACAGTGTATTTTTTTAATGGAATACAAATAGAATTTGAATGTTCTGCTGATATAAGAACTTGCAGGAAAAGTTCTTAAATAATGTATTTTGACTTTCTTTTTGGGGTTGCATCTCATTTGTTTACTTATGTGTGAACCGTCATCTTCACCATGCCTGTTGGTTCCAGGTTGGTTCCAAGACCGACTGCGTGATGTGCTTTGGTCCAATGGTGCCAGATGGCTATGGAGTGTGTTACAATCCCATGGATGAGCACATCAACATCGCAATCACAGCTTTCAACAGCTGCGAAGAGACAAATGCAGCCAAGTATGCACAGACTGTAAATGATGCTCTGTTGGACATGAGAGCTCTGCTGGAGGACACAGCTTCAGCCAAGCAGTGAACCCACACACAAGCCTGCAGTGTTTTTTTTATTTTTTAGAGGTCCGGGGGTCCTGCCAGGCTGCGTGAGAGCTGGAAATTAAGCACCACTCGCTGACAAGGATCTGCAATGCACTGAAAGTCTGGGAGCGCAACTTAATTGTTTGTAAAGTTTATGAGGAGCTTGAGGCGGGACACTTTATTGAAACGAAACCGGAGTCTCACTGATAGAAATGATATATTTTGTTACATGATGTAGAATGCCTATATAAAAAACATTATGAACCAAATTTGCACATTGTACTTTTTAAATTTAACATCTAATTGAACCACAACATTCTGACTGCTCACTTACATCTACTTGCTCATGACAACCGCTAAGTTGGCTTTATCAGAAATATGTAAAAAAAAAAAAATCCTATTTAAGAAGAAATCAAAACATTTAAAAATTATACAAAAGAATATTCCGCTCTGAAGCTTCCCGCCGTACGCTGGTAATCTCCATGGAATTCAACCTCGGCCATATTTCCAGAGGAGTGCCATTGAAACAGTTGTGGGCCTTTAAACACTTTGGTCTTCAGCATGTCCGTGTCCCGGATCTGAACAACACACAAGACAGGTTGCATGAAAAAACACACAGGTGGATTTTTGCACAGAATTCCACGCAATATAATGGCTGAAGTGCCCACCATAATGTATGAAGAGTGTGAATTTGTAGCGTTGAATACCAATCCGATGTGCACTGCTTGGATTCTTATCTTCACCGAGGGAGGGGCATTGATCAGCACCCGACAGGTGTGGTTCGTGTCGGAGTTTGTTGGATTCTCAAATACCCCGCTGGAGGAAAACAGCTGCTTGTCACAATCTACGTAGACAAACATAAACTGCATTTTGTCAGTGGAAAACACATGTTGATCGAAGCATCACCTGATGAATGTAACCTGTGATGTTAAACAGCATACTGGAAATTTAGTTCATTTTGTCTTTTGTCTTCAATGAAACTAAACTGCACAATGTTTACTCACATTACATTACCCTACAAGAAGTGCAACAGCGATTCTGTCTTTGCAAAGATAATGTTCTGCTTTAGCTCAATGTAAAAGTACGGTAATTCATAAGTATTACATGCAAGATCATTTTCATGCCAATATTCATTCACTTCATGTGAAAAATGAATCAAAGTAAAATTAGCTAAAAGGAAATTTCTGTGCAGTGAGATATTTTAAAATCTGCATAACACTGTTTCCTGACTAACTGACCAAATATTTTCTAGAAACTTTACACGCGTGTATACTGTTGTTTTGTTTGGTCAGCTTTGCAGAGGGTGACTTGCGACTATACATCATACTTTGACGGTGGCTCTTTTTCGTATTTCTCTGTGAGCTGTAGGTGAACACGATGCCATTCCCTGAAGTGAGCAGATTCTGGCGCACAAGAAGGACGTTGGTTCTGGTGGTCAGCGTGCTGCCTCCTGCCTGCTCGCACTTCCTCACAAGCGCCAGTCGGTCAAAAAATAGAGCATATTCTCCTGTGGCGACACATTCAAGCAGTTACTTTTGGCCTTTTGCGTAAAAATACTATATATGAAGTTCAAGTCTAAACTGCATTTGCATGCTGGGTAACGCTCACTCTTTCTGCAGTTTAAGGAACTTGACTCGACTTTGACGTGAATGACCTCATCCAGGGGCCGGCCAATGGCCACCATGCAGGAACCAGTAATGTTGCTCAAGTCCACTGTGTCGGATTCTTGCAGGAGCAGCTCTCCACATGGATCTGGTGAGGAGCAAACACACGAGTGGTAAGCTGCCTCGAGCTCCCATGGAATGGAAGTGAAGAGAGCGATCGAAATGAATTACGGGGTTTAGTTGAAGGACTGGCTGCTCTCCTGGACTGCAGGATGGTGACTGCCTTAGATGGACTCAGAGGAAGATTACCCATGCGGTGCTGTTTTCTAATTGTATATGGAGTGTGAGACGGGTGAGAATCCTCTAAAGCAGGATGCATAGCTGGAGTGACTACTGAACTCGGTGGCAGATCCGTGCAGCTGTCCATGCTGCAGCCCTGGATGGTGATCGGCTTGGGTATGTGCATGCACAGTGGTGGGCTGAGGGGTTCTGGCTTCGAAGGGCCCATGCATGACACTGTTCTGGACTGGATGCCATATCCACAGGACACTGAACACTTCAAAACGAAATAGCAATGAGGATGACAATCGTCATAGCAGAGCACAATATGTAAATAAGCAACAATTGTATTCATAGCTTGTATTTTGTCTTTGTTATCATTTATTCTAATGATATGACCTGAAGACTCGTATTAAGCACGTTGGGGTATTAGTTAGCATGTGAGCCACACAGTCAAGAGGTTCTAAGTTCGCATTTTGACTCTGACCTTGGTATGTTCTCCCTGTGCTTGCCTGCGGTTTCTGTGGGTATACGCCATCTTCTGATTAAGACTCTAAATTGGCCATAGGTGTGATTGTTTGTTTATCTATTTTTACAATGTGATGCGTGTACCCCCTGCCTCTTGTTCAAAGTCATTTGATAGGCTCAAACTCAATGAGGCCAAGTGGTCGTACATATATTGATAAATGTTAGTGTTGATTTCCAGCAATTTTGATGAATGTACCTGGCTCCATGGCTTTGCTTCCCACCGAAAGGTGCACACCTGTACGAGGCATGGCACCGTGCTAGCAGGTTTGACTGATGTATGACATCTCTCTTCCAGCACCACAGTTTCCTTCCCTTGGACAAACTGGACACAGGACACATTCCTGTGAGCTACACCCAGGTTACAGGATAGAGAGCAAGGCGACGTACTCTGAACCTTCCACCTGAACACAAGAAAATGATGAGGAGGTAATGTTTGCATTGACAAAGAAAACCATTTTTAAAGAGTATTACCGGGATGTCTATTTTATGTCACCTTGCCGGGCAGTTGTGGGTGTTACATGGCACCACTGCTGTAGGTTTTGGAAGGTCCCTGCACTCAGAATCCTCCAGTACCTTCTCTTCTCCATCTTTCTCCTGAGCACAGTACAGCACTGTGTTGGCAACCCCTCCGCCACACGTTGTGCTGCAGATGCCTGGCTTAGATCGCCACCTGGTGGTGTAAAATGTTCTTTCATTATGTGCGTGTATGTTTCTACATATATGCCACTATTGCTACATTAGGATCATCATTCTCAATACTGAGGCATACCACAGTACCATAACAACCCACCACAATTGAATGATATCTATCTTTTATTTTGGTTTCAGCTTTCTGTGTGGTAAAACAGTACGACATCATACTGAGAGGTGTAACATTGCACCCAGTGCCTGAATACAGGTTATCTATTTTTCATGCAACGTCTTTTATTCCTTCATTGTATTTAATGCATCTGTCCGCTTCTGGGGGGGCCCTGAGTGACTAGCAGGGCTCAAGCAGCAGCTTAATTCACTCTGATTACAAACCTTTGTCTACCTCCACGACATAACCAATTTACAAGGCACACCTCTCTGTTTGATTCCACACCACTGCATGATCAACTATTTTTCCCCCTGCAAATGTCTTACATAGGAGGGCAAGGGAGTGTATTACAGTTCTCAGATTTTGGCGGAGGTTTGGTTGAAGGGTCACAGTGGAAATCGGGTACCATCCATGTGGTGTCATGGTCCACACAAGAGAACCACACTTGCATCGTTCCTACAGAAGAAGCATAGTTTGAGGGTCTGACGAGGACACATCACTTGTGAATAGAAGTGATTGCACATCTCTGCTTACCATTGCCACATGTCTTTGAGCACTGAATGATAACCGGACTCCACACAAACACGGGGGCTTGTCTCGAGCGTGGCATCAAGCCAGACTTTAAAGCAGGCAGGTCCTGTTCAACAAAAACAATCCTAAGACACACTTCGCACCTTAAAACAAGACAACACGGTCATGCGTTTTTTTTTTTTTTTGTGTTTGTTGGTTTGTTTTTTCTACCTCCCGCGTTACGTCCCACCCAATGGGACAGACGTCCACTACACAGGGCACAGATCTAGCAGGTCTTATTTGATTTGTGCAGAATCTTTCATCAACTTCAACTTCTTGGCCGTCTTCTTGCCGTACACATGACACGTTTCTTTTCATTTCTCCTGGCCCGCACACCGCTGAACAGTCCCCTGCCTCTGACACATGCCACCTTAGAACACAAATAGTATGTTAATTTTGGCATTGCTACCTGCTTTGATCCAAATGTCTTCTATCTATTGAGGCAAAAGGAGCAAACAAAATGAATCAATGTTTATTGTGCACATACTACCTGGCAGGACAAAGTGGAAGATGACATTTTTCAACAGCATTCGGAGCTGAATCAGCTGGACAGTCTGAATCCCGAACCCTCACAACATCCGCGCCATGTTTCTGTACACATGTTACAGAACGTATTCTCTCTCCTCTACCACAGGAAGAGCTACAGGATCCAAAATTTCCCGTGATCCATCTGCAAAGCGCCATATGAGTGTATTAGTGCCGCAGGACAAAACACGGTGGTGCTGTCATTTTCTCATACTGGCCTTGGTGGGCAGGCTGGGAGCTGACAGGATGTATGCTGTGGTAAAGGTGGAGGAGACGCATAACAATGGTGTCCCTCCAGATGTGTTTTCGTGTCTTTGTCCACACATACATACTGATGCTTCTGCACACCTGTAAAACAAGTCTGCATGAGCCAACACTGCATAATCTGTGATGTGTATTGTCGCCATAAAGTAGTTGATGAATTTCAATGAAACACGTTGCCGGTCACCTGTACTTCTTCCACTTCCACTCACCCACAGCTGAGCATGACATTGTGAACTTTTTTTTTTGTCCACAACAGATCATCCAATTACATATAATACTACAAAAATAGACAATTGCAAACATGCATAATTGGCCAAATGGATCGTATGAGAATAGCTGAGATAATGACCCATGCTTGACACTCTATTTGCTGAAATATTCCTAAGGTTTAGTACGTGGCATTTTTCTCTTTTTACTGTTTTTGACAAAGAAAATATAAACGGAACTACGGATTAACTAGAAAAGTAATGCATGAACATTTGGACCAGACTTCCCCTTTAACGATAGTGGCTGTGTCAGAGCAAGTCTCAGTGGGATTGTCGGTATTTAACGGAGGGATGTGAATCAATGCAAAATGGTGGCATACCTAAGCCACAGGAGACAGAGCAGGGTGTTGTCGTAAGGCTCCATATGCCTTCAAGTTTAATTTCTGTCAAGTCACTGTGATCATTTGGAACATAAAACTGATAACTAATGTTGGGGTTTGTTTTCTCTCCATATTCTTTTCCATAGTTGCGATAAACCTGGAAAAAGAACACATGACATTACGATTGTTTCGAATCAAAAAGTTGATCAAGTCAAATGGCCCGCCCTGACCTGTATGTCGATCTGCACTTGTACTGGTCCAGGAAGCAGTAGCTCTTCCTTCTCCGGCAAGAGGTCAGGAGTCAGATGTAGGCGGTACTCTAACCAGTTTTCATCCAGTGGGGAGGGATGGGTCATATTTAATGCCATTCTACCAGTCCCGGAGACAATATATTGATCTCCATATAATACAGCTATCGATGCAGAAGGCAAAAAACAAAGTCACAATAAATTCACAATCCTCCTAGTGTGTGATTTTAAATCTGACGGGATGTCACTCACCCATGTGAGTGAATAAAGGCGCCCTGTTGATGATATAAACCTGCGTAGCATTCAATGGCACAGACAAGAAAGTGGTGTACTCTGAAAGGAAATGCGGGAAATAATGAACAGAAGACACTTGTCAGATGGAAGAAATGCATTCATGAAGAATATAATAATTCTGCTTATAAACTTTCAGAAAAATACAGCGAAACGTGTGCTCAGTGACCTTAGTATTTTCCTCACATTTCAAAATACCGTTTCTCATTAAATGCATTGTTCTTACCTCTTGCCTGATCTCCAGTGTAAGATTCGGTGGTCAGTGTGCAGGAAGAGCCATCCCCACCGCACAAACCACACACATCTCTCACTTTCCCAGAGTGCAACACGCCGTCGCAGCCGAAGAGCTGATCAGCAGCAAATGTTGACATTGAAATACAAAGGTAAATGATCTACATCTTTTCTTTTATATGAAAATGATCTCTACCAGACATTTCCCTTGCAGACAAGCAGCTATTGAGCCAGGAGGAAGTTGGCCATCAGCTTCGCACCGTGTCCCGTCAGCAAACTGAGATCCACGGCTCACGATGAAGGCTTCTCCCTTGGACTGGCACATGTATCTGCATTGCTCATCACCTGATTACAGCAGGAACACTTCAAAACTAAATTCACAGGATGAGTAGCTTTTGTTTTCCCCACCTTGTGAGAAGCCCACTGCAGGGATCCAGGTGTAGAAGGAGGCCTGGTGTGGATGAAGGTATAGCGGTTGGAAATCAGTTTGGGAACATTGCTCAGCCATGAAATCCAGCTGGGTGCGTTCACATGGCTGTAACCACAAAGTCGCAAAGTTATTTTACATGGATTTTTCTGGCGTTCATGATCAAGTAATGAAATGACTTCCACAACTTCCGAGCGCTGTTGTGAACGTTTTTGTTTCCATTGACTTTGTTGATAGAGCTATGACTTCACTCTGTCTCGAGCTCATGGATTCACCTTCGCTTGGCTTCCTGTCTTTTATTACCGGTAAATCCGAAATCAATATTGAAATAATCAGGAGCGTTTTTGGAGGACACAGGCCCCAAATAGAAGAAGAAATCTTACAATGATCCACTTAGTAAACAGTACTGTCCTACTGTATAGAGGCCCAATGTAAACATAAACAGTCAACACTCACCTGCCTGTTACAAAGTTCAGCCTCAATATCTATCCCCACACAATCCTTTCCCCCAAAAGCGGGTCTGAAAAACAAAATCACAGTTATTCAGTAACTCGCTAAAAATAATGCTCTCTTGTTATTGACTGTGACTTGTGTTAACCTTGGGTTGTTACATTGGCGCGTGCGGTGAACGATTCCGCCGCCACATGTTCGTGAGCAGTGGGAGAACCCAGACCAGCCGGACCAAGAGCCATGCACCACTGCCGAGGTGCTGAGCTGGTCCGGGGATACGCAACGTCCCTTCAAACACCACTGCAAAAGAGAGAAGAGTAGCTTGTGGAACTCACGCTGCTCATCCTGCACTCAAATGTCAACCTAAGCTTTTATTATATTACTTGATCAGGTGCACATTGGGTCCCGTCCAGCAGAGGTACTAGAAGACGTTTGCAGGAGTTGTCATCATTTGTGTTCGTGTGACAAGATAGAACCCTACACATTGGCTGATGGAGAAAGAAGCAATCATAATTGTAAAATGTCAACATGTTACTGAACTGTAACAACGTAGGTATTACCATATCTGGATCTGTAAATGAGCAGCTTCTTGCATTACTTCCAAAAGCTATTCGACACTGGTCATCCACACCATAATAGAGGCCAGGCTTCCAGTCCTGTAGGGAGCTTTCAACGGCTGGTAGATCCTTTACGCACTCAGCATTGCCTTCGCTGGGAACACAGTTGCATGTGATACACTTTTAAAGTTTGGAATTGTAAAACATGATACAGAAGAATTGCCAGAGGATAGGTTAAAAAAAAAAGTGTAGGTCAGGTGAGTGTAAATCAAAACATAACGCGCTGGTTAATGTTTCGTGGGGAAATGTGAACAGAGTTGGATGATGTGTAAACGGATCATTTTTGGCAGACGTCGCATTTAAGATTTAAATGTTTAAGTCTTCTGAAAATATGATCTGAAACTACACTTTGTGTGGGTACATGCATTTGTGTGTGCGCGCGCGTGCGTGTGTGTGTGTGTGTGTGTGTGTGTGTGTGTGTGTGTGTGTGTGTGTGTGTGTGTGTGTGTGTTAGAAGTGCAGATGCCTCACCTGAAAAAAGTGAGCAGCTGATGTCTGCTACAGGGCGACCAGGTCAGATCCACACTGTTGTAGCCGCCATCAGATGCCATCATGAAGCCATTCCGACTGCATGTGTTCCCCACTCCATCATGATTGATGCCAAAACTGGGCGAAAAATGTAACTCTTTATATTTTACATCCTCATTTTGACCTTTTTTGAGGGGGAAGGAGACATGTTTTAGTTAGGTCATTTCATTCTGTGGCAATACATGAACACTTCGTGAATAGTTATACTTGAAGCTCCCATTGCAGATGTCACCAAAAATGATCCGGCATTGTCTTGGTACAATACATTTGTGTGATGGGCTCTGCGGTACCTGTGTGCAATCTCATGAGCAATAGTGATCCCAAGGTCAAATCCAGTGTCCTCTGTGATCACACAGCTCCACTCACTGGAACAAGCACCTCCCAGCTGTGTCACTCCCCTGACCTGCTTGTTTCCATCAGGCAACACCAGGTCATACCTGTTTATAATGAAAGCCATGCGGATATAAAATAGTGACTGTCCATTTCAGCCCTTGACACCAACAGCGTGCCACAAACCTTGTAATGTACAAGAGGAGATCAGCATGCAGTGGGTCCGTATCATTAGACGGATTTAAGCGGGAGCCCCAGTCGCACACACTTCGGAGAGAAGAGGTGATGTTTGTTGACATTCGGATCTCTGACTGAAATGGGAAGACAGGACAGGATTCTATTAAAGTGGCAAAAGCCGTGGTCTATCCAAGTTCTATGAGGAGTTGCTGACCTCTGGTTCGGACAGGATGATCATGCGAACCAGATGCACCCTCATGTTGGCTCCTAAAGTCATGTCCCTCAACAGTTCTGAGGCCTGCATGGACAGTGAACATACAGTTGAAAGGGTTGAATGGAAATTGTGCCAAAGAATGTACACGTTCTTTGTATAATTGGAATGTAATCATTATAAATGCAGCACGAATGAAAATATGTGCTTTGAAATGTAAGAGAACGTAAACCAAGAAACTTACATTGATCTATCAGCTGTTAAAATGTTCATACATTTTAGAGAGTCATTGCTGACACTTACGATGTTGAGGTTGGTGAGTATGTAGCGTTCGGTATCCTGGTTGTGGACCCGCTGGACATCAGATCCAACCACTACCAGTAGTTCCAAGTGCGTGACATCAGGCATCGGAGTTGGCCGACGAGGCTGACCTCTCACTGTGCATAAATACATTCGACATGTTTTGTACGCCCCATATAGTTACTGTTATTTCATCTCACATAGGCTCTTATACCTGAGACTCCAGAAGAAAGAGTATGTGAAACCACATCTCTTTGTCTGCTAGAATAATCAAAAAGCTGAAGAAACAAAACAAACAAAAACAATCATTTCAAATATTTTGGAAATGACAGATTTAGATCCCGAATAATACATATTTATATTGCTCTGTTTTAAGGTTGCAGCGAAATATAGTAGAACTCTGCAGGCTGCGGGTGTTTGACAGACGATAAACAGTTTAAAGTTGAAAAGTCCAATGTACTTAGCAGAGGCCTTGAGCTGCGGAATCACAAGCCGTGGTGCTTGCGTCGACGCGAGCGTTTCTCTTACCTCGCCCGATGGATATCTCATTAGAGTTCTGAAGCCAGGCAGGAGTAGCAGCAGACAGAGCAGAGTCATAAACATCATTCTGGCTCCCCTTCCTGAGCACATGCCTGGTCTGCTTTAGTACTAGGACAATATGTGATAGCCCCACGCTGCAGGCTGGGATCCTGCAAGGGGGAATGACTAACGTGTTTATGCAAACAGCAGGGACAAAGTTGATGGATGAGACATTTCATTTGCTCATTTTGCCCTGTGTGGGACCACAGAGAGGCCCCTCATTGGTTGCCTCTCTTGTGTGTATACTCTGACTGTAGTTTGGATTTCAGCACTTTTGGCTACTGACCATTAGGGTTCTCTTTTATTTGAATTACACTCTCATAGAGAGAATGAGTGATTTCTGTATTAATTACAAATCACACATCACTTTTTTTAAATGCCTTCTTTTCCTTCACCCGCAGCACCTTGCTGTAAATGGGATCCACATATTGATGCTGTGATCTATTATTGCCAATAGAGGGCAGACACGATCCTAAAATTAGTCTTCAAGGGAGGGGGCCGGAGAAATGTGAGGATTAAATTCTGTTCCTCGTGCACCCACACAGCGCATGACCTCCAGGGGTAACAAAATTACACGATTGCAACATTTTCGTTCGTACAATCTTTTATTTTATTTATTTTATCTTTATTTAACCAGAAAATGTCCCATTGAGTTCCAAAACCTCTTCTCACAGGGAGTCAGACGGCAGATAATAGCATCATGTGTACTATTCTCAACTCAACTCAACTGTATTTATAGAGCACTTTCAAACAGCCACTGGCTATTGAACACTTTGATATAAAACAATCTAGGTATGTGTTTAAAGTAAAATAAAAAGAGTAATTGAAGATTCTTAATTTGAATAGGATAGGCCTATACTCTGTGGTAGTAATAGGACACCAACGGAAAATAAAAATGGATACAAAATATGGAATTTGCTGTTCAACATTTGATTGGATGTGCATGCCGGGGCTGTCGAATTCTTTCACACCAATTTCATCCAAGCATGGTTCTCTGGAGCTTTCATTTTGCACAACGGGGAAGTGAGGAGGGAACAGAGGAGGGCTTTCCCAAAAAGTACACCGCATAAATTTCCCAAATTATGTATTTATTTATTTTAATTTTTTTTTTTTTTTTAGAAGTTCTTGTCCACCTCCTAAGTAATGAATTGACAAGCTGTCTACATATTTTGTGTGTCTTTTTTTGTTTGTTTAATGTAGCATTACCCGTGCAAGTTTGTTTATTCATTTATTTTTATTATACCACAATGTGTTATCATAATTTCATGCCCATGAACATTTTTCCCCCTTTCCACGTTAAAAGCTGAGTGACTGACCCTCTCATCATCTTTTGCTGTTCCTCTCAGCTCCATCCTGAGTGGGATTTTCTATTATTATTATTATGATTATGATTATTATCTCCATGAACCTTGGATTGAAGCCCCATGTGACATGGCTGAGCTAGATATCTGGCCATTGTCAGTCTGAATCAACAATTGCGTGACACTGGCATTACACCAGCATTGCTGGACCTCAATGCCTTTCTGGATTTACAGAGTGCAGTCGACTGTGATAAGAGTTGTTGGACTCTTGCGGCTATGTCTGTTGAGGGGTGGATGAGGGATTGTATATTTATGATGTTATAAATTATATATCAAGAGCCATATGGGATACTCCAACGGGCAAAACAGATAAAGTCATTGGAAAATTGTGTTTGTTCGCAACAAAGAGGGGATTCTTAAACGGAATCAATACAAACCAAATTATCTGGTCCTCTCCAGTCTGGGCGGCTTTGATTTTTACATGTCATTGCAAGTATTGAAGGGAAGCTTTTTTCTTCTTTTTTTTTTAAATATAAAACTCTCTTTGACATAAAAAGGGTTCCTGCCAAATGGTGTATTACTTGTCATCGCCAAGGACTGACAGTTGGCTGATGAAAGTTTGCTCTCTAAAGTCCAACTTTTCAGTATTTCATTTTGAGATGATTTTAAGTAGAGTGGCTCTGCCTTGTACATAAAAGGATTTTCGTTCATCTGCTCCTGACTGTTGATCTCTCCATCTGTCATGCTGGTGAAAGATTCATGTGTTCACTTCAACTATATTTAGATATTCTATGGATGATGAGGATTCCTGTGCTGACTTTTTTTTTCCTTACCGCAAGATGTTACAGTGATGCTAAATTCATTATCTGGAATATAAATCCAACTTGAATGGATGGATGTGACATACTATCTTCAATACAATGATCACTGAGCTTGGTTTTGCTATTTTCATATCTTGTCAGAGCAGTCTTATTGGAGTTGGAATTTAGCACATCTTTTATCTCTGGCTGCCTTTTTGTTCAAAGTTGGGCAAGCATTTATTTATAAAGTTGTCACATTGATGGATATTTTTGAAACAACGTTGGAACCATCCAGAAGAATTTTGTAAAAGCAACATATCGAGTGAAAAATCACATAACATGAGTTTTTCAAATACATAGATGTTTCTCACAATCATGCTTTGTCAATCTATGAACCGTTCCCACTGCTGATAGGTCTTACTACATTCTTGTGTCGTCTCAGTTAAATTTGTTGACAGAAGCTTCCTCCAAATATTTTCCTGCCTGCAATGCGTTGCCAAGGGTGACGATATTCAGCAGCAGAAAAATACATACTGTGATCCTTTCTAGAGGATCCCCTGGTGGATTCCCAAGCTATTTTAACTGTTGTTGATGCAAAAGACATCCACTGGTGAGTGTTGACTTTTTTTTTTTTTTTTTAAGTAAGCTTTTAGACTTTATGATCTTTGTTCGCTACAAATGCAAAACCTTTTAGTAAGTACAAGATAGTCAACAATTTTTACAGTGTACACAAATAAAAATGTCAGATGCACTGTATTTTTGGACATATTTTTGTTATGGATTAATTTGCAAAGCCATTTGTCCTTTTCAGGGTCACAAGGAGCTGGAACCAATCCGAGCTGACTTTGGCAAAAGGCGGACTGCTCTCTGGACTGCTCACCAGTCAATCACAGGAACAGGACACATAGATGTAGACAACCGTACAGACTCACATTCACACCATGAAAGAGTGAGAGAACTGAACCCACGCTTGGAGTTCTACCTCATGGAATTCAAGTGAGTAAACCAGCACACCCTCAGTGACTCTGTTGAAATCATTTTGAATGTAAAAAAAATATATACCAAGAAGCATTTGTGACAAACTATGAAAAAATAATTTTAGGATCGCTACATCTTCCTTATTGACACAAATGGGATATTGTTTTGTGTACTTATCAGTTATTTCTTATTTCTTGTCGATCATGTTAAAACATTAATCTGAAATATAAAATTATTTCAGTTATTGACTGAAACCAGATCGTAATGGACTAAATACCTGCTTCATACACACAGAATAATCTGATGCGGCTTCATGAGAATCAGAGGTGGGTGTAGGCCTAAATCACACATGTGCAATTCGCAAGTAAGTCCCAAGTCACTGTGGAAAAAAAAGCAAGCAAGTCAAATCGAGTCACCGCGAAATTTCATACAATTCGAGTCAAATCATTACTTGGTTCAAGAAAGTCCTCAATCAAGTCATAAAATCCTGCTCAGTCAGAGCATGTTGGACTGATAATAAGTCAAGTCAAGTCAGTTTTGTTGTCAAATATGCTCTATGTGCAACATAGGTCACAGATGAAATTTCTTTCCTCTCAACCACAGGGCAACCACACGAGAGAGAGGAGTCGCTGCGGGTACCTGCGCCACCATCAACAGAACAGTTAACATAAAATAACAAAATAATACAACGCATAACATAAAACACGGACAGTCGTGCAATCCTAACCACTTTTCCGTCATACGCTTTGTTGTTTAAAGCAGTTTGAGATGAAAGGGGAGAGAATCAAAGTGTCCTTTCACCAGTGGATCAGAGACGTCATGATCAAAATGTGCACACGTCTGCTACAAGCTAAGTTTGAAAGCAAACAAGAAGCTGTAGCGTCCATGGACGAAAAAGAGATTGGCTCACATCTCCTGTCCCATGTAAATCCGCTTCAATTCCAAGCGGCGATTCCCAGTTCCACATACGCATCTGCGCTCTGCGCTGATGCTCCTTTCTTCTCATCGTCGGCTCCACAAGCCATCCATCCATCCAGCCGAAGACTATCCTTTTCACTTTTATACGACAAAAAGTACATTATCTCTCAAAATGAAATTGAAAAACAACTAAACTTAAAAAAATGAATGAATCATACTTAGGTTTATTTAAGTGGCACACTGATAATGTGGTGACAAAGAAATATGCTGAATGCGGGAGTAAACATAATCGTCAGATTTAAAAACTGTATATGTAGTTTCTGGTGCCAATCTGTTAAACAAATCCTCAATACAGATAATTCAGTTACAGCAGCAAATAGAACGAATAGTGATTATTTGCTCTACTTTCTTTACTTTCTGCTTCAACGTACTTTACTAGATATTGCTCGTGTTTTGAATCCCACTGTGTATGATTCTGCTACTGATCAGTAGCGGATTTGGTCTAGTGCAGTGATGTCAAACATACCTCCTTGCGGGCCAGAACCGGGCCCCAAGGAGGTTCGATCAGGCCCGCAGGATAATTTAAAAGTGAAAAAATTCATAAGAGACACGGAATGACTACTTTTAACAAGGTGCAATTCATGGAGTATCCGCTAGATCTGCTGATTAAATTTCAACATTTTCCTAATGTTCTTGTGCTTCTTTAGACCAAAACAAAGGAAATACATTATTTTGGTTATTTATAGCACAGTATGGTATAATTTTAATGGTCCGGCCCACTTTACATCTACCGAGGCTATATGTGGCCCACAATGTGAAATGAGTTTGACACCCCTGGTCTAGTGGGATAACAGCTCCACTGACCACCCCAAAATCCTGAACATGTTTCGACTTTTTGCGTTATCACCTAGCTGTGCGTGTGTTTTAAATAAAAATATATACTTCTTTAGCATACCTTTACATAAACGTATTAATTGGTTTTAGCATGTTAAATACAGGGAAAATAAAAAATATCAAAATAGCCCTCTGCATCCTTACATTTTATTGTGTGTGGCCTGGCCCGAGGAAGAAAAAGTTTGGAGCGAACTTCACGAACACACGCGCATAGGCGCATACGCACGCACGCACGCGCGCACACACACACACACACGTGCACGCAGGCACACTAGCGCGCGCACGCGCGCGCACACACACACGCACACACGCACGCACTCACTTACACACACACGTACACACACGTACCCACACACACACACACACACACACACACACACACACACACACACACACACACACACACACACGCTTATCCACTTGCACGCGGTTGAGTCACGAATGTGTGAGCACTGAGGCCAGCAGCTTCAGCCAGCGTCACTCCCCGTCGGCGGAGGGCTGGAGAAGCACAACACGCGGCCATGCGCGAGGCAGTAGCTCCAGCATTTCATCTCTGCTCTCTTCTTTGCTGACGGAACGGCGCCTTTCCTCATCTGTACTTCAGGTAAAATGCCGAATGTTTACTAAAGCTGGCTTTGAATCATATCCTTTGTGTTTTATGACCTCTTAATACTTTGGCGAGATTGCGTTTTAGTGGTCGTGGCGAGCTCAATGACTAGCTAAACATCCAGTGGCTGTTGTACTGTAGCCATAAACTGTGTGTTGCTATGGTATTGCCAGGCAACATCCTGCCGGCAGCCGCAGTGGCCGCAGCCGCTCACGATGTAGGCAAAGCTTTTTTTTTTGCCACGTCATACGTGAATATACTTAAATATACCGATAATATCTCTTTGCTCATGGCTGATAAATCGTCTTCATTCGATTTACATGCATGCGCTCATATGACTCATATGAGTTGAGCTTTTTCCTGTAACCAGTTTCTATTAGGGTACTGATTTAATTAACACTGGCTACTTTAGTTTAAATGTGAACGCCAACACGTGTCTTTCGTTTTGTTTTGACTGCTGTATAGTTAAGAGCTTTTCTAAGCTTCTTTCCAGTCAGAAGTCTGTGGTTTGAGGTCACCGTACGATTCATTTCCACCACATCATCACCATCCATTCCTGTTCTCTCATCACCCATCTATTACTGGTCTTTTGTATGTTCATGTCCATAGTAGTACCTTGCAGCCCTGGACTCGTGAGGACTCAAGATGGTCATCCCCAGCGCGACTTGCCACAGCAGGACATCACTGGCCATGGGCACATGCAGATGTTTGCAGTGAAGGTGCCTGCACACAACAGTACTTAGTTCATGTGGGGCTGCAGTCGGGCATCAGTGCATCCCAACACCGGACCTCTGGTACAGAAAAATTCTATTATCCCTCATCTCCTGTCTGCTGCATTCATAGAAGAGGAGGAAATCACCATACCATGTTGTTTTGAAACCAGCAACGGGGGAGAATTATGAGTCACATTTAAGGAGGAGAGAACCGTCTCTCTTAAAATCTGCCGAGAAGCTTGACAGATGACTGTCATGCTTATTTTGAGAACAGGGAGCGCTTCTAATATTGTACAATGACCCACCAACCTGGCGTCTTCTTGTTTTCTGTAAATGATCACGACGTTGTTTTTGTTTATATTTTTCCTATAGATCATTGCCTAATACAAAGTGCACGTGACAAGCTCTCTATGTTCATTGATTTTTTTTTTCTTAGACACCTCCCTCTCTACTCTGTCGTGTGTCGAGTGTGTGTGTGTGTGAGGGGGGGGAGGGCGTTGTGGCGGAAGGGATGGGAGAAGACCAGACATCTGAAGGTAGGACGTGGGAGTGTGCTTCACTCACCCGCTGAGTGGTGACTTGCTTCCAAGGACGAAGGTAGCAAGACATCCAAGCGCCACTCAGCTCCCACGGACTGCTGTGAAGGATTGGGCAGAAACACCATGCTCTAAAATATCACAACAGTCTGACGGCCCTTCCTTACACGGGCCTTTGGCTCTATGGGGAGTGTGTTCAGATTTGAGCTATAGTCTCTTAGTTTGGCGGGAGCTGCATTCAGTCTTCTGCACCACACCTTACTAATGTGTGTTTCCTTGGTTTCACCGGTGTCATTGCATTTGCGTCGACTGGCTTTCCTTTGTTTATGTTTCTGGCAGAGGAGCAGACTGAGGTAATACAAGGTGGATTTGAAGGTGTGGAGGAGAGCTGAAAATCATGGGTAAATCCAACAGCAAGCTCAAGCCGGAGGTGGTGGAGGAATTGACAAGGAAAACCTACTGTGAGTATCTTCTGCTCTCTTTTTGCTTGTCTTTAATGAGCAACTCCTGCTGGAGCTTTTAATTGCAATGACAGCTTGCATAAAAGTAAAAGCGCAGAATGTGCATTGTTACGGCTTCTTCTCACAGCATACTTTTCAGCAAATAGCCTGTTCCCACTGCTTCCCTTATATAAGTGGCTCGAACAGAATGACACTAACTCGATTCAAGATGTGGGAAAAAAAAATCTGATCTTTAACAAATTGCAATTGGGAAAGGTCAGGCTCTAAATTACAGGCATCTTTTAATGTATGCTTTCATTGAGCAGTAGAATTGAAAACATCTTTAGCAACTTTTGTCATGTAATGTACCTTCACACTAATTATTGGACTTGTGCAGCAATAAATACTGTGAGATTGCTTCACAGTTAGAGTGGAAGGAGAAATTATTCATTTGGGACAGACATATTCACCCACAGTACATACACACTCTTGTATTTCCTCCTGATGATTTATTTCATTCAACTTTGGAATACAAACTGAACATGAACCCCCCCCCCCCCCCCCCTTTTTTTTTTTCACTCAAATTTCACTCAGTGTGATAATGACCAAAATGATGTCTATACTGAAAGACCCTATTTTTGTGTCTGTTATTATTGGAGAACGACATCATCATCGTGATTATTTTTATTATTGTCATTGTTGTCAAGTGTGCAGGTGTGAGTGGGAGCTGACATCCACTGGCTGCTTAATGACAGTGTTATTTGCGTAGTGGCACTCTCCACAGCAGAGGCAAGGAGGGCTGCTGCGGCAGGAAATTACTGTGGAGGAAGACGTGGCTTCATGCTGGGCTGGCCTGCTTGCTGCTGTCCTTTACTCTATTCCTCTCGCTCACCCATACTCTCTGACTCCATCCACTAATTGCCCTCTTTGAGCAGGGAAGAGAATTCTGCAATTAGGATCTTATCTGGTTAGCATCTTTGAGAGGAGCGCCAAGCTGTTCTCCTCCAGATCGTTTTTCTATCTTTTCTTGATTTGAGATTCCCTTCAATCTTACTTGATTCAACCTGCTACCTTATTCTTGGTCTCCCATGAGAAGTTCTGTCTCCGTTTTCGTCACCATTTTCCTTTGGTTTTTGACAGAGTAGGAACTGAGGAAATTTCTCTGTCTGAGCGTCTCTTTGTTGCCGTGATGAAAACGTTTTTTTTTTCTGGAAAACAAAGGTTGTGTTGACAGAAAACCAACCAAGTCCTGGCCAGCAATGAAAGCTGTCAAGTGTGTGATTAAGATGGAGAAACAATTTTATAAAGTAAACATGAAGACATTGTACAGTCAAAGCCTACAAGAGAACAAGAGCACTTAAAGCGATCCCAGATTAGGCCAGAATTATTGTTCAGTCTCGCATCACATAGAAACACCAGCAGTCATATTAAAATGTCTCCAGGGTGTAGGCTTGGCCTATCTAATAGCGTGATGATTCTTCTGTGTTGTCAGAGCCATGAAGAGGCTTACAGTGACAGAGTGCAAGCGGGAAGGGTACGAGCAGACCCTTCAGGGCCAACCGGCCGAGGAGGCCCCACGCTCTCTTGCTTAGACGGACGGATTGCATTATTGCACATTGGCTCTGACTGACTTATATAACATTTCTAAAGTAAATCATAGCCATGTTGAACTACCTCCATCTTTGACTGCATTGGCAATATAATGGCAGTTTATCTCGGCTGACAGGCGTGAGATTGACTGTGACACTCAATGCCAGGGGCGCATGAAGCCTTTCTAGTTCAGTTGTACAGATGAAAGCTAGCTGATTCAGCCTCCTGCATATTCGCCCTCATACGAGCAAGAATCATATGATTTATTTGGTTGCTAGTAATGTAACTATATTATATTAAAAAAACATGTTTTAAAAACTATTTTCATATGCGTTGCCATTGTTGCTCATGTCACAATGCATTCTGGGTAGTGATGTGGAATGGTTCCACGCAAATGTTTTTACCAGTCGCAGCGATCTGTTAGCATCGATGAGCTCCTCTGTTCAACCTTTTCAGTTAGAACCAGAGCATAGTTAAAGACATGAGGAAAGCGTGGAAGAAGACCGTGATGAAAATTGAGATGTGAGAAGCTGAAGCTGGTCATTTCTGGCGATGTGTTTGTGGCAGATGCCGGTTGAGTACGAGAAGCGGTGAACATTATACACTTACAGATCTAAGGCTGCTTGACTGGCACCTAGTGTTGCTTGTTTCCTGCATTGCGAATTTGGTGGCCGGAGGGGGTCCGTAGTTGTAGCTATTGAAGAAGAATCACGGTCCAGATATGTGTCCAGTGCCTCCGGTCATTAGTGTCTTTTGTCACGGTTTTCACTTGTGGGTGTTTAGGCTCCTTGTGAGGACATATGTTAGGCACTGCTTTTGGTTTTAACTGTCAATTATAGCCTGACATACCAGTGAGCTCTCTCACGATTTGAGGTCGAGGAAGGGCCTTGAATGCCTCTGGTTCGAAAATGACGAGAGCACAGCCGCGGGTCTTTGGCCAGGTGGACTCTACCAACCCCATCCTCCCATTGTTTTCCTAACTTTCCCTCTTTATTCCTCTTTGATTGAAGATCACATCCAAAAGCCACGCAGTGTGGCATTTTGACTCCTTTTCTCTGATGCCAGTCATAGTTTGCCGTTCTTTTGTTGGCAGAGGGCAACAGACATTGAGTCGCTGTATAATTGTCCATTAAAGTGGACACAGTTTAAGACAATGTCAATCTGTGAGGATTTTTGTTTGTTGAATATCAGTAGGAAATAGTGCCCGTGCAGGCATGATCACATATCAAGCCTTTTAAACTGACCTCGTTGTTAATGCTACGGCTGCCCCGTCTTGGCTCAGCCTTATTTGTACTCTTGTCGGGTCTTACTTGCACATTCATGAAACCTTCTGATATGATAAAATACTCAAATAACTTTCCACTCAGGGTAACCTGGATGCTTGCTATTTTCACTTGAGTGCTTGTTGCCACAGTGTCCAAAACGATGATCTTTAACCCTTTCATGCACCAACAATGATAACCTGTAACCTGATAACATGATAGGCTCTCCTCTGTAGTAACCGCTGTCCCCGAAAGGATTAATGGTGCTTTGCATTTTGTCCCCAAGTTAATGCCACTCTATTTCTCTTGCAGTTACAGAAAAAGAGGTGCAACAGTGGTAAGTGTGGGATTTCATTCTTAACGTATTTTTAAAACGACACTTTTTTTTCATAGTTTGCTTGGGACATGTGACTTATATCAGGTGTGACTTGTATTGAATTGTACATAACACTGCACAATCAAACTGCATGTTGATCCTTTTCATAACCCAAAGAGTTGACTTATTTGTCTTCCTCGCTGTTCTGTTCTGTAAATGGAATAACCAAAGTCTTCCTGAGATTGAATAGTTTTCAGGCATAGTAACGCTGAGTGTCAATTTCCTTTTTGCTTCATGTGGACAAGGAATCTCTGAAAGGAGAAGAATGGCGGGGACATAAAGAAATTTGACTTTCAAGGATGTAATCATGGCAAAACCCGATACGTGACAAGGCTTCTGGGAACTATTCCTTCCATCAGCGCCCCCATCTTTTGTCAGATTAGAGCCGACACACCGACATACTGTACTTGCATAGATCAAAATGACAAATATTTGAAAGAGGCACCCCAGACCAGGAGACGTCACACAACGTTGGTGAGAGTGATTATTACTGCGGAGGTGGGAATTTCTGAACGTAATTGTGAAGGGACTATCTGACAGCATGTGGCGCTGGGGTAGCATGCAATTTACCTTCATTACAAAGACAATTCAAGCCTGAGTGCAGCCCTCTCATTTGTTTGCTGATTGCTGATTGTTGGGGGCCACGAAAAAACAAACAACAGCACACGTGATAAAAAGAGCACTGTAATGAAGCATTCTCCGATGTTCACACTTATATATTCTCCTGCTTTGGCTTTGCATTTCACAATCTGATTCAGTATGCTTGAAAAGAGCTCAGCCTTTGAGATCTAGTCACTTTTCACGAGTCTGGTAGGGGATGGAGCAAAGGCAGTTTGCCTTTGGCCTGTTTCTTCAGTGCATTGGGGCAGAATTCAATCTCCAATTACCTCTGAAGCAAGCTCACCATCACTCAATGTTTTTTCATGGCAAAGTTTGCATGAATTGTCACTTGGAGATTAGCAGCAATCAACACTGCTGAGGGTGAGGGATGAGAGAGAATTTTACCAGGGGAAATGCCAGATGGCTTGTAATTAGAGCACATACACAGACACAAGAATTAGCAGGGAGAGAAAGATGACTGTTTCACAGGGAATCAGTTCCCCTTTCTAGTTATCCACCAAAGAAACAGAATGAGTACTGTATTCCCTATACTCACCTGAAATCAGTACCAACATGCCACTGTGCGCTGAATTGTTACCTGAGGGCCAGGTCCAAGAATAAATGATCTCCATAATCGTAGTCTTGTGCTCAGTTTTACTTCTGCTATGCCCGTTGCAAGTGCATCACGACCCCAAGCGTAGGCTGTGCATCTGTCATCAAGTCAGATGTCTAATACATGTTCATGCTCTTGACAAGTGAAGGTGATTCTGGTTAAGGCTGTGAAGACAGGCTGACACTGTGCTGACAGAGACTTTTCTCTGATTCCTCATTATACACTTGAAAAAAAAAGTCACTGACAAGTGTGTGAATCCAGTTCCCAATTAGTGATGGTGTCAATATGGGTGTGAATGGTTGTTTGTCTCGAGACAGCATGTGACCAGTGACTGGTGACAGGTTCAGGGTGTCGTCCGCCTTTTGCCCGAAGTCAGTGACCAGGCTCCAGCACCCTATTACCCTAATAAGCAGGATAAGTGGTGTCCTCTTCCCTATTGTTTTCCTTTCACATCTAAGATATCTAGACGCTAAACTAGTGTTTATGTTCCCCTGGATAGGTTTTAACTGCGAAAGGAAATTCCTTGTGTGTTTTACATACCTGGCCAGTAAATCTGATTCTCATTCTGAAAATGGATAGATGGATGGTTGGTAAAACTGAAACAAATGGTAGTAAATTAGCAACAGGTGAAATATATTGTGGGGGTTTTAGGAATTAAAAGAGCTCCCTCTGCACTTAATAGTTCCAAAGACTGAATAGCCAAATACTGTTATGTCAGGCTTTGTAAAACCCTTTGGGCAGAACCGTATGATGTACATACACTGGCATATTGTGCTTTCCATTTGCCATTTCAACCAAATTGGAATTTTCATCTCCTCTGTGTGTGCGTGTGTGGGTGTGCATGTGCGTGTGAAAATAAATAAATATGCCAGTCCAGATACTGACCAAATTGGGCTGACGAGCACACAAGTGCAAATTGAGTGGATTATAAAATGCTTCGTTTTACATTGTTATGTTGCACGATAGAACAGCTTTTGTGCACCAGTGTGTACTGTCAATGAATGCATTTTCCTGCCTGTCATTGATGATATAATAACCAATGGCTAAAGCTGCCTGCGGAATTCAGATGCATTGCTTTGGCCTTGAAATATGATACAGATTATACATCCTGCACTGTGAATCCCAATTTGGTTGTATGCTGCATTATAGTGAGCCATGCTTTCATCCCCCAACTTTTCTCACAATAAATCAAATGTGATAAGATTTTTTTTCCTCTTTTTTCTGAACTTGGAGCAGCATTGACTCAAAGCACTACTGTCTTATCTTGACTACATGGAACTCACTTCATTATCTCCAGAGTAGTTTCGTTTTGTTTTTGTGTAGGGTAATGATGATGTTTTCAAAGTCAAGAACTATTTTAATGTAAAGTGAAGATTTATTAGTTTTTGTTTAAAAGAAAAAGGGACCTGATATGAATCTCTACCGGTAGTTATTTGTGTTTTGCGATGTGTCTGCTGCATGCCTCACATGCACTGATCCACCCACTAACTGACTAATATAATACAGTGGCATGGTGATTACATGCTGCCTGAACGAATGAAACATAGGACAATTATTTTCCAGTTTTCATCTCGACGTGAATTCTGTTTCTCTTTCACATTCAAGGGCTGCTTCCAAACAAGTGGTCATTGGGCCCACAGTACACTGTGGGTGGGGGTGAGCAATGGCTCTTTTGCCAGAACCACACTCCCCTCCCCCAAACCGATGTGATAAGCAGATGCTAAGTGTATTGTAATTCTGAATCTTTAGTGTATTTTGACTGCAAAATCAAGACACCTGGGAACTTTTTTACATTGTGAAAAAATGCACAATGTCACTCAAACCAAAGCCATACAGAATTCCATTGAAAACGAATCGACATTTAAAAGCTATTTAATGGATGAACAGATGTGACATCACGTCGTTGAATGGTCCTTCCCTTGTACCCACTAATTGCTGTTAAGTGCCAGATTGTTTTCGTTGTCACGTATATATTGCATATTGTCATATATATGATAGTGCTTAGGAGCTGGACTGATATCTCAAACCGATTGCTGTCTGTTAACTATTTAACCACCAAATCCTGATTCGTTTCCAACGGATGTGTGTGTGTGTGTGTGTGTGTGTGTGTGTGTGTGTGTGTGTGTGTGTGTGTGTGTGTGTGTGTGTGTGTGTGTGTGTGTGTGTGTGTGTGTGTGTGTGTGTGTGTGTGTGTGTGTGTGGGATGTGACTCAAATCTGGAAATACTCATTTGGTGTTTCCCTTTCATTACTGCCCATCATTGTTTTTTTTCGCATGTTATTGCGACATCTATATGCTTTGCACTCTGCCATGATAGCTTTTTCATAGACCAGAATTTTATGCAAGCAGGTACTGCTTTCGTCAGCCAGTAGCCATCCCGACTTGCCTTTCAATGACACTACGCCACAGCTCTGTTTCCAGTAGGCCAAGAACGGAGCAAGCATGCCTGCGCGCTTAGCTGCCATGCTGTCTCGGACAGAAAGGTTCCGCGAATTTTTATAAGCTTTCTTTTATATAAATGAAATTTCAACTGAGCTCCTGTGTAACATCATTATCAAGACAATGTGCAGCAAATACTTTTTGGGGAGGTGAAATCAAATTCCATAAAAATTTTAACCAGTGTAACCAAAAGTGCTTGGATGCAATTTTCTCGATAAACTATATTTAATTTTCCTTCTACCACCACAGGTACACTTTAACAGCCTTTGACCTTTACAGCACAGGCAAAGAGAAAGAGGTGGGGGGGGGGGTGTCTCCATAACCCAAAAGATGCTGGTTGCGAGCTCTCTGAATAAATGCAATACGTCCACATTTCACATCCAATATAATCCAGGCTCCATATAATGTGCAAGAAACTAAATTGAGTGAAAAACACACCTTGCATGTTTAGACATGCATTGAATGCCCTCACTTCATTTGGTCTTCAAGTGTTCATTCACAGCTGCTTGGGGACAATGTACAAATTGTATTTTATTTTTCAATAACCTGCTGCCTTTCTAACTTCGGGTCAATCTTTTTCCCCAGTAAATTTAACTTAGCCTGCATCAAGGACATGTGTTAACGGATTGCGTACATTTTCAAAGACATATCACTGGTGGCAAGTAACAAAATGTTGAACTTGGGTGGTTAACTGTTGCGTAACTGCTGGTATAGGCTCGTTTTCTTGCCTGTTGTGGAATTATTAGTCTTCAGTCTGTCTGCCTTGGTTCTGTACACGGGATCTGCCCACCTTTGAGTGAATGCACTTGAAATTGTTTCGGAATTGCTTCTATATTTAGTCTAATATACAGAAAGTCGCTCTCTTGAGCTGCCATTTCCAAGAGTAAGCGGAAGCGCTCAGATTTATCTGCCAGCCATTTATATTATCAAAAGAAGATGAGAGAGTAATTTGATTACAGCAAACCACTCTGGGCTTGCTATTGGATTAGGCCGATTGCCTTATCTGTGAAGGAGACAAATAGCTGTGCATGTCCCCTTTTTCATCGGATGTATCCTTACTACATGTCAAATGCAGACAAGAGGTGTTTATCATGATTACTCTACCCGTTAGTTTGTTTTCGACCCTAATGCCTATCGGTTCAATTTTGTCCACATCTGTCTGTTTTCCTGAACAGGTACAAAGGCTTCATTAAAGACTGTCCCAGCGGACAGCTTGATTCTGTGGGCTTTCAGAAGATCTACAAGCAGTTCTTTCCTTTTGGAGATCCCACAAAGTTTGCCTCTTTTGTCTTCAACGTGTTTGATGAAAATAAGGTTCGTAGTCTGTTTTCTATTGTAGCAACGCAAGGAGAAACCTGAGACTTGCTTGGATGAAAATGATGATTTTCTTTTTCCTGTAGTTGCGTGTCTTCTTACGGAGCTCTGAAGCATATTATATTACATTGGGACAAGGTGTACATACTATTCCTGTGATGTACTAATCTAATCCATAGAGACCTTTAAAATGTTGTACTGTCAAACTGTCTTTGAACATCTGCCTATAGATTGGTAAACCCTGCGGGGTTATTGGCTTTGTTCAAGATGCTGTGTGTCTTTAAGATAACATAGTCCCCCTTTGCCTGATGTTTATCTATGACCCGTATTGCCATCAGGCACGCCATTGTTGAAGAATGCTCTGATCTGAACAGTTTCTACGTCTCATGCAATGAGCATGTCTGGTTGTGATAGTTACCAAGAGTCTTAAGCCAAGGAGCGGGCTTAACTGGCCACGGGTCGGGACCCAAAAGTGGGTCAGACAGCGAGTAAAAATGACAATGTATTCTTGTTTTGATTAATCCAGTATAGTACAGAGGTGCACCGAGAGCAAATTAGTTAAGCGACGGGAAATGTAGCTGCTTCACACTTTAGCCACAAGTTTACTACGTAAACCAATAAAGTAGGTCATAGCAAACAATACGTTCGTGGCGGTGCAGCAAACTCATTAAATAGCATTGAAAATATAATGTAGATACTGTACATGCGTTTTTAGAGGCTATTTTAAAATTAAATCATGTTCTTTATTATTTTAGCTTCGACAGAAGTGGGTCCATACCTTGCAACAGTAGGAAAATTTGTTTCCCTGTTGACAATATTTTAGAACCACTGATCTAGAGCCCACAGCGAAATGCTAAGAAGAATGTAGCCAGGAAGTGAGGCTGACTGCTGCCCCTACAGGAAGCCACTTTATATGAGATGGTCACTGTTTCATGCGTCACAGTGCTACTGAGTGACAATTTGAGTGAGGAGTCAGCCTGAATCCACATAGCATGACCATGCTGTCCCGGGCACAATTTAATGATGTACAATACAAAACTGCATAAATTATGAGCTGCAGTAATTCAGGGACAACTATTTCCACCATGTCAGGTATGATAAAGTGGCAACCATATTCTTGAAAAACCTGACAGGATTATTCTCTAGAAACCAGCAGTTGTGTGTTTTATAGAGGCTAACTTTTTAGACTTGTGAGTCATTGGCATCCATCCAACTAATGGCCATAGGTGACATATTTCTGCCTCTTGAGAGAGCTAGGTGCCAGGCAAAAATAGCAACAAACTTGAAGCAATCGTCTGGCCCTGTTTCGTGCAGCATGCAGCAAGGACATCTGTCTTAAGAAGTGTAAATGTGAAGTAAGAGTCCTCTATCATTTTTTCTCACTCATGCCATTTTCTAGGATGGACGTATTGAGTTCTCAGAGTTCATCCAAGCGTTGTCTGTGACTTCTCGGGGGACTCTGGATGAGAAACTTCGATGTAAGAAGTACCCTGTATTGTTGTCATTGAAATGATAAGTGATTTAGAATTGGGTGTTTTGTACTAGTTGACACATGACTTGCTGTGAATTTTGTTCACTGAGCAAACATGCAAGATATGCTTTATCCAAAACACTTTAAGTTGCCTGCCTGTTGTTCATTTTGTTATATACTATTGAAGCAATGCTTCAATAGTATATAGTATAGTTATACTATATAATAGTTATACTATTGAAGCAATGCTTCATCTAAATCCGTGTAGAAACACAATGATGCCTAATATTTCTTTTCATGGAACTGTGGCAGTAACTCTGGAATAATGGCATTTGCTGACTAGTCAATATTATTGACTGAGTTTCTGAGTTGTTGCAAACCACCTACTTAAGTACTTTAATTCTCTTTTCAGGGGCTTTCAAGCTATATGACTTAGATAATGATGGCTACATCACCCGTGACGAGATGCTGAACATAGTCGATGCCATTTATCAGATGGTGGTAAGTTGACCAATTACATAGAGCGGAATCAAACACAATCATCAGGCTGACCTCCATTAGTTTCTTTTTTTTCCGCCAAAAGGTTTTCAATAGATTACTGTAGTACTTTATATGTTCATGGGATAAACCACACTCAATACGCTCCTCATTTTAATCACAAATGAAGAGGGTATATCAATGTATGTTGCACTCTCATTATTTTTTTCACAAAAACACACAAAAGCGTAAAACAAAATTAGCTACTCATGTAATAAACACAAAACTAGTGACGATGCATCCCGTTAATCCAGTCGGCTTCAGGCAGCTAAATTAAGTAGCTAACTCCTGCCTGGACTGTTGTTTTCCTTGCAAAATTTACACTTACTTCCCCATCTACTCACTCATCTGCATTCGACTCCCATTACATCATTTGTAACTGGCATGGCACCGAAGTACTCTTTCAGCATTGTAGCTTGTTCGGGACACTCTGGAGCCTGAAGTCATCTTCACACTGCACTTGGTCTTCTTGACGTTCATCACGGTGGCAGCATGCATGACTATAGCGCTCTGGTGCAAGCCTGCCCAAATTTGGAAATGGTTGCTTCCTCGCATACAAGGAAGTAACATGTATCATTTCCCTGGTGATTGGTCTGTTGCTGTCAGCGCGCTTAAATCACTCCACTAGCCCCTCTCCTATTGGACGCGACATCACACTCTCAAGTTGAACATTTTTCAACTCGAGGGCGCATTGCGTCGGTGCAAACGTCCACCCTGCACGTAATCCCGTGACACGATATGACACGGTTTTCTGTCCTCACGCTCTCGCAGCACATACACAGTGAAAGGGTTCGTTGGCGGTTCGCTCTTCAATTTACTTCCATCCATCCATTTTCGATGCAGCTTGTACTCATATTAAGGCTGTGAGCAAGCGCAAACCTATCCCAGTGGACTTTGGAAGAGAAGCACAGTACACCCTGGACTGGTCTCCAGCCAATTGCACGGAACATAGTGACACGCAACACTTACCACTAACATTCATATCAAAGGACCGTTTAGGGTTTAATTCTCAATTAGCCAAAGATGCATTTCCTTTTAAATGTGGGAGGAAGTTGAAGTACCTGGAGAAAACCCATGTAAACAGGGGGAGTGCATGAGAACTCTACACAGGAAAGCCAGAGCAGAGATTTGAACCTCGAGCCTCAGAACAGTGAGAACAGAGGCGCTGGACCATCATGCTGCTATTTCCGTCATTGCAAATTTTAAGTGGTGGAAAAGAAGTGTAAAAAGCCAGCGAAAAAGCAAAACACACAGTGCCTTCTGTTATTTGTTGTTATGATTGTTATTCTTTTTCAATTATACAATCTTTTGAGTTGTTTGAAAGGTTTACCTGTACTTTTGTCTGATTATTTTTGAAATGGGAAGTGTAATGAGGTGATATTTCAGGGAAACACTGTGGAGCTGCCAGAAGAAGAAAACACACCAGAAAAGCGAGTGGACCGCATTTTTGCAATGATGGACAAGGTTAGTGTTTCTGTAGTCCACCAGACTTGATGTGCATTGAGTGTAAGTAAGAGCAATGTGTGTGTATTGTTTACCATTAACAAGAGTGTAGCGGCTGCCTCCAGGGAACTGAGATGGGCGCTGTTAAATTTAGAACTGCAAGCTGGATCTATCACTGTCATTCCTACTGTCAACATTATATGGTAGTCTCCTTCCACACTGTCCCTCAGTGCCAGTGCCCACTCTCTGAGCTCAGGGAAACTACTTGTCTTGTGTGACTGATGAGCTCGGACCTGCATGGGCGTGTCTAAGCAGCACTTTGTGATCTGTATCAGAAAACTGGCTACAGTCCAAGCCCACTGAGCCAGCAAAAGTCCATCAGCACTGAAAAGCAGCAAGCTGGTCTGGTCTGGGGCCTTGTTTGCCCCCTGCTGGCAATACTCTGGTAATGGCGCCTACATCTCATGTTCCTCTTCCAGAATGCAGACGGGAAACTGACTCTGCAGGAGTTTCAGGAGGGCTCCAAGGCGGACCCCTCTATTGTGCAAGCATTGTCTCTCTATGATGGTCTAGTCTAAGAATGTAAGGTGAGTGGAGTATTCATGTGCAAGCCACATGCACAATTGGCCAAGGGGAAGTTCCGGCCATTCAATATTATGCCATCTTTGTGTCATCTGAGCCAATGAAAAAAGAAATAAAAATCAGTGAATGGCCTCAATCCAAAGCAAAGCAGCTGCTTTCTGCTCTCAGTTTGTTGTTATGAATTATTCAGGCGACCCACTTGTTTGCTGGCAATCAAATGGTCTTTCAGTGCCGAGCGAAGAGCCTCTTCCGCCGCCTCGTGTAATCCACCACCCTCTGCCAATTGTTGCTGACATCGTGCTCAGCGTTTTGTCAGCTGTGAAGTGAGCTAGCGAATGCATATTTTGAACACACCATTGAGGTGATTATCCCTTATGGACTGGGCAAAGACACACACACACACACACACTCATATATATATATGTGTGTGTGTGTGTGTGTGTGTGTGTGTATATATATGTATATATATATAGATATATATATATATATCTCTCTCTATATATATATCTATATATATCTATATATATATAGATATATATATAAAAAACATGGTGATCACTCTCCTCACCTCGCTAGATGGATCCAATTTATCATCAGATTTGGAATCAGACACACCCAGCACCAACAAATGAGTCCATCACAGCCTCCTAACAATCGATCTTGCTCATCCAGCAGTGGACTGACAATCAGCAGACACTTGTTTGTGTTTCCACCAAGGACTGGGGACAAATTTTCCAATGCCGTTCAAACCTGGCAGCAAAGCCCTCTGTCATTTCAACGTGCTTCTGCTGCTGCTACTGTGTGCATCTGTGCAAACATCGCAGCCATCTCCTTTCCCCGCCAAAAGTCCCACAAGATGAATTCCGTTGGGGGATTTTCCAGACTTTTCCTAAGGAGAGGCAGAGAGCTGTGCTGTCATCATGGACTCTAGAGTTTAACATGTAAAAGCGTGTTACATGGTGATAGAGTGAACACTAATTGAACGTCACAAAGCAGTGTATTGTAATATGTAAATATAATATTATGATAATTTAGTTCCTGCTTTTCTGTATTCCAGAGTTTTCAACTCTTAAAAATACAATGAAGTTTTATTTTTTATCAAAGTTGTTGAAATGTTTTGCACTGCCTTTTTCACTACAATTGTGGGATTTTTTTGTTGTTGTTCTCACGCTCTGAGTTTCCTCTCCGGAGAGAATAGAATTTTTATTTGTGGAACAGTGTTGAAGGAGCAGGGAGTTTTCTAAGGATTATTTTACTACATTTGCAACCTGTGAATACTATTGTGTTTTCACTTCCCAGTGAGCATGAGTGTCTCGTGTCAGCAGCGCAATGGCCGAGCAGCATCGCCAAAGGTCATGGCTTAATTGAGGCTCATTACCCTCATTCAATTTCAGCGAGAGGCACAAACAAACACCAATTCTCGTTGTAAAGCTTAAGCGAGCTTTTTGGCTGCTGTTGTCCACTTTCTAGTTGTCCTGATGTGTAAAGCCAGAGTATGCGTTCATGCCTTCTACCAATTCTTAATAATTTCTTGTTGACGCAGTCCCATTTTAGCACTGTCACTGATGTTATGCCTTATGCAAATAATTTACTGAATGACAAATGCCATTTACCTGTCATTGATCAGTATGAGAGCACATAATAAAATGCATTTAAATGGCTATGTTGTGTGTCCTTTAGTATTACTTCTTAAGTCTATGAAATATTAGAACATTCTCACTTGATGGTTAGGGTGTAATTCGAAGTAACAGACGTAATGGTCAGGACACTGTCAACACCCAGTTTACATGTAGTGACTGAATGAATGAATAATGTGGCATTTTTGTGTCCCCTGGGCTTGCGTGGACCTGCCCTTTTCCGACTTTTGACTGAACACTTAAAAAAATGAATCAATTGGTTTATTCTCGAAGAAATCTAGCAACAAATGCTGCATGTGAGCGTGATGAATACGCATCACATAATAGTGGGAGAATAAGCCGTTCATCTCGTTACTGTTCCACTCGGTTTTGTTTTGTCAAAGTACGTACTGTATGTATGGAAGGTAAGCAAATACCTGTAAAGGAAATGTTCATAGCCTACGTTTCATTTAATATCAGGTGAGTATGGCATCTTGTGGCATGTCGAGCGTGGATCGTGGGAAATTACATTGATCCAACTGAATGTAAAAATGTCTATAAAACTGGAGAAGTTTAAATACTGGCCTCGTGGTGTTTATGCACGAGTATAATCTATCCGTTTTGCCAGTAAAATAGATTGAAGGGGCATGTTGAATCGGGTTAAAGGCTGCAAGTCACGGCGGGGTCAAGTTACACACACTCACGCATCCAAGTCAGGTTGGGTCTTTGCAGGAACTTTTTTAAAACCTATCCCCGCCCCCGTTCGGAGCGTCAGAGCACAAGCTCTCCAGGGTGTCGCACAAGTCAGCCTCTCCACACTTCGCTCCAAACTTTTGGCACGCATGTGCGCCTCCGGACCTATTTTACATCGCATTTAGATGCATTTTCGATCCAGGTTTATTACCGATTTAAAATAGTCACAATCCTGCTCCTTCATACGTCTTTCAGAACTTTGAACACGTTTCCCTAGTGATTCGTCTCATTCCAGCAGACGGATGCAGTCGAATTAAAAAAAAGGATGAAGGGTGACTTGATAACGTGCCTAGTCCTCGTGCTATGTAGCAGCGTGCAAAGGCTCCGGGCATCCCCCGCTTTGGAGGAGGGCAGCGGGTCGGATGGGAGCGCCTCGACCCTGGCCTTTGTGTTTGATGTGACCGGCTCCATGTACGACGACCTCAAACAGGTGATCGATGGCGCCTCGCGGATCCTGGAAAAGACCCTCAACCGAAGGACCAGACCCATCAAAAACTTTGTGCTGGTTCCGTTCCATGATCCAGGTATTGTCATTTTCATGAATGATTTATTAGATTTGATTTGTGGGCATAAATAAACACTCAAAATGTAGCCAACCTACCCTTTTTTTTAATCTTACGTTTTTTTGTGGTACAATGCATCAGAAAACAACAAGTCAAACTGATGGACAAATTTGGCAAGTGCAAATACAAAAGGTTATGATAGCTGTGTAATATGTGGTTGTATGTGGGTTATGAGTACGGGTGGTATTTTATCTAATGTGGCTAGAAGTAACCAAATATTTGAAACAGTCTTCACTATGATCCTGGCATAAAGTACTGCAAACCACAACAAGCATTCTTAATCACCTCGGACAGTGCCAGCTAAAACTTCCACGTTATTGCAAGATTAGGATTTTATTTAAAACATTCAGATTGTTGTTTTTTTTGTTTGTTTGTTTCTTTGGTCGAGGGATTTGGGGGGGGGGGATACAGATCTTGGATGAAATCTAATTGGATCACATATATTAATAATTTGTTTTTTCTTGACACAGCTGTAAATAACAACTAGCTGTTACACATTTTAGTCTTCAAACGTTACTTTTTGTAGGTCGCGTTGGTAACAGACATGTTAAATTGTCAAACTGAACCAATAGTTGGGCCAGGTAATGCTGAAGCTTGAAAATCAGAGTACCGTACTCAAATGGGGGAGGGTGTTTGGGCCCTGATGAGAAGCATATGCTGTCTGCCTGTGTGTAATTACCCCAATCACTCTCCCCAGCCCGCCCTCTCCACCATCCTCTAGTAAAAAAAAAACACAAAACAAAACTCTCAGCCCCCCAGTAAAGGCAGCCTGAGGTGGTGATGTTGGTGGTTAGGGGGACTGTACTGGTGGTTTGCCTGAACATCACTCATTTTGTTTCCGTTATGTGGTCTACCTGTGAGGACCTTGTAAATGTTCCTGATTGCTTCGTGTCAGAAGCTGTGGTGGCTGACAAAAAGGCGCGATGGTGCTGTTAGGCCATTATCGACACTCATGAGGAGCACAGAACATACTGTTGAGAAAATAAATGAGGTTGGTGAAGTAGATTCATCAGATTGATACACCACTGCTGTGTCATCACTCCAAGATACTTGGGGCCCGATTTACAAAAGGTCTGTGTTTGCAAAAAATGCACACAAACTGATGTGGAAGCTGAACAACTCACCAGACGCACCCAGTGTACCAAATGGGGCTAAAAATACTGGATCTAGGCAGGTGCAAACCAGCACTGCTTTGTGTAAGAGAAATTGGGAGGCTATTTTCTGCTCATGTTAACATTCTTAAATGGCCAGAAACAAAATCTTTGGAGCTTCTCAATGAACAAGGGTCTGACTTGGAGCCAGTCGCAAGACGGAGTCATGCCATAGCCATTTCCTTGCGTCTGAGCCATTTCAGCGGACTGCGACAATTGGTGCTGGCCTCTCCCGGAGCATTTTTTGTATGTCGTGTCCCTTAACACAATTTTACAAAAGCTGGCTAGATAAATCCAACGGCCACAGACTCGGGGGGCGAGTTAAAATAAACAAAACATGGCTTTTAGGGGTGCTGGGTTCCCCCAAAATTTCAGCGCAATCGTTTTCCTTTCTCGTTTCTCACGTTCATCTGCTTCTTTGAATAACACTCTATTCAAAGAAACTCAGTTTTATTTATAGAGCACGTTTCATGCCGACCGACCTACTTACTTTAATCCATTTGAACAAGAGTTAGTCATTTTGAGACGAGAAACGATCATGCTATCAGAGCTGTCCACCTGTAATACACTTGTGAGACACACTAAATTAATTATATTATTTAGGCACCGATCCGCCATTATTTTTTCCTCTCACTAGGACTTTATGGAAAAGACTCTTTTTAATTCCATCGCGACTGATTGCCCATAGCATAAAAACAAGGTCTGTCAAGGCAGGCTTGGCTGCGCTTTCAAGGAACCCTGTCAAACAACTTTGGGATGAATAATAACAATGATTCCTCAAGAGTCAAATAATGTGAAGCTGCCAAAGGGAGAACAACTCCCCTTTTCCTCCAAAACCTTGGTCCAGCGTGTATCTATATTGGCCTTGATGATCTTTTCATCCTTGCAGATATCGGTCCAGTGTCCATCACCACTGACCCTAAAAAGTTCCAGCAGGATCTTCAAGAGCTGTTTGTTCAGGTGGGAAGAGAACACATGCAGCGATTATTGCACCGTTAATATAACACAATATTATCTCAGGCTTTATGTAAGTGGATGTGTACTCTGTTGGTATAGGGTCAGTAAAATGCAGTGCAAACAGTAGTTTGATCCCTGAAAAGCTGAAGCTGGGTAACTCAGGAATGTCAATTTCAAGGGGGAATCTTCTGTAATTTGTAATTTGGATAGAAACCAAGATCTGCTATGTTCGTCACTTTTAGCTACTCGTCGTAGGATGCTAAGTGTGGCGGTCGAGTTAGAATCTTTGCACACTGATTCATCTTTTTAAATTTGCATTGATGATGTCCTGACTTGAAGTTGTATAGAACAACTCTGAATAAGTAATCTCCTCCAGTAGTATTTGAGAAAACATATTCTAGCTGTAACTTCCACAGGGTGGAGGTGACTGCCCTGAGATGAGTGTTGGAGCCATTAAGAAAGCCTTGGAAGTTTCTCTTCCTGGATCCTTCATTTATGTCTTCACCGACGCTAGAGCAAAAGACTATCGCCTGAAAAGGGATGTTCTTCAGCTGGTGCAACTCCGTCAGTCTCAGGTAAACAATAACAACCTTACATGATTATGCTATGACCAATTCTGTATCTCAAAGTTTAGTTGGCGTTATTGTATTATCAACAAAGCACAAACAAAAATGGATTTAGTGTGTGAGCTTCTGGGCACAACTGAAACAAGTTCCGAGAATGTGTATAGCATCTAAATCACGGATGCGTCCACAGACAATAAGTCCAAGGTTGTCAAACTCTTGAGACAAAAACAAGGTCAACAAGAATGTGGTCAGAAACGCAAAAAAATTGTAAAGTGCCCCTTTTCCACAGCACGGTGTCTGACTTGGCTGGACACGGTTTTACCCGCCATTGCCGCTCCCTTTTGCATTGGCAAAAGTTGATACCACACTTTCTAGTACCAGCCAGGTTTCTAAGCATGTTGAGACAATATCATATTGCCAACATAAACCTCTGCCGGCAGCTGATTGGTCGAACACATTACTGACTCTTTGCATGGTTTGAGGATACACAGACCGAAATGCAAATATAGACAAACATGCTTACAGTAGCTAACCCCATTAGGGTATCCGAGCCCTGGGCCTCCTCTTGAAGGCAGTTTGTCTCCCTTTCATATCCATAAGCCAAATAAATACTGAAGACACTTGTTCTCTTTGTTCATTAGTCTCATTCTGGTATTGGTATTAATATGAGTTGGGGGTTTAACAAAAGAACATGACATTAAATTTCAGAGAATTTAATGACATAAAAGAAAACATGAGTTTCAAAACTGTGCAAATAGTAGCTGATATTTCTCTTGTCTCATCGCCAGGTGGTTTTTGTGCTGACTGGAGACTGTGGTGACCGCTCTCAGCCTGGCTACAAGGCCTACGAGGAGATTGCGGCCACATCCTCAGGGCAGATCTTTCATCTGGACAAGCAGCAGGTCAACGAGGTGAGAGCATAGCACAGAAGCCTTCAAAGTCAGTCCATTTACAGAAGGGACACTTCTGTAAATGGGGGCAGTGGCAGGAGTGGAACATTTAGGGTGCTTTGGCTCGAATCAGATTGTCAAGCATAAAGAACATTGCAATTAGTAATTTAACAAATCAGCAGTCCTTAATAATAAAATAATTTTGCTGAAATGACATTGAAAGCTCCCCCAAATTTGAAGAACATTAAGAATTGAGTGTGCTATTAACAAACATACGTTTGTTGAGTCCACATATTCATTGCATTTACAATTCAAAATTTGCTGTGTTAATGACATGGTCTGTTGTATGTTGTCAATGTTATCCAATGTGTTGTCAGTCATTGATGACTCTGCTGCCCATATCAACGTAACCATTGAAAGATATAGGGATTTGCTGCTCCAAGAAAAATGACCCATGACTTTGGCCTGTATCTCACCGAGTGGTAAAGGTTAGCGAGTGTGGCTATAATTAGTTCAGATTGTCAAGCATAAAGAACATTGCAATTAGTAATTTAACAAATCAGCAGTCCTTAATAATAAAATAATTTGGGTGAAATGACCTTGAAAGCTCCCCCAAATTTGAAGAACATTCGGAATTGAGTGTGCAATGAATATGTGGATTCAACAAACATACGTTTGTTGAATCCACATATTCATTGCATTTACAATTCAAAATTTGCTGTGTTAATGACATGGTCTGTTGTATGTTGTCAATGTTATCCAATGTGTTGTCAGTCATTGATGACTCTGCTGCCCATATCAATGTAACCATTGAAAGACATAGGGATTTGCTGCCCCGAGAAAAATGACCCATGACTTAGGCCTGTATCTCACTGAGTGGCAAAGGTTAGCGAGTGTGGCTATAATTAGCGAATGTTGTTGTTTTTTTTGTTTGTGGGTTTTTTGTTCTTTTTGGTCATGTTTCATTCAATGTTGGAAACAGTTGCAGACTTTCGCCAGACATTTCCAAACACTTAATGGTCATACACAGTTTTTCTTGTCACCATCATATTCGCTCAAAACCTTGACAGCAACATGTAATTTTCATTCCACTCCATAATTATGTGCACCTTTGAGTTGATATCTTATGTAAAAGCTCTAGAAATACACAGATGTTGTGATTGTAAGGGCATAAAATGTGAAGAAATCCGAGCGCTATGAATACTTTTTCAAGGCACTGTACTGTATGGTTTTAAGTAACACTCTCGCAATGTTGATCAATGGCCCCCCATGTGGGGATCACTTAGGGAGGACTTGTCACCATCATATTCGCTCAAAACCTTGACAGCAACATGTAATTTTCATTCCACTCCATAATTATGTGCACCTTTGAGTTGATATCTTATGTAAAAGCTGTAGAAATACACAGATGTTGCGATTGTAAGGGCATAAAATGTGAAGAAATCAATATTATACTTTTTCAAGGCACTGTACTGTATGGTTTTAAGTAACACTCTCACGATGTTGATCAGTGGCCCCCCCATGTGGGGATCGGTTAGGGAGGGGCTTGGGTGATTTATCAAGTGCTAAAACAGCAAACTCGAATCCACTGCATATTTTTATCAGTAAGCATTGTTCAATACCCGTGAAGCCACTTTTTTATGTTACTATAAAAGCAGCATCTTCTTGAAATGTATCAACATAAGACACCACCGAACAAATATATCATGCATGAAAATGTATAACTCAGCATAATGCTAATTCAAGAGTCGCTTGCCGCATATTGTACAGAGCTGGCTTCGAGCGTGGGCTGTTTTTTTATCCTCATTTTGCTAGCTTGTGGGTTTAATATTAGCGTTATTTGACCGACACAATTACCGTAGCATCTTGATATCTAGACGCGGTGGGTGGGGGCGGCTGATTTTTATCATCGTGTAGGAGCAACCATATGTTGAAGTTACTTATGTCAAGACACCACCGAACAAATATATCATGCATGAAAATATATAACTTGATGAGCATAATGCTAATCCAAGAGTCGCTTGCCCCATATTGTACAGAGCCGGGCTGTTTTTCTTTTCTCATTTTGCTCGCTTGTGGGTTTAATAGCGTTATTTGACCGACACAATTACCGTAGCATCTTGATATCTAGACGGTGGTGGGGGCCACTGATTTTTATCATCGTGTAGGAGCAACCATATGTTGAAGTTACTTATGTCAAAATTTCCATCATCCAGTTTTTGTGTGGGTTTTGGATCATTTAAGCATAACAGAATTTTAGTTTTATTTGAGACTTGATTGGCTGTAGAACATTTCAACTTGTGATGTGCTCACTGGTTATTTGACCGACACAATTACCGTAGCATCTTGATATCTAGACGGTGGTGGGGGCCACTGATTTTTATCATCGTGTAGGAGCAACCATATGTTAAAGTTACCGGTACTAAAGTTAAAATTTCCATCATCCAGTTTTTGTGTGGGTTTTGGATCATTTAAGCATAACAGAATTTTAGTTTTATTTGAGACTTGATTGGCCATAGAACATTTCAACTTGTGATGGGCTCACTCTAAGTTGTCTTTCTCAGATGTAGGACAGTGAAGTTGTTCTGCAGAGGGCTAATGAGAAAACATAATACCAGGAGATGCTGTTGAACCTAGACTGCATCCATTGCGTTGCAAGGATTGGACCTCAGAATCTAAGCGTTCCTCCCTGATACATTGTAATAAAATGATTGCCATGGATGAAGGTAAACATGCTGGTAATATCAGATGACTGCCAAGGACAGTCGCGCTTACTTCCTAGGCGGACGTAAAAGAAGCCCGTCTTTCCTTTCCAAGCGATACTGGTATCCTGCCTGCCAACAGAGCACTGGGCTTGGCAGAACCCGTGCCAACAGCTCTGTGTTCTGGTGGCCTACTGTGACCTCAAACTTGTTAGTTTGTGTGTTCGGGTGGGTACGGTAGATGTTAGTGGGGGCGAGAGGTAGGTCTGTTTTCCGTCAAGTTAAGCATGCATGTGACCAAACATACAGGCCTCAATAACCCAGCCCAAAGGAGGAGTTCCTCTACTGTATGTCAGTTTTGCATTTGTGCTTTTTTATTTTACTGTAGCGAACAGAAAACTAAGTTCACTTGAGCGATCACACCTGAACACCATGTGGCTTTTGTTGGTACTAGCATCTTGACATGTTCTAATTCCATGTAAACATCTGTACACTTGAAATATCATGACCTCTTGTTCACAGGTCTTGAGTAGCATGCATTTAGTCAATTAATGCAAATTGTTTAGGCCTCTAACTCAGGGGTCACCAACTACTGTAAAATGTTTAATTCTTTCAAAAGTGTGGGCTGGTGTAGTGGTACACGCGCCTGACTTGTGTGCGGGCGGCGTGGGGTCGGTTCCCACTGAGTGACGGTGCGAATGTGGGTGTGTATGGTTGTTCGTCCCTATATGTGCACTGTGATTGACGAGTTCAGGGGTCATTCCGCCTTTCGCCCCAGGTTAGCTGGGATAGGCTCCAGCTATTCCCGCGACCCTCTTCAGGATAAGCGGTGTTGAAAATGGATGGATGGAATAGTGTGGGCTGACGCGGCCTTGTCCAAAGTGGCCCAGAGTTCTGTACTGGGCCATGCCCCGGTGGTTGTGGACCACTGTTTTCACTGTTCTCCTCCGCCAACATACCTGAATCAAGTGATCAGATGATCAGCAAGCTCTTCAGAAGGCTGGTAATGATCCTAATCATTTGAATAAGGTGTGTTGGAAGTGGGAACATCTAAAACATGTAGGATAAGGGCCCGCAAGGACCCTCGTTGGTTACCCCATCAACTAGAGTTATGGGAGCACATCTAACCTCAATACCCAAAACAGGCTTTTAATAAAATGTGGCCAAATTTAATATTATGTAAAGGGTCTCAGTCTATGGTCTCCATGGAGAAAGAGTGTCGAGCATTCTTATATTACTCCTTAATCCCAGGATATGATCTGTCATGGTTTTCCTCCATCGAACAGCTGCCCGATGGGGCTTGTGTTGGCTTCTCACAGCAGCTCATTGTCAGCTCTACATTTTACATTCTTTGCGGTACTACAGTTTGACCAGTCATTAATAATAACTTGCAGCGCAGCATAACCCATGAAATTACAGTCCAGCTAGGGTCATGTTGTAGTTCACTTCAAAATGGTGAAATTGTCAGTGGTAGCCTTAGCCATTGGTCAGAAATAAAGATGGTCTCCTTAAAGCACAATATAATATAATAAATGAGTTCTACGCATACAACCGTCTTTTGTGTTCAAGAAGTTGATAAAATCACCCTAATGGTTTTCTCATTAAGTTGACGCAGGGGTATTCAAGCATCTCTAATCGTTATATTTGTCCTCGGGTCATTTTTCTGAGTGTGCAAAACAAAGGCCGCCTCATTGAAAAAACAGGTGGACTCACATAAAAGGTCTTGGCAGGTGTGTTAGCAGCTCAATTAGTCGTCTCAGGGGTCCATCTGGGACTGATTTGCCCTAATAAGATTGAAGTGGGACAGCTTCTTGCAAATTCTCATGAGTGTGGCTTGTAGACCCAGACAGGAACAAAACTGACCCTTGCCCAACAAGGGGTCTGAAGTCAAGCTGTCCTCGTTGAACAGCTGCACCACCAAATTGTACTACTGGCAACTCAGAATTCCTCAAATGGGGTCAGCTCATGTACCTGGTCAATGAAATTCAATGGAGTCCCAACAGTTGATTTAGCCCATCCGTCATGCTTCTATGAATAGCAAATGGAGTCTTTGTGAGAGCCCTGCAAAATTGTTCAACTGAGACATCTTAGATGATGTTTCAAAGGACTTTTGATCCTCTGCATTCCGCAAGCTGCAACGGGGCGTATCTGCAGAGCTCAGCATGCTTGAGATGAGCACTGTTGCATGGACGGTCATACTCCCATGTGTGCCCTCCACTTGTTTTTATCTGTGATGTGAGGGCGGTGCTGATGCACACTCCTCTTGTGCTCTTTTGTGGAGGCAATAGACACCATTCAGGGCCAGATGTAGGTCACCTCTTAGCAGTTTCCTGCTCTGCAGGTGATGACTGCACATATGGCACGCATTACAGCTGTTTCCAGTTGTAAAACATCGAGAGGAACCAGCAGCTGTCAGCAATAGGTAGACCTCATAGACATAATCATGTAGTCCTAATGATTATCTTAGCAAAGGTTTTCTTGTTTTGGGTTTTCTATAAATGTCTACAAATGTGTTGCATTTGGCTCCTTGTCAAAGGGCCCACTGCAGGTTTCTTTCCTTACAGTTGCTGCGTAACTGCAATGCCTCACTATACAAGGTCAAAACAAGTACTACACAGCAGTTGCTGGTTAAGCGTTTGGAAGTTGGAGGACAGTGGGTCCATTGTGGCAATTGCAATGAAACTGTGATATGTCAAGTGTTTTTTTTTTTTTTTTTTTGCTGTTCCTGTTTTCATTTATCATACAATAAAAGGGAACTGTAGTAAAGCACCTGTCCAAACTGTAACTCTATAGTGTAAGATGTTTTTCTGGGGAGAGACAAGGCGGTTATTAGCACCTGGGATGTTTGATTTCGAATGAAATGGAGCCATCCCACATTGTTTTAGACCTTTTTGAATCAACTTGGAAAAAAATAGAATTAACATATAATAATAATGTTCAGCAGACGATTGGGAAATGCCTACCTATAACTGACTGAGTAAAAAGAGTTGGCTTTGTGAAAGACTTAGACACCTATTTTCTATGCTGATGTACAAGCATCATGATTCATAAAAGCTGTTGTGCAGAAGACACTCTCATGGGAATATAGACTTGAAAACGCAGAAAGTTTGAGCCTATCCCTTTGACAGTTGAGCTGTTTAAAACAAAAAAACATCAGAGAAATACAATTGTGATGATGAAGAAGAAAAAGTCCAAAGATAGCGAGCAGACCGCTGCTTGGGCAGGGAACAGACTGTCTGGGAAAGGTCATGATCGCGTCCTTCCTGCTTTTATCCTATTGAGAGCGGAACCTTCACAGATAATGTTTGACAGAACCCAGCTTCATCTAATGTCCCTGCATGAAATGTCATATTCTTACTGCGTTTTTCTACGCTTGCTAGGTATTGAAGTGGGTCGAGGAAACTATTCAGACGATGAAGGTCCATCTACTGTCCTCAAACCACGACAGTGCCCAGGAGAACCTTTGGGAAGTGCCCTTTGACCCCAGCCTCCGTGAGGTCACTGTGTCACTCAGCGGGCCCTCTCCGCAAATTGAGCTCAGAGATCCCCTTGGTATACATCGTAGCAGTTCAAGCCCAATGAACAGTGCTGAGTGTGTCGCCAAACATCGAATAGCTAAAATTGTATTTTCTACTCTCTGTAGGCCATGTAGTAGGTGTTGAGCAGGGTCTTAAAGAGCTTCTGAACATTCCTAACTCTGCTCGTGTTGTCAACCTGAAGTTTCCCACGCCTGGAGCATGGAACCTGAAGGTACCACTTTTGGAATCATTAATTACTTTTGCGCTACATCTTATGACAATAGGCTCATCGTTTTTGCTTTCATTCTAAAGGTTAGCTGCAGTGGTCGTCATACCCTGAGGGTCACAGGAGTCAGCAATCTGGATTTCCGTGCTGGCTTTTCAAGTGCTCCTGTTAAAGAGTTCAACCATACTAGGGAGAGACCAATAAAAGGTGCTGCTCGTGTTTCTGTTAGCTATTCATCTGTTGAAAAACGCTCGGGAAATGACTGTTTAATGGATTTGCGTACCTTTCACAGGACTGCCAGCGTATGTTTTGCTAAAATGCACGGGCCTGAAACCACCAGGTCACCTGAGTCATGTCGAGCTTATGTCTGGCTCGGGACGTTCCCTGCGCACCGTCCAGGTGCCTCTGCCCTCTGACCTTGGACAAATAGGGCTGTGGAGTGTCCCAGAGATACGAACCCCTTCCCAGAGTTTCTTCATCAAGGCAACGGGCAGAGATGAGGAGGGCTATCGCTTCCAGCGACTGTCGAGTGTTTCGTACACCAACATAGTTCCATGTAAGACCCTACCTTCCTTCACACATGTCTCCTTGGCTATGCTGCTAGGGTTCTAACACCTCATAAATCTCTCGTGTGGCTTTTCACCTTTGTTTCCTCCCTTGTGTAGCTCCCCCAGCTGTGAACATGCCTGATGTGGTGAAGGGTATCTACATGCAGCCTGCTGTGATTCACTGTTCAGTGGAGAGCGATATACCTTACAGGCTAAGATTTGCAAGAAGTGGAAGGACTCTGGGGGCGGAGAAATTCTTCCAGTAATTTTTCTTTTATAACTTTGGAGAATTTGTTAAATTATCACTTCAGAAGTTTCTGCGGTTCTAATAAGAGAATTATCTCCACCACACATATTCTTGGCAGTGAGCAGTCTTGGAATTGGTTCGCATTATTGGCTCATATGTCACAGGGAACGAGATCATAGAGTGTGTACTCACATGTCTTGATCAATTAATAATGTGTCCATGTGTCTCGTTCAACGCTCTGGTTTGAATTACCTGAGATTTACTTGCGGTGAAAATTCCAGTGTGTGCTTCTAGATTCTAACGGAATATGACATGAAATACGATCTTGTTGCTACCGTCATGCTCAGTTACTGAACCAAGCTTCTCTTTGGATCAGGAAATCTGCCACTGCATCATGGGAGATTCAGCATGCTTCAGCAGAGGATGAGGGCTTCTACGAGTGCATTGCACAGAGTGGCGCAGGACAAGGACATGCCTTAACCCAGCTGACTGTTACAGGTACTGCACAATGCTTACGACAAAGCCGTTACCACAGTCAGGGTAGAGTTCCGTTTGGCTAATCATGGTTTGTAACATTAAACCCTAATAGTGGGACATACTTTGATCACTTCATCAAATAAGGGACATGATGCAGTACAGTGATGCTTGGAAGTTGACCTTTCCTTTGAAAATACTGTGGCATGTATTAAGTTCCTGTGCAAATGTGGTAGACAGACCTCTTGCAGTTTTGTGACATGAAGCGAGATGAGATTGACACTTATGTTGAAGCATTTTAGACTGTCTCATGTGCAGTCTACCTCAGTTGTCCTCGGCTTTCGTTATATACAAATACAGTAGGTACTTAGTTTCCAGACATGTCATGCTACATTACACTCAATGTCACATGCAAAAAACATTGCAGTTTCACTTTGAAAAGTTTGGCTTATTCGTCACCTGCATACCTAACGTAATTTTCACAAAGGCTATTCCGGGGTGTTCCAAATAAGACTGGCCAATCAAACCAATTTGCACTATTGTTTCTTTCTAAATTTAATGTCTTGGTGACAAACAACTCAACTTTAATATTTAGCAACACAAAAATAGCAACTGTGACATAAAATTAAAATGTAGTTAAAATAAGATATATTTTTAGAGATTTGAGCGTCAAATTACGGGACACAAGCATCTTGAGGGGTGGGCATTTGGTCCCCTATGGCTCACATGTGGGAACAGGTGTGGGGGCAGACTAACTTTTTCTATTTTAACAAGTGGCTAATGTTTACAACACGTGGTCAACAGCAAATTTTAATGTAATATCGCTTTATCTCCCTAATAGTATTTTTAACACTGATTTGAATAAACGCATCAACATTTTAAAATATTATCATTTTCGTTTTTAAGTTGTTTTTAAGTAATACACACAATAAAAGTTTGTGCAATACGGATTTTACTATGCATTGTAATCATTATATCCATGACATTTCAGAAAAAAAAATCAAACTGTTGCTGAACCTAATCCATTGCTCATAAATATGAGGAAATGTACTGCTATATTACTTATTATATTATTGTTATTTTATTATTATTATGAAAGCCTGACGTGATAGAGAAAAAAAGGGCATATTCTGAATCAGAGCAGATGCCATTCAACGATGCTGAAGAAATTTTACATTCAGAGATTGTGCAAAAAGAAAGAATAATTTAAGAGTGCAATCCAGGACAATTTAAAAATTCCATTTGGATGATTTTTTTTTTTTAGGTTCCTCAGAAAGGGTTAGACATGCCCATGTTTTGAGAGAAGGACGTCTGATCACCCTATCAGTGGTAGTACTTCCGATGGAAGGGTAGTACTGTGATCTGTATTCTGGCATCCTTCACATCCTTTGAAAAAGCAAGCAGATCTGTCATCCTGTGTCCTGTACTGTAGCGATTTATTGAAACAAATAAACCTATCCGTATTTCCTCAGTTATCGTGCAAACACAGTGAAGTTAAGTTTTGAAATCACTTCGCACAAATTTCTTTTTTTTATGTTGCACTGGTATCTTTTTTTTTTTTTCATTTCTTGTTCCAAGCTCTTATATTTTGGTCTTTTTTTCTGATAAAACAGAGCCTCCGCCTGTACTCAAGCCAGCAGTCAATGTGACTTCCTTAGTTGGAAGTGTGGCTGTGTTGACCTGTAAAGTAGAGGGCACCATGCGCTACAACTTGACCTGGCATCGAGCTGGGCGCGCCATCCGAGCTCGTTCAGGGAGGGTGAGGCTGCTGTCTAACTCATCCCTGCAAATTAGCAGCGTGCAGCTTCAGGATGCTGGGGCTTACTACTGTGTAGCCTCAAATGCCCACGGAGACAGCAGAACCACTGTATGGCTCTTCGTCCCAGGTACGGTACGATCACACTCCAATGTGCATCTGTTTAAATATTTAGCCTCCTGGTTCCTGTCAGGACGCCGTCATCTGGTTTCCATTACAGGTTGAGCCGTCCTACAGACGGATTTAGCCACAACCATGTCAAGAAATGTTTCTCATGATGCGCGTTAAAATTTGTGGTTTCTGTTGTGGCATGGCCTCTGACTTTTCTGATGAATTTCACAAACAGTGCTGCTGGGCTGGATTCTTTACTGATGTTTAGTTTGCTAAATAATAAATGACACGGTGTCAACAAGGCCTCAACTAACTGTCAGTATTTGAGTTTTTTTTTGTTTTGTTTTTGGCTCATTGGACTGCAGAGGGACCTACTGTGGTACTTCACCCCCAGAGCCAGGTCTTTTCCCGAGGGGATGAAATCCGCCTTGTCTGCTCAGCATCCGGCTCTCCCCCTCCCCTGCTCTTTTGGAGCCATGGAAACACGTTCCTTGCTAATCGGCCGAGGTAAGAGGACTCTCAACCCACTCAACACCTCCGGCACAAAGGACTCATTACATTCCGCTGTTACTCCAAAAGAGTAACCACATCCTGTTGGAATCATTGTTCTGGTATAAAGATTGTTTTGCTAAGTAGTGTTTACGTGCATGTTGAGACAAAAAAAAACATTTCTTGATACACAAGAGAAACAAACTAATGTTCGTTTTTCTGTACATCTGCACATGTAATCAGTGTGAGACAGCGTCATGAATTCTGCCAATTATGTGATGCAGGTTGAATCTACACCAGCAAGGAGTTTTGACCATATCAGGGGCTATCCCGGAGGATGCTGGGAACTACACATGTCTGGCAAGCAATTTGGCTGGGACTGCCTCACAGTCTGTCTTGCTTACTTATGCAGGTATCCATGTATGTCTTTTCTCCGTCACTAAGAATGCATTTCTCAGTGTATTTAGATTCAAATTATTCTTTTAATAATGTTTCAAGTAGAGCATTGTAGATAGTGTGGCCTCATAAAATAATTCCCTTGTTTTCCCCACATCTACTGTGTTAAATTTTAAGTTTCATTACAATTACATTCAGTTACAGTAGAAAAATACTGTGTTAAATTTTAAGTTTCATTACAATTACATATATATATATATATACACACCTACCTGTATATGTTGACAATACATCCATCCATTTTCTGATCCACTTTACCCTCACACGGGTTGCGGGGTGTGCTGGAGCCTATCCCAGCCATCTTTGGGCAGTAGGCAGGGTACACCCTGAACCGGTTGCCAGCCAATTGCAGGGCACACAGAGACAAACAACTATCCGCGCTCACACTCAGACCTAGGGACAATTTAGAGTGTTCCATTAGCCTGCCATGCATGGTTTTGGAATGTGGGAGGAAACCGGAGTACCCGGAGAAAACCCACGCAGGCACGGGGAGAACCTGGAATCGAACCTGTACCTCTGCACTGTGAGGTCGACGTGCTTCCCACTCGATCACCGGGCCTTTTCTGTTGATAATAATATTCATAATTGTGATCTTAGAACTGGTCTTCATCATGTCATGACAATTTAGAACTGGGGTATGTAACGCCGGTTCCTCGAGAGCCATATCCTGCCTGTTTTAGATCTCTCCCAAGTCTAACACATCTGATTCAATTGGTCACGATCATTCCAGGCTTCTGCAGATCATGCTGATGAGCTGATTGTTTGAATCCGGTGTGTTGAAGTAGAGAGTGATCTACAACAGGCAGGATATGGCTCCCGAGGAACTGCAGTGTGCTTGCTCTGGTCTAGAACAAGGGTGTCAACTGAATTTTGTCACAGGCCCCATCATAATTTTGTTTTCCTTCCGAGGGCCGGTATGACTGTGAACCCAAATAAGTGTGTGATCGTCTCACATGGCATCCATCCGTCCATCCATCCATCCATCCCTACATCCATTTTCTGAGCTGCTTATTCTACACATTGATGAATAACTAATGCTGAAATCAGATTCCAGTAAATAGTGCTCGTTCAAATATTATTACATATATCTAAGAAGGGGATTGGTCACAAAAACATGCCTGCAACATCTCAACATTTTTCTTTTTTTCTACATGAAACCAATTTGCAATTTTGTTTTTTTAGCAAAAAGCATCAAGTCGATAGACATTATTTGCTTTGGTGGGCCACATAAAATGATTTGGTGGGCTACATTTGGCTCCGGGGCCTTGAGTTTGACATCAGTGGTATAGAACTTTGGGTCAGGTTGTCAGTTCTTATTACATCAGCAATCCTCAAATAATAAGCTTAAAGCAACATGCATGCAAAAAGTCCTTGCCAAAGGACTTTCTGAAACTGACCGTTACGCTGAATGTCAATGCTATATAAATACGTCACATCAGTGATTCTCCAAGTGTGGTACTCGCACCATTGATTAGGGATCGACTGATTATTCGGGCAGGCTGATTTTGAACATTATTTTTTTTAAAGTGTCAAGGCCAATAAGAGATCATTTTAAAATGTGTTAACTTCAGGGATTTCATTTATTTACATTTTCAGTTAACTTCATCGGGGATGCTTCTGCACTTTTTATTTTTGTTTGAAATTAAAACAAAGACAAGTAAAAGTTTAACATTCAGTTATTTACAGTGGAAAAGTACAGACTTGTTTGTGTTGCTGATGACCCTTGTGGGCTTCCTAAACTTTCTTTTAGAATTTAAAAACAAAAACCTTTTGTCTATTGTTGTTTAAAACAAAACAACCTTCAACAATTTGCGAATCTGGCAAGTTGCTCAGTCAACATAAGCTTAATGACATTTCAACAAAGAGTTGGAGTTCGTATTTTTATTACACCAATATTCTCCTTTAACTGAAAATGAATATCGTCTCCATATTTCGGTTATTGGCTCCCATGATGACGAGTAATTGATATCTGTATCAGCCCTGGCAAAAATATGTCGGTCTATCTCACTGGTAGTGCGCAAAACAATCATTGATGATTGATGCAACCCTATAGTTGCGTTGAGCAGATTGCTCATGAGGTCTGAAATTTTCACTTGTCTGTGAGGTCATGAGGGTAACTAAGTGTAATTTGTGATTGGATTTCTTTTCAAGAAAGAAGGTATTTATATGCAATATCTTTTGATTGAATCATGATTTAAGTACACTTCCTTCAAAAAAAAAAAAATAGAACCACTATTTGAGTAGAATGCAAACTGCATAATGTTACAATGTTTTGCGTTCTGTACAATAAGATTAAATAACATTATGAATAAAACCTGCTTCATTTTTTTATGAACACTTATGCCTACTGCCCTACTGTATTTTATTGTTGGTCATGATTTTGGTACTTGGAGAGCTTGGGGTTTTAATTTTTTTTTTTGCGGGGGTGGCACATGCAATATCTTTTGATTGAATCATGATTTAAGTACTCTTCCTTCAAAAAAAAAATAGAACCACTATTTGAGTAGAATGCAAACTGCATAATGTTACAATGTTTTGCATTCTGTACAATAAGATTAAATAACATGAATAAAACCTGCTTCATTTTTTTATGAACACTTATGCCTACTGCCCTACTGTATTTTATTGTTGGTCATGATTGTGGTACTTGGAGAGCTTGGGGTTTTAATTTTTTTTTTTTTGCGTGGGTGGCATGAACTGCTGTGTTACATCATTTTAGTAGGTTTTACTTTTCCACTTTTGGCTCATGAATCGGACAAAAAAAAGATCCTTTGTAGAGCGTTGGAATCCTTTAGATACAGTACATGATGCACTTTTACCACATCTGAATCTTGCTGTTTTCCCTCAGAGGTGCCTATCATAACAGTGGAGCAGCAGGTCCTACTTGTGGCTGTCGGGGATGATGCTACTCTGCAGTGTCAAGCCAGTGGTACCCCGCTTCCTCTTGTCCATTGGTTTAAAGGTAACTCACAGTCTAACCTGGTTTAGTACATTGAAAAGCAAAGGAAGAACTGGAGCTCGATTTTATTTTGGATTTCCAGGGAAACTTGAGGTGGGCTCCGCCCCCTTTGTTGAGCAGGATGTCCACCGCGGGACCCTGCATATTCGAAGGGTGCAGGATGTCGATGCTGGTCAATACAGCTGTGTGGCCAGCAGCCCTGCTGGGACTTCCTCTGGTACAGTCAGTCTGCAGGTTGGAGGTAAGACCAGACTGCCCTCTAAGGCAAGGCAATGCAAGGAAAATGGATCTCTGACCACTTTTCGCACCACAGTGGGACCTTCGTTCTCTGATGCACCGGTTGACATGGCGGCTAATGTAGGGGAAAACATCACCCTTCCCTGTGCCGCTCGAGGTTTCCCGCAACCAACCGTGACCTGGTACACTCAAGATGGTAGACACATTCCCGCAAGGACAGACAACCACGGTAGAAAAATGCAGCTGGAGAATGGATTCCTTCTGATTCAGAGTGAGTTAACTTGATAATCGTAACACGTGAGTTGACTAACATGTTCATCTCCCAGCATGACTGAGTGAGGCAGCACAGCCAAAGCCATGAATCTTTTCGTTCCTGTTTTCAAAATCCTAATGACAGCTCAGTCAAACCAATAAGAGCACTTGTTATTAACTTTGTTCTGACATAATCCATAGCGTTTCTGCTTATCTCCGCGGTGCAGAGGGTGCTGTGTTCGAAACATCATTCGTGTTCAAATTTACTTCAGGTGTCTGGCTGGATGATGAAGGGCTGTACACCTGTGAGGCCAAGAACCAGTTTGGAACCATCAAAGCTGAAGCCAGAGTTCGCGTCACTGGACTGGGTAGGCTTGTTTAGCATGAGATTTTCTTTTGCGCCCGACCGTATCCCTGCCAAGGGCAAATGCTTGAAGCGGCTCGTACTTAATTCATGTTCTTTCAACAATTCCAATTGCAGAGCCCCCTCTCTTAGCCCAAAGTGCCCCCATCATTACTACTGGCATCGGGCAGTCCTTGAGTATCCCGTGTATGCTGCTGGATGGCATACCCCTCCCAGAAAGACACTGGTCACTAAATGGGAAACATGTAAGATATAGTAAAGAAGAAATTGATAACGGTACAACATACAGGTTTATACAGATTTATCGAATGTGTCTTTGTTATTCCGCAAAGGTTCAATTGAACGGGAGAATGTTTGTGAGGAGTGATGGAAGTTTGTACATTGAAAGAGCTGTCCCAGAGGATTCTGGGGCATATGTTTGTACAGCAGTGAATGTAGCAGGCTCTATGAACATTACAGTCATCTTGGAGGTCCATGGTAAGTAGTCTTCTGTTTTCATGCTCTGTCCATGCTCTAGACTCGAGGCAGGTTTGAAGTAAAGTCGTTATCGAAAAGCATTGTCATTCTGACCACCTGTTGTTGACATTTGCTTTGAGCAGTGGGCTCATCAGAGGATAATGACAGACAAGCCAGATTATGATCCATCAGCGGCGTAATGAATAAATGCCTCAAGCGCCGATCCAGTTGGCCTTCTAAGGCCAGTGAGATTTGTGAGGGCCAAGCAAATAGTCAGCTGTGCTTTGTGGCCTACTTTCTTCACAGTGCCCCCAGAAATCAAAGCTGGGCCCTACCGCTACATAGCCAACGAGGGCGTAGCCATCACATTGTCATGTGAGACGAGTGGCATTCCTAAACCAGTTGTGGTCTGGTCCAAGGTAAGAGTTGGACGTTTTCTGTTATTCTAACTGCATGTATTCCTTACTCTGGTTCATACGTCCCTTGCCAGCCTTTCTGCTGAAAATGAAACATCAGGAGGCTGCAGTGCAGCATTGCTGACTTGCACCTTTTATTTAAACAAAGTGCTTAAACATGATTTTCCCAAGAAGTCACTCGTCGTATTTGTCAGTGAAGTATTTTTGCAACATTTTGCAATCCAGATCAGAGAGTTCCCCAATCTTTCTTTGTGAGAACATTGACATTTTGTTAATGGCATGACCATGTTGCACAAGCATGAACCTTGAGGTAAGCTGCAGTTTACCATTCACAAAATTCCTATAGTTGATCGGGGATCAGTCCCGAGTGTCTGCCTTTTGCCTTAAGTCTGCTAGAGTCTATCCAGTCTCTGACCTTGAGCAGACTAAGGCATAGAAAAAAATGATGGAATTAAAGGAGCACATATTCCCAATATATCAAATAGCGGTTTGCTGCTTTAGGATACCGTCTTTCTTTGCCAAGTTCTTGTTCATATAACATTAAGCACATTTGACTACCTAATTGTATTTTACTACTTAATTGTTGTCAGCACAGTGTGAGGTAGGTGGCAAGCACATTTGCCTCACAGTCAAAAGTTTCTGGGTTTGAAACTCAGTTTGGACCCTTTTGAGGGGACTATATGTTCACCCCGAGCTAAGATTCAACCCACATCCTTTGACTGTGAGGCAGACATGCTAACTACATGTTCCACAGTGCTGCCTACACACGATCATACATAATTTAGCATTTGCTCATGAATATATTGAAAAGAGCCGGAATGAAATAAAGTCAATATAACAGTTATTCATTCCGATGCGCAGTCAATTATTCCCATGATGACGGCACTCACAAGCCTCGTGTAAAATCCCAATCAAGATCCAGTTGTTTATGCTGTATTCGAACATGACTTTTATGGTTCTCTTTACACCCATTACTGCAAAGTGCTCAGCTTTATGCTTTTTGCTTACCACCGCTATCATTTAAACAGCTTTCAAGTCTGTAAAACATAAATGCTGTACAAAGGCGGTGTTCTACTTATAAATGTCACATCAGGGCTTTGAGCCAGATTCATTTTTCTTCCTTGCATTTTCCGAAACAATTTTATCAGCGTGCTGCACAGTCAAATTCCTTACCGCAGCCTACTTGCCAGATAAGGATACATCTGTAAAAGCTGTTCAAAATAAGTGTGAATTCAGTAGCCTGCATTCTTGTATGTTCACACTGGAGACAGAGAGCAGGTTAGAGGGGAGCCTTGTAATTAGATGAAACATCAAAGGTTTGGCTACAAACCTGAAAGGGAGCTCTGTGTTCCAACATTGTCGTGTGTGGAGATCTCGAGTGGTTTTAATGCATGCTGTGGCTTTAGGGAAGGCAACCTGTGCCTCGGGGCGGTTCCTCGCTTCAGGCTGACCCCGATGGACACCTCCACATCCCTCACCCAACCACTGACGATGCAGGAATCTACATCTGTACTGCCACTAGTTCTGTGGGTTACGCGAGTCGAGAAATCCAGCTCAGTGTTAACAGTAAGGCCAATAAATGCCTGACCGTCGTCACTCAATTCAAGTAGTTTCCAGGCGAGCCAACACTCACAGTCGTTTCTCTTTTCACAGCAATACCGAAGATAGCGGGTGCGAGTGACCATGACAACATAGTAAAAATGTCTGCAGAGGTGGGAGCAGAGGTAGTTCTACCTTGTGAGGCCCAGGGGAGTCCGACACCACTTGTCACGTGGAACAGAAATGGTCACCCCATCCCCCCTGTCACAGCAGGGTAAGTGGAAGGTTTTAACATCACTGTGGCAACAGCGTCATGCGTAGTGAAAGACAAAGGTGCTCAGCACGCCTTGAGTCTGCTCTGTACCTGCCATTCATTACTCCTCAAGTTTTTAGCGATGCCCTTTAAAGCGCAGCTTAGCCGAGGAACCAACCGTCTGCAGGGGGCCTGTGTGAAGGCTTGACTTTCTCACCAAATTGAGGTGGAACATCTGGCCCTGCATGGCTCACATTCATGTGTGGTCACAGTGGCTGCAGACAGGCAGGCAGACTCAGTTCACAGGCAAGAGGAGAGACCCTCCGACTAAATAGGTCGAGGGGAGGATGACGAGGGGAGGTGAAAGCCGCAGTGGTGACTCAAATGCCGTATGGCTAGTCTATGCGGCCGGGAAGAAAGGAAATGTGGGTGGTGGTGTGGGGGATGCCAGGAAGAGGGGAAGAAAGCTAACTGACAGGGAAGAGATACAAGCCCCATCTGCCTGAAGTTGGGAATCCCTGGGGTGCGTTAGCAATAAAACAACATGCTGACTCTTTGCTAGCCCTGCCTGATGAGGATAACATGTCTCTGTGAACAACCCCCACATGGGCTGCAAATGGAGCCACTGCAGATACTATGCAAGCTGTACAGTACTGAAGAGGCCAGCGGGGTGCTGATTGTTGCATCATGTAAATTAGAGGGGTGAGTGTGGTGTTTCAAAACCTGACACTTACCACATTGTATATCAATGTGGGAACTGATGGAGAGGGGATGTCCTGTCCCGTCTGCTTTAGCTTGTCTAACCCCGCAAAGTAACATTTTGCACAAAGCGCCGTCGCTCGGCGCCTCAAATGTCACTGCTTTTCTTCACATGACTGGAGGACTTGGGCTAACTGTGATAATATGGAGAAACAAGATATTTTTTGCTTCAAGCTTATTCCCACTGAAATAAACATGTTATTGTTATAGTTCAGTTGCCTAGCAAAAACACTCATCTACCATAACTGGGAGAGGTCTGTTTACACGTGCGTGTGTATTTTGCATTTATACAACTCCGCCTTGATGAATTTCAGACGAACACAAAAACCTTTCAAGTTACCAAGCAGCCTTTCACTCCCTTGAAACATCAAACAGATGGGCACGTTTTAGTCACAAGCATACTTTTTGTTTGTCTCTGACAGGCAAACTAATGGCTAAATTGGCATTAGCGTTGCTCAAGCAGATATCCCAGTGATGTATGTACATGCATCTAGCACCGCGGTCGGGCCTTTCTTTAAATCAAATCACGCGTGACGCCATCGTGATTGACTTAACACACTGTGTTATTGTATTGATGTTGGCATCTCTGTGACCTTTCCCAGGGCGACTTCATCAACTAAAACTCTGGCTATCCTTTTACACTGTAATTACCTTGGACAATGGTAACAAGTCACAGGGGAGATCACTCGACCCTCGAGGACGCTGCATTTCACTGAGTGGTTTCTCTTTTTTAGACCTTGGATTTCTCACTTAGTCACCACTCGGACAAATTATTTTTTTCAGGGCATCCACATTTTTTTTTTACATTTTAGGGTAACAAATGTTCTTGAAAAAAAACAATGACATTCGAGGAAGAATCTTTGTTTCAAACAGTCTTTTTAGTCTTACAAATGTTCTTACAAAAACAAAGGAATTTGCGCTTTTGTTTTTGTTTTTTTCTTCCAAACAAGATTAGCTTTCTTTCCACCAATATGAATAAATGGTAACAAGTCACAGGGGAGATCACTCGACCCTTGAGGACGCTGCATTTCACTGAGTGGTTTCTTTTTTTTAGACCTTGGGTTTCTCACTTATTCACCACTCGGACAAATTATTTTTTTCAGGGAATCCACATTTTTTTTTTTTTTTACATTTTAGGGTAACAAATGTTCTTGAAAAAAACAATGGCATTTGAGTAAGAATCTTTGTTTCAAACAATCTTTTTAGTGTCACAAATGTTCTTGCAAAAACAAAGGAATTCGCGCTTTTGTTTTTGTTTTTTTTCTTCCAAACAATATTAGCTTTCTTTCCACCAATATGAATGGATTTTCTCTCACTCTTTAAGTGTTGTGTTTTATTGTGTCATTTCTTTGCTCTTCACCCCTCACCATTCCCCAGGTTCACTGTTTTGCCCTCAGGCTCCCTGAAGATAACTGATGTACGCCTCATTGATAGTAAATTGTACACGTGTACTGCAGAGAACCCAGCCGGCAATGTGTCCTTAAGCTACAATTTACACATCCAAGGTAACTTTGTGGGGTTTTATGATAAAGTCGGAAACAATAACATGTTTGTTGAGAGCACTTTCATGTTGATAGAATTCATGATAACGGCACTTCTCTCTAAACTGTTGACATTATGGATAGATATGATAAAACACGTGTCAAGGTTGTTCTTTTGTCCTTAGCCAAGCCCAGGATTCAGCCCGCACCCCCGCTACTGAAAGCCCTGGTGGGACAAACAGTCACGCTCCCATGTGTGGTCCAGGGGGAGCCGAGCCCAGAGGTCAATTGGTTTCACAATGGTCTTCCTGTTGGGATCAAGGACACGTCACCCTTTAGGATCCAGCACGTCAGCATGGCTGACAAAGGAACTTACCAATGCGTGGCTCGCAACAGCGCTGGACAGGAGACTTTGGAGATCATGCTGGAAATTCTTGGTGAATTCCTGTTACTTAATACCAGCCTTTTACAGCTCAAGTAAAAAAACAAACAAAAAAACACTCGATCGTCTTTTCTTTAAAGTTTGGATTCAGTGTCTACCACATACTACTAATCATAACATAGGGTCAACTAATCCTACTATGTCCATGTTTCTATATGTCCATCTATTGTTGGGGGAAGGGAGCGGCCTCTCCTGTATTTTAACACTATCTATCTATCTATCTACTGTAGAAACACTCCACTTTTAAGCAGTGTTGTCATTTTAATGGGAATGCGTCAGGGACAGAATCAGTCTTTTGCGCCTCCAGTGACTCATAGTATATATTTAAAAAGTATAACAGAGTTGTACACGTCTAATGCCGCATTTTCCAACCTCAAAATAGGCCCCAGATTGCATTTTATTGGGCCACCAAAAGAGTAAAATGCTGTCATTTTTTTTTTTTTTTGCCCACCAAGCAGGAACCTAATCGCTTTGGAAAATGTATCTTGATTAATGTTTGTTCCAATGAATACTTGGTTAGTTCATATGAAAATACGGTGTCATGTAATTGATCAATTAATTTGAAGTTTGGGTTCTGGAGAGGAATCAAACGCGTGATTTGAAACCTTGGTCTACCGTGATACCATTTTGGCTTTTGCAACCCTTTCTCAGTCTGTTGACTCTGCCTTTACCCATGTTTTTGTTCCCACAGAGGCCCCGTCTTTTGCAGAACCAGGAGATGCAGTCATGGAGAAAATAGCTAACAGCAAGGTCATCATCCCCTGCCCAGCTGAAGGTAACAATAAAATCAAATATTAGGGTCAATAAATACTGTCGACGTATTCTTGTACTCATCAAATTACTTTGTCAGTACTCTGCCTAAGAGACACTGTTGCCTTAGTTTTGTTCACGGATTCTTTGTGAATAAATTAGCCTTCAGGTGTGAGGTAGTGAGCTCGCCATCCCCCACAAACACATAGGGTTGGGAGTGTTACTTTAAAATGTATTCCGATATCGTCTCTAGTGAAATGAAATGTAGCAAGTAATGTAATCCAAGTAACATAATATTAAAATAACGTAACGTGACTATTTTTATCCATCCATTCTCTTCCATTTCTCCGGGGTCGGGTCGCAAGGGCAGAAGCTTTAGCAGGGAAACCCAGACTTCCCTCTCCCCAGCCACTTTGTCCAGCCCTTTGGGCGTTCCTTGATAAGTCAGGAGACATAGCCTCGCGAGCGTGTCTTTGGTCGTACCTGGGGACTCCTACCAGGACGTACCCGGAACCCCTGACCAGGGAGGCTTCCAGAAGGCATCCTGATCAAATGCCCAAGCCACCTCATTTGGCTCCTCTCAATGCAGAGGGGCAGCTGGTATACTCCGAGCCCACTGCCTTGAACCACAAAGTACATGTACGAAGCAGGGGGGCAATAGTATGCCCACACCTGCTTGGCGCCTCTCTCTGTGGGCAACTCCAGAGTGGAAGAGAGTCCAACCTTACTTGAGAGGACTGGTATGAGAGCCCAGGCTTTGTGTGAAGGGGAGACCTATTATGTCTATTTTCTAGTCGGGACTTCTCAACTTCGCAAACCAGCTCCGGCTTCTTCTCTGCCAGAGAGCTGACATTTCATGTCCCTAGAGCCAGTTTCTGTAGCCTCTGGCCGCTGCTCAGTTCACATGGCACAAGACCCCGATGGCCCCTCCCACAGATGGCAAACCCATGGGAAGAGAATTCACATTACTGTGCCCAGTTGGGTCCCATGGGTGCAGTTGCTTACCTTTAAGCCCCGTCTTCAGGACTTGATTACTTTTAATTACTTTTAGAATACTTCATTGACAAATATCCTTTAAAAAAGGACTCTATAGATTATACAGGATCTAAAAATTATACATATTTATCTGGTCTTTTTGTTCATATTAATGTTTAATATGCATGGTTTTGGAATGTGGGAGGAAGACCGGAATCTTCGGAATTCAGATCAAAAAGCTCATCACTGTGAGGCAAACATGCTAATTACTTGTTACGCATGCTGTGCTAATGCTTTAGCAGCATTACTTTGGAAATGCTATCCAAAATGAATCAATCTTCCAGTGAATATAATTTAAACAGTCACTATCCATTCCCTCCAAGTTGCTTTTATACTCGCCGCATTTGGGGAACCCAACGCGTACATATATCCGATGGTCCGTGCCATTAGCCTGAATTAATGGCCAACATAAACTTTCCCAAAGACGAGTAATGGCGGTTCATTGAACTATCTTGTGACCATTTATCCATGTGTTGCTCCATTAACACTGGAAAAGGTGCCGCGAGTTGAAATGTGGGTGAGGGCTCCAATCAACAAACTGCCTCTTTCTGCCCTGCATTAAAAATGTAGAATCAAAAGTTTTAATAAATGAAACCTGTAATCTTTTTTTCTGTAACTGGAGTGGAATACAATTTCAAAAAAGTGTATCTTGATTATGAAACACCGCAGGTAGTCAGAATTACCGGTGAATATTTAACATATGACAGTTCATGCAAAAAAAAAAACAATAAAAAAATAATCGTGTTTGTTTTGTTCTGTGCCGCGCTAACCTATTAACCCTCAAATGGAGAAGGTGAGGGCTGTGTCTAATATGAAACAACAGCTGGAACATCCGCCTGCCTGCTGCATCCATGAGCCACATCTGCTCTGGTGTGCATATGGGCCTGCTGGGAAAGGAATCCTAATGACAGGTTACAGCAAGCAGATAAAGGGCATATACGGCATGTCTGAGGTGCACCGTGATGTACAGAGAGGCACCTGAAGCCATCTACCCCTATCTGCATCTAAGTCAAACAGGCATGCAGTGCAAGCTCACTTGAAACCCAAGTGTTTGCTTGACACAGCCAGAGAGAGAGGCAGTCGGCTGCAGGAAGGAAAAGGTTCTTCACCAGATAACTTCCTTTATGAGGAAGGTGTAACCCAGTTTTGCCTGAGGGGTGTTATTAATTCACCGACAAGAGCAGCATTGCATTTAAAAGGAGTAATCATTTCAGAAACACGTGCTGGGTATCAGTCAGTCTATATCGGCCACTGCAAATAAATTCGAGAGTCAATTAACTGAGTTCTGACACGTAAAATAGAACATCTGTTTGCATTTTCTTCCAGCAATGAGATAACTTTGCTTCCGAGCTCCTTAACTGTAAACATGTGTCCAGAAAGACACCAGATGATAACATCACTTTTTTTTCCCCTGCATGACTCATGGGAATTATTTTTGAGGGTTGAGGAAAGATGTTGTCTCCATTCTTAACACCTTTGTAAATAGACAGACGCGCAGTATTTGGTCAGTCTATACTGCACTGTGCTCTCAACAGTTGTCTTGTGATTCTGTGTTTGGGGCGAGTACCTCATCCTCCCACCTTAGCCTAATTCTGCCTTTCACTCATTTACCACTTCTAGCTGTTTTGTGCCCACTAAGCTATCGAAAACATCTGTTTGAGGCTCCTGAGTCTGAGAATTGTGCCTATGAACTACTCTTACTGCTCCTCTGTATTGGGTCATAAATCTCAATAACACTCAGACAGATCTTTCATTAAACCTTAATTCTACATGTTGGTTGTCCTTTCTTTCTGTCATGGTGCCCTTGAATTTCAATCTGACAGTGAAAGAAAATGCCTGCCCTGCTCTCTAACAGATAGATGCTTTGATTTTTCTTTTTTTTTTTGGAGGGGGGGGGCTGGTTGTCCACTGCTCATAGAGAAAAAAAAAAAAAAAAAATGGTGGTTGTTGTTTTTTTTCAGAGGCTTATTTTAAACGTCACCCATCTCTGTCTTGCAGGCTCTCCACATCCCAAGGTGCGCTGGTTCAAGAATGGCCTGGAGATACATCCTGGACAATCAGAGTTTTCTGTGACGAGGGATGGAGCTCTTGTAATTAGCAGAGCTTCTGCCAGTCACAGTGGCGACTTCAAGTGTGTGGCGACGAACGAGGCGGGCTCTGTCGACAGGAAGACCAGATTGAAAGTGAATGGTAAGACCTCATCCCCACTTCTATAGGGGAAGTGCAAAGCACAACAGACATCTTCTGCTGTCCTGTATTATTTCAGTTCCTCCTGAAATCCAAGATGATGGCCAGGCACACAACCTTACTGTGACCTTAAAGCAGCCCCTCACTCTTGGCTGTGATGCCTTTGGTATTCCCTCCCCGACAATTACCTGGAATAAAGATGGTCATCCTGTGAGTTTGTGACGCTGGTGTCTCATTGATCTGCAACTGCACGTTAACAGACTCAAGCCCTACAACATACCCGACTCTCCATTGCCATCATGTGGTCCTTGTTATAACTACAAGATGACGCTGGGGACAGTGGGATACAGTGTGGTATTTTCATCTGTCCAGGTCGACGGTCCTGGGTTATATCTGCAAAATGGGAACCGTCTGCTCAGAATCTACAGAGTCCAGCCAGAACATGCAGGAATATTTGCTTGCACTGCTCAAAACTCAGCTGGAGAGGCACAAAGAGAATATCATATTGTGGTGCAAGGTGTGAGCTCACAATGCAGCGACCCCACCGATTTGTTAAGTGCCAGGGATTTGTAGTCTGGTGAAAAAATGTCACTTTGATCAGTCCTGATATTAGCGCATCTGCACAATTTAATTATGTCAAATATGAGTTGTGTTATGTATTAAAGAAATCATATTCAGTCATTTTATTCACATTTTTAGAGCAGTCTTTAGTCAGCATTATACTGTCTATATTGCTACCAGAATATTACGTTAAAGCCATGTCTTGTTTTACAAATTCATGAATTGATACAGTAGCTTTACTGGATTTCAAACATTGTGTAACTGTGTATACTGTTGCTGTGCCTATTGCTGTTATTGTTGACGGTATATACAGCGCAGAGAATCCATATTTCTCTTACTAATGTTGTAGGCCTTCGTGAACTTGCCAATACTCTGTACTTGTCCTTGTGAAAATATGCATTCAATGTTAAGTGAATAACACCTTTGCTGTGTGTTAATCTACTGTTGCAGCTCCACCAGTGATCTCAGGAACATCCAAACTACAAGATATAACAGCCGTCCTAGGCCAGGAGGTAGAGTTTCAGTGCAGAGTTAGTGGGCGTCCAGCACCCATCGTGGAATGGAGTCGCGACGGAGAGTAAGCATTAATCGGTTTTCAGACGTTCTATTCCCCAGCAACTCCAAGGCTATGATATCCTCTATGGGTTCTTGCTGTTCTCAGAGTACTGTCCCGTGATGGAGATCCACATGTGGAGTTTCTGGAAGAAGGCCAGGTGCTGAAAGTGAAATCAGTCCGGCTGAGAGATCAAGGACTTTACCAGTGTCTGGCCAGCAACAATGCAGGGACACAGATGCGCCAGTTCAAACTAACAGTGCAAGGTTTCAGTTTTTTTTCTTATCTACTCATAATTATTAGAGGCTTGTTTTAAATCTAATGAAGTATAATGTTAACAAGTGCATTCATTATTGTGTTTCCAGTACACAGAATGAGAGTTATCAAAATAATTACTGTGCCATCGAGGATGAGATTATAGTTGTAAAAGTGTTTTGGTACCCATGTTGTTTTTAGGTTTAAATATTTCAAATGTTGCATGATAAATTTGCCTTCTTTGCAGCTCCTCCGACAATCAAGGGTTCCGGTGAGACCTCAAACGTGTCAGTGGTGCTGGGTTTCTCGATAGTTCTTCTCTGTGATGTAGAAGGTTCACCCATGCCAAGTATCACCTGGTTGAAAGACAACCAGCCCATTGTGTCGAGCCCCCAGCTGACATACACCCAAGGCGGGCAGGCTTTAAGGGTGGGCTCAGCACAAGGTGACAGCACAGGCCTCTATACCTGCCGGGCTTCCAATCCAGCCGGTACTGCTGTCAAGCACTATTCTCTTAGTGTTCTGGGTAGGACGCATTTCTACATGTCTATGACGCTAAATTGTGAAACAGTACTGTACATCTGATTTTGCTTTTCTTCCCTTTCAAGTGCCCCCACAAATAGAGGGGGACTCAACATCTTTAGGCACTCGAGAAGAGAAAGTACGAATCAATGGCAGTTTAACTCTTTCCTGCCTCGCTAAAGGCTTTCCTGAGCCCAAGATTGCCTGGTTCAAAGATGGGCAGGTTAGTGAGACACAGCATTTCCAAGATTACTGTTGCGCCAGACACCTTATAGCACATACTCACAATGTCTATAACCTTGAAAGTTTAATCCTGCAATCTAAGTCATTTTTTTAACTCTTAAGATGTTGACAGGAAGCAACCATGTTGGCATCCAGGAGAGTGGCGCCTACCTGCACTTAGAGAATGCAATGCTGTCCCATGAAGGTCAGTACACATGTGTGGTCACCAACTCGGCAGGAGAAGACAAGAGATACTTCCATGTTTCCATCCAAGGTGTGTTATGCTGTACCAAAGTTACCTCACACACCAGTTGAACATGGGTCTAAACTTGCAAAAACTTGGCGTCACCTTTTTAGTTCCTCCGGTCTTCCACCGCGTGACTAACAGAGAAGCAGCCTGGGGTGTGGAGGACAGGGAGGATGAGGAGAATGAGGACATGGTGGACACGCGCGAAGTAGTCCTCGGCCACCCCATCAGCCTGTCCTGTGAAAGTAATGCAATACCACCACCCAAACTCAATTGGTACAAAGATGGACAGAAGCTCACCAGCGCTGACGGAGCAACATTAATGCCAGGTCAGGTTCGAGGCCATTGTGTGAGCTCATTTTGAGGCCATTGTGTGAGCTCATTTTTGATCATGAAAGACCCAACTGCTCGTCTCGGTTTGTCTTCTCAGGTGGACAGGTGTTACAAATTGCTCGAGTTCAGAAAGAGGATGCAGGAATGTATACTTGTGAGGCTGTCAATGAGGCTGGAGAGGACCACATGCATTTTAAACTGGAAGTCTTGGGTAAGCGTGAAAATTTGCCTCATTTTGTTGCAATGACACTTACAAAATACATGAGAAAAACAATCCATTCTACCATTTGAAATTGTCAGTATCACCCGTGATCACGGGGGCATCAGAGGAGTTTATGGAGGAAATAGGAGCAGTGGTCAACAGCACGGTGGCCCTCCATTGTGATGTAACTGGGCATCCGACCCCAGCTATCTCGTGGCTTCGAGATGGACAGCCAGTTCAAACGGATTCACTGCATCTCGTCAGTGAGGACAAGGCACGACTGCAGGTAAAGCAGTGCTGTCCCATTGAGCCAAGAAATGGAATTTGGATTTAGGAATAACTCTCATCTTTATATAGCTCCTCAGTGTGCAGGTTTCAGACATGGCTGGATACCTGTGTGTAGCAGAAAACAAAGTTGGGTCAGTTGAGAAGCTCTTCAGTCTAACTGTTCAAGGTAAGAACATATATTTTTCATTCTGTTGGATTCACTCTCACCGAGTATTGATAATCAGTTGGTATTTTGATCTTGACACAAGTGACTCATGTCGACAGTATATGTACAATTCACTGTTTTTTGTTATAGTACCACCAAGGATATTAGGCCCGAAAGAGGAAGAGCTGAGTGTCACCGAGGGTCACATGGTGTCATTACTGTGTGATGTCCAAGCATACCCTCCACCAGAAATCATTTGGACCAAAGATGGGCAGATTCTCCACTTCAGTACTGGTATCCACATATTGCCAGGTTAGGTCCAGGAAACAAAAATCAATCGATAATAATGTTCCAATTGTATGTTTTTAATACAGTCTGTTATTATGGTCTTTATTATTCCTTTGTTTTTGTTTTTGTTTTTTTTCTTGAGGGGATAATATGATGCAACTTGCCAAAACACCCCAATGATCGTGAATTATTGGATGATTGTTGAATACTGTATAGATTTTTGAGTATAGATTTTATTAGCATGATGACGAGGCTTTGTTGTTCAGTCCATACATAAATACGGTTTCTGTACGCAGGTGACACAGTCATACATGCATTTCACTGGCATCTGGCCGAAACCTCCCATGTCCGAATGTCTTTTCAAAAATCTATGGGTCATTCCAGAATTGGAGGACATTTTGGCTTCAAAATTCTTGAAAAATAAACCTTCACTTTTCTGATTTTCTGCTACACATGTATTGATAATAGATCATAAACTATCAAAGGCTGGATTAGCCCAGTTTAGATCAATGGTATGATTTTTATTACATGATTTATTTGGTGTTTACAATACCTGTCACTGTAATCAGTGACAGGTATAAGCTGAACAAATGGAAATAGCAGATGAGAAAAGATTTATTTTGTTTTTTTTAATTTGAAATTTGATAGGAAACATGTAGTTCAGGCAAGGCAAATGTTTGTTCATGAACAATTCCAAAGTATATTTAATATGTCCCCCTTTAATATTACAGGTGGCCAGATGTTACAGCTGCCAAGGGCAAGAGCGGAGGATGCAGGACAATATGTGTGCACAGCTTCCAACTCAGCTGGCCAGGACCAAAAGAGTCTACTCCTCAGTGTTTATGGTGAGCCATCTGCACACGCCGGCTTCATACACAGATGATCACATTTCAAGGCATTGTCTCAGCAAAAAAAAAAAAAAAAAATTGTTTACCACAGCTGTGACAGAGAATATGTAGCCCGAAAGTGAATCGTGACAAGTTGAAATGAATCACAATGAGATCATGTCCTCATTCGAAATGCAAACCAACAGTCCTGCCCACCCTGAGGCCTCGTCTTGATGCCGAGTCAGATGTGCTGACCCCGCAGCTTGGCTCCTCTGTAACCCTGCAATGTGAGGCACATGGTGTCCCTGAGCCCGAGGTCACATGGTATAAAAATGGACTCCAACTAGTTACAGGGAATGGACTGCAGACAGATCGCCAGCAGCTGGAGATCACAGGAGTTCAGGTCCGGAAAACTTATCAAACTTATCAACTTATCAAAGTCATGCCATCACTTGACTCGACTGTCACACATTAAATCCTTACTTTGGAAATTGCTTTGCTCCCAGGTGGCAGATGGTGGCACCTATACTTGCAAAGTATCCAATGTAGCTGGCCAAGTCGACAGGACATTCACACTGGCGGTCTATGGTGCGAATATCTCTTTTGCGTTCCGGACGACCGCAGTGAAGCAAGAGTGGTGGACATGGTTTAAACTACGGTGCAATTTTATTTTTACAGTTCCACCTGTCCTTGATGAGCCTCTCCCAGAGGCCCTAAACTTCACCCTGGGCTCTCACGTATCCCTTCGATGTGAGGCCTCGGGGGTCCCTGTGCCAAGCATCACATGGCTCAAGGATGGAACACCTATTGGTAAGACTTTGACAAAGAAATGGAAATACGACAGTAAAGTATCATCCGATGTAAAATTTAAAATTGTCTGTTTCCAGAAAGTAGCCTGCAGTGGCAGTGGTCTATTCGGGGGAACCGCCTAGAGTTGGGGCCTCTTACTCTGTCTCATGCAGGAACTTACACTTGCGTGGCCAAGAACAGTGAAGGACAGGAACAAAAGGATTACATTCTCACAGTGCAGGGTAAAAAATGACATCCATCTACTAAAACAATGGCTGTCAATTCTCATATGAAATTCAAGTGTCATCCATGAAAGAACAAATTATTATTCGCATTGACCAGTTGTCTTTTTCCTATGTAGTGTCACCGACTATTCTGGACTCTGATCATCCATCTGAGGTGAGTGCACCCATAGGAGAAGAGGCAACACTTGAGTGCAAAGCCTCTGGAAACCCCGTACCTCACCTTAGCTGGCTGAAAGACGGCTCGACTTTGGAAGAGTCAGATACACGTCACGTTGCGTGAGTTATTTCCAGCCCACATTTCTTGACAGAATGTATGAGGTCATCGTAATAATACATTATTTGTATTTACAAAGTAGCTCAATTTGTTTTACAAGAGCCTAATCTATTCATCGTTGTCATTCCCCTAAAATTTGGGGAATAAACTGAAAAAAATCATTAGCATCAAAGTTTGTAAGCATAAAAGATGAATGTGTAGAGAAACAAATGGATTTGTTTATGGTACAATCATGGAGAACATTAATAGCAGCTGGTATACAGATGTTCGGTAACTTTTATGATAAATGGAAATGCAACAACCAACCATGTGTTTGACCGTGAGAACGTCGTGGGGCAACAATGATAATAATGAGAATGTTATTTTGGTGTTCGTAGCATTTAAACTATTTTGTACTTGTTATTTACTAGTGTGACTCCTGATGGCAGCACATTAACTTTACGAAGGCTTAGTCCTGAGGATTCTGGAACGTATACCTGCTTGGCTGTCAGTCCTGCTGGCCAGGAGAGCAAGATCTACACCCTTTTTGTCCTTGGTCAGTTTTAACATTCAACTGTCATCATTTTTGATCGAACAATATGCAGTTGTTTGTTTATTTCTTTATTTTTTTGTCACAGTACGTCCATCCATTTTGGGCGAGACCATCGAACCGAAAGTGGTGCAGGCCATACAGGACAGTGCGTTGACTCTTGAGTGCCATGCTGATGGAAATCCTCCACCTCAGATCAGCTGGCTCAGGAATGGACACCCCTTACTTTTATCACCCAATACACGCCTAATCTCTGGTGACTCAGTACTGAGGTCTGTCTGCGGCGCTGATTTGTGTATATGTTGTCAAATTATACATGAAAGTTATGCTGACTGTCCATTTATCTCATTTAGGATTTCTCCTGTGCACTTGTCAGATGCTGGAATTTACACATGCATAGCTCGCAGTCGAGCTGGTCTTGCTGAGCTTAGTTATGACGTCCAGGTCCAAGGTACCATCATTACACACACAGTTAATGTTTCAGGCATAACAACCATGCACCTACTTAGAACTCATTTACAAAGTAGTTCCATCAACTTTCAAAACTGTAATACACCCCCCGACCAAACATAAATGAATTAACTTCCATTGCTCCAATACAGTTGGCATACAGACCCAAGTTTTTTTCCAATTATTACCATATTGGCCCGAATATAAGACGGTGTTTTTTGCATTAAAATAAGACTGAAAAAGTGGGGGTCGTCTTATATTCGGGGTCTAGACATTATACCCATTCGGGACCCTAGATGGCGCCAGATATCATTGAAGCGAATACTGAACTTGACTCCCCAGGCCAAAGTGAACCCCTGTCATGAAGCAAAAAAAATAAAAATAACGGTGGCACGAAGAAGAAAAATAAAAAATAGTGGTAAGAAAGAAAAGAGAAGAAAATTTTTGTTTTGAAGAAAAATATAGAAGAGATAACAGAAAATGGAGAAACGTAGCGACAATCTGGAGAAAAGTGGGTCGAGGATCGGCCAGGTTAACCGGCAGCTGAGAAGTTATGATGTAATTACATTTCAAAAACCAGAAGCCATTCATTTATGAATGTGATTGCAGTTTAGTTTAAATATTCAAATGTTCAGATATTAAGATTTGAGGCAAAATAACATGCTTTTTCTCTATATTGTTATAATCATTTGTTTCAGATGTACTGTAATTATTTTCTGAATAAAAATTAATTTGGTGTTCAAAAAGTCTTTTTTCAAACTTGAGTCTTGAAAAAGAGGGGGTCGTCTTATAATCAGGGCCGTTTTATATTCGGGCCAATATGGTACCACAGTTAGTAGCATTTGGGATTCTGGTACTGCATGTCACAGCGTTATATGTTCTACAGTGCCCCCTGGTGTAGATCATGTTGAACCAATGGAACCAGTGACAGTTGTGAGAGGATCACTAGTAACGCTTACCTGTGAGGCCCGCGGTGTTCCTCCTCCAACCTTGACTTGGATGAAGGACGGCCAGCCAATGTCACTTCACCGGAACTTGTTGCTGGATGGACAGGAGACACGACTGCAGCTGCCTGATGTGTCACCCTCAGAGGCAGGCCTCTACAGCTGTGTTGCCAGCAACCAGGCTGGAAGCAGCACAAAGAGTTTTAATCTCACCATTCTTGGTATTATTATTCATATTGATAATATAATAATTGGCCCGATACTGTCTATATTTTTGTCTGAACACATTTCAACAAAGCGCCTTGAATTCTGATCCAGAGCCTCCAAAGATATCCAAGTCTGGTGCCCCAGAAGAGCTGACGATTGCAGTAAACAACCCACTGGAGTTGGAGTGCTCTGCAGAGGGAGTACCACCCCCTACCCTTATCTGGCTCAAAGATGGTCGTCCGCTGGGCGGAAACAACATCATTCAGGACGATGGACACATTCTCAGTATTAGCAAAATTCAGGTAAAAAAAACCAACAGCTTCTAACAGCCACAAATGCTGCAGTGCACATGCGGTTTAAAGATTTGTTGCAAAAACGTACTGTTGCTCTGAGCTTGATATAAAATATATCATAATTGTGCCTCGGAAAAAATAGGGCATGGCTCAAAGAATTACAGGTTTTAAAGACAAAAAATATAATCTCATAGATCTGCAGACATCTGCATTCAAACAGAGCTGAATCCACTTGTCAGTTAGAAATTGGCACGCATTGCAATGAATGAAAATTTTAGTCTTCATGGTCCAATTCTCATTACCCATTGTAGAAAATGTAGTATTATGCATCAGTTTTCTTTACATTACAGTCCAGTATACTAGAAACACATTAAAAGGCACAGAATCTACATTTGAGACTGGGCATCAGAGTTTTGCAAGAGATAGTCAACCTGACAAACACTGTCTTCTTCAAGGTTGAGGATGCAGGTCTGTATACCTGCTTGGCCAGCAGCCCAGCTGGAGAGGATGGAAGAAACCATTGGGTTCGAGTACAAGGTAAATGAAGAATGAGTTGTACATACTTTGAACTGCGCAATCTGATGTCTTCTGAATTAGTACGTGATTATGCAAACATTGTTCACACTACAGTTCCACCAACCCTTCTTGGCTCTGAAGATGTGAGGACGTTGTCAGTACCACTTAATGGACATTTGACCCTGGAGTGCCTGGCTGACAGTGACCCCTCCCCTGATATAGAGTGGTACAAGGATGAGGTCGAGATGCAGGTACAGGATGTGAACACATTCACAAAGAGTGAGTGAAGTAGAAGAACATCCCTAAGTCACATCCTTTTCTCCAATTAGCTGGGTGGTCGCATCCAGCGGCTTGCAGGAGGCCAGTACCTTGAAATACAGGATGTCAGACCCGAGGACAGTGGCCAGTACAGTTGTGTGGTTAGCAACATAGCAGGAAGCACCAGTCTCTTCTTCATTGTGGAGATTCTCTGTAAATTGCTCTTTTACCAGACATGGTTAAAACTAGTTCGGCACATTGGACCCTAATCATACTTCTGCCTCCCAGTGCCGCCGGTAATAAAGGAGAGCAGCGCAGTGGTGACAGCTCAAATAGGCCAGGATGCAGTTTTACCGTGTGAAGTCGAGGATGGCACGACTCCTGCAATCATGTGGCGAAAAGATGGCTTCCCCATAATCCACGATAACAACAAGTAGGTCTTTATTTTGTGTTAATGTTGTTAAAAGGTTAACATGTTCAGGCTTTTCGATAACAACAAGTAGGTCTTTATTTTGTGTTAATGTGGTAAATAAAAGGTGAACATGTTTAGGCTTTTACCACAACAGCTTGGGTGAATTTTATATTTCTAGTAAACCACGTACTGTACATACTTCAAATGTAGTCAGACTGCTAATTTCGGTGAATTCTTGTAATTTGAAGGATGAATTCACACCTTATCAAAAAGCATTGTACTGAAGCATTTTCAAACAATGTCACAATTAACTAATTTGCAAGAATTTGTCCAAGGATTCCGACAAATAAAATCGCATCATACACATTTGGGTATAAATCCAACGACCTTTTTGTCTTTGAAACTGAATGAGTATGGATAGCATTAAAATCCTATTGGATGTATTTTATGAAAATGATTCAGCATGTGAAATATTTCAGGTACACCATGGTACCAGAAGGCTCCTTACATGTGCATGGGGTTCAGTTGAGCGACGCTGGCCGCTACCACTGCACGGTATCAAACCAGGCGGGCTCAGACCACCGCGGAATCGATCTCAGAGTATTTGGTAAATAGGAAAAAAAACGGAAACTCTGAAATTAGTGACTTGGGTCAACATGTTGGAATCTGCTCTGTGTCGTGTTAGTGGGTCCTTCAATCAGTCCAGGTCCGTTCAACATGACGGTCACCACAGGCATCAGAGCTGTCCTGAGCTGTGAGACAACAGGCATACCCCCTCCTAAAGTGTCTTGGAGAAGGAATGGCTCTCCTCTTGATGCTAGCCAGGGTGCATACAGGTAAATACACACTTTTTTGTGACATTAGTGATCATAATAACAATAGTAAGACATAATATCTTATTTTTGAAGGTTATTATCTTCTGGGTCCCTGGTAATTTTATCGCCAACCAATGAGGATGAAGGTTACTTTGAGTGTACAGCCGTGAATGATGTTGGAGAGGAGCGCAGGGTTATTGAGGTCAATCTCCAAGGTATGGATTTTAAGGTGGTACAAGTCGACAACAGTTTGAAATTCAATAATTGTATTTTTGTGCCTTGCTCTTGTAGTCCCACCATCTATTGAAGATGATGTCACAACAGTCACGGCTGTGAAAATGTCTCCAGTGGAGTTGCCTTGTCATGTCAAAGGCCGACCTCAGCCCACTGTCTCTTGGACAAAAGGTGGAGCCAAGCTGGGCTCTAGAGGAGGAAGTTATCGCATCCTTCCTACAGGTAAGAAACCGTCTCTACTTGTGTTTTAGGGATTATCTCAGTGTCATGCAAAACACTGAGAAGAAAACTTGTCAATTACCCCATTTAAGAGGCAGATAAATATACTTATTTATTCAAGATGTGGTACTGTAGTAAGATTAGGATAACGACGACGGCAGCAGTGGGTCGCCTGTGTTATGACCCATTTGGTCAATAAACCTGCTTAGTAACATCTGATTTATTATTTTTTAAATGAAGCATGATCATCAAATATATAATAATATAATGAACCACTGTAGTTATTGCCCAAAAATGGAACTAAATCAATAATTAATTACGTACATCTGAATGAGAGAAACTAAATTAAGACACAATCAATTGTCTCAGGTGAACATTTATTTTTTCAAGTCATGAAACGCCACAAAATGCTGACCACGTAGAGATTACATGTCAAGTTCAAAATAGAGTTGTTGTAGGCTGAAATGTGGGCATATTTAGACAGACACAAATGACATGCATGACGAAGCTCTTGTTTTTCGTACTGTGTAGTTTGATGTGAGGCCAGGGGTGTTTTGCTTCGTCTGATTGGGGATCGCACGCCGTTGTTTCCACCACTATTTCTCCACTTGGTTCACAAACTTTGCTTCTATGTGGGCCCGTGGAACCTTTGTGCATGTTGCCAGTGAAGTCAAGTTAAAGGGCCTGAGGCATAGGTCAGGGCTCTGTAACAAACCAAATTTGATTCTGCAAGCAATACAAATAAAAGTAGTGAGCGCAATGGATTTCAATGTAAAGCTCCGATCGCACAGAGCGGCACATATTTGCGAAGTGTTTGTGAAGTTCGCGAATGTTGCGTTCTCATCAGGGTCCGTCAGGGTTGGTTCAAGGTTGCAAACTTTTGCCAAATGGTCGTCATCTCCCTTACTTTTCTTGTTGCAACAAGAAAAATGACAAAATCTGTTGGCGAACATCTGACAAACATTTAGTGAACATTTGCGACCTTGAACGAACTCTGACGTGAATACGCATTTTTCTCCCTTCGCCAACAGTCACAAATGTTCGCGGCTTAGTGGGATATTTTAATGGAGTAAAAACTATGTTTTTTTCTGTTTTTTTTAACAAAAATCTCAAGTGAGAGTGTAAAAAGTATGTTTCAGTAAAACGGCTGCGACAAGTCCAATTCATCCAAAAAGTTACTTCAGTAGTTTTAACAGGACAAATGTATGTTACGGACCACCTCTGTTTATATGTGACAACTGCATATACTACTGCTATCCTCTATGCAGGGGTGTTGGAGATAACTGCCGTGTTACCAAGTCACGCCGGCAGGTATACTTGCTCAGCTCGTAATACAGCTGGAGTGGCTCACAAACACATCTCACTTACGGTGCAAGGTGGGTAGTCATTTGTTCGCTTCAAGGCTCTGGCACAACATCATGTATTTGATTAAAAACGCATATCACGTAAGCAAGTTGAAACATAATCTCACTTTACCTTGATCCGATAGAGTCCCCAGAAATCAGGCCAATGGCAGAGGAAGTACAAGTAGTGTTAAATCACGGGACCGTCCTACCCTGTGAGGTACAAGGATTTCCTAGACCGTCCATTACCTGGCAAAGAGAGGGTGTTCCCATCGCAGCGGGTAACAGCAGCACATCATGGATCTTAAGAAAGGATAAACGACATATTTCTTCCAAAAATGCTTTTACTTGGTTTACAGGTCACAGGCTGGCTGTGCTCTCCAATGGCGCCCTCAAGTTTGCTCGTGTTACTCTTGGTGATGCAGGGCTGTACCAATGCCTGGCAAAAAATGAAGCCGGTGTGGCTGTGGGAAGGACCAAACTTGTGCTGCAAGGTAGTGTACTTTTGCTTTCGGAAATCAAAGGGGACATGCTTCCCGCTTGTATTCGAATTGCGTGACGTGATAAGAGCATGTGTTCTTATCACTGTGTGTCCTCAGTTCCACCAGTGCTGAGTGTGCCCCGTGTGGAATACACTGCCGTGTTGGGCCAACCAGTCAGTCTGGAGTGTGCGGCAGATGGTCAGCCGCAACCGGAAGTTACTTGGCACAAAGAAAGGAGGCCTATAATTGACAGTGCTCATATTCATTTACATGCAAATGGAACATTGGCGATCACTTCTACCCAGCGCAGTGATGCGGGGACATACACATGTACCGCCAAGAATCTGGCTGGCAGAACCAGTCACGATATCAGACTGCTTATTCAAAGTGAGTCAAGGCTCTTGGTTTGTCTTTGTGAAAATACACTGCACTGTATTTGTTGATTAAAATCAGTTGAAATGATCTAAGTTTCGCCAAGCATCGAGATTTTTGCACGGACCGTAAAGAAAATGCTGGGGTTCAAATATATGGCAAGAGAGGAATTCAAAACCTCCTCTGCATTAATGAGCTGAGATGTAAGAATGTTTTTGCTATTGTAACACTAAAACCTACACAGCCATTCTGGTTTTGAAAGGAATTATGCCTCGTCAGTAGCTTTGATGCGATCAGATAAAAGGGTGGATCGCTGGGAATGACAGGGTTCCTACCTATGGAAACTCAAAGTTACAGTATCTTTTCGTTGTGTTTCAGTTCCCCCAATGATTCTTCCTGGGCAAACAGAGATGTCGGTCATTCAAGGATTTCAGGCCTTGTTACCTTGTGCTGCTCAGGGTTCACCAGACCCCAAAGTATCATGGGAAAAGGATGGTGAAATTTTGCTCAACATTCCGGGCAAATTTACCATCCTGAGATCCGGAGAGCTGATTATCGAGAGGGCTGAGGTGAGGAGTAGAACATTGACAGATTCCGTGTCAGCCCAGTCTTGGCTCTATGAATGACTCTCATTTGCGTTTACTTACATAGTCAGGAGATGCTGGAATGTTCACATGTGTAGCCACCAACTTCCCGCTTGTATTCGAATTGCGTGACGTGATAAGAGCATGTGTTCTTATCACTGTGTGTCCTCAGTTCCACCAGTGCTGAGTGTGCCCCGTGTGGAATACACTGCCGTGTTGGGCCAACCAGTCAGTCTGGAGTGTGCGGCAGATGGTCAGCCGCAACCGGAAGTTACTTGGCACAAAGAAAGGAGGCCTATAATTGACAGTGCTCATATTCATTTACATGCAAATGGAACATTGGCGATCACTTCTACCCAGCGCAGTGATGCGGGGACATACACATGTACCGCCAAGAATCTGGCTGGCAGAACCAGTCACGATATCAGACTGCTTATTCAAAGTGAGTCAAGGCTCTTGGTTTGTCTTTGTGAAAATACACTGCACTGTATTTGTTGATTAAAATCAGTTGAAATGATCTAAGTTTCGCCAAGCATCGAGATTTTTGCACGGACCGTAAAGAAAATGCTGGGGTTCAAATATATGGCAAGAGAGGAATTCAAAACCTCCTCTGCATTAATGAGCTGAGATGTAAGAATGTTTTTGCTATTGTAACACTAAAACCTACACAGCCATTCTGGTTTTGAAAGGAATTATGCCTCGTCAGTAGCTTTGATGCGATCAGATAAAAGGGTGGATCGCTGGGAATGACAGGGTTCCTACCTATGGAAACTCAAAGTTACAGTATCTTTTCGTTGTGTTTCAGTTCCCCCAATGATTCTTCCTGGGCAAACAGAGATGTCGGTCATTCAAGGATTTCAGGCCTTGTTACCTTGTGCTGCTCAGGGTTCACCAGACCCCAAAGTATCATGGGAAAAGGATGGTGAAATTTTGCTCAACATTCCGGGCAAATTTACCATCCTGAGATCCGGAGAGCTGATTATCGAGAGGGCTGAGGTGAGGAGTAGAACATTGACAGATTCCGTGTCAGCCCAGTCTTGGCTCTATGAATGACTCTCATTTGCGTTTACTTACATAGTCAGGAGATGCTGGAATGTTCACATGTGTAGCCACCAATGCAGCAGGCTCCACAAGACAGGAGATTCATCTGTCCGTCAACATGCGGCCTGCCTTTAAAGAGCTACCAGGTGATGTAACCTTGAACAAAGGACAGCATCTGGCCTTGTCCTGCCACGCTCAGGGAACCCCTGCTCCTGTCATCTCCTGGACTATCAACAACAAACCTTACGCAGGTATCATTTACTTTGAATGGTGTTGCTGAGCTCCCAGTACTAGCAAAATACACATTTTTCATAGTGTTCAAATGTACAATTTTTTTTTGACCGGAGCCTGGATTTTGACTATTTAACTTGTTAATTCATGAATTTTGATTCACCACATTTTCTAGGTGCCACTGTAGACGAAGCAGGCAGGAACACCATCATCATCGACAATATTACTATGAGTGATGCTGGCACATATGTGTGTATCGCAGAAAACAGCGTGGGCTCCATCCGAGCGCTTTCCTTTGTTCGCATCAGAGGTAAACTCTGACTGATTAGCGGAATCTCTCACTGAACAGACAATTATCTCTGTATACTGTGTGCGTTTTTTAGAGCCTCCCGTGCTGAAGGGTGAAGCCCACATGTCTCAAACCGTCATTCAAGGTGGCTCCGCTGTGCTCGACTGTCCGGTCCATGGAGATCCCAACCCCGTCCTCCGCTGGCTCCGAAATGGAAAACCCTTGCGCCACTCTGTCCGCATGCAGACACTTCACAATGGATCATTGATCATTTACAGCATCACTGTAAATACAAAGTTCACACATTTTATCCCTTGCTTATTAGTCAAGTTTGAATTGTAAAGTTTGCGAGCGTAGACTTCGAGACATTTTATTTTTTTCTGAAAGCAAACGCATTCATCCAATTCAGGCTTCCCCTGTGTCGCTGACTGGCAGTGCCCTGCTTCCAACACAATCTGATTGGAGGCACTGCAGATAGAAACTAACAGCATTATCAACAGAAGGAGGAGGTCAACAGAGAACTGGATGTTCTCAGACTCTGGCCTGCCTTGCTTAGCCTCTAACATCGTTATGTCCCTCACTGCTGCCATAATTGCATCGCCTGCAGCTGAGATACTCACAGGCAGATGACAGTTCTTCCCACAGTGCTTCTTTCAATGTATGATATTCTTCGACTTGGCCCTACAATATCTTGCTAAGTCACATCAACTCTCAACGAGTCAACAGTGTATCATGTTATTTCCTGATTCATATATTGATGTTATTTCATACCTTACATCATACCAAAGCTTTTTGCTTTTGAGGCTATGGAGGGGTCCTCCTGTTTAGTAATGTTGGCATACCTGTGATTATGGATGGTTGTTTATCAATATGTACCGTGGGACTGATTTATAATCTGGTCAGAGTTTATACCGTCTCTCAGCCTGTCATCTGGTGTAGGATCAAGTGCAGCCATGTTTCCCGACGGAAAAAACATTCTAGATGTACGGTTGTGTTAAATTAATGACTTAGTTTGGTCCTGGTTTGTTTTTATGAGAGAAAGATTATTCATAACAGTGCCAATCATTTTAATCAATACATATCTGTCATTTGACTTGACAGGCTGCAGATGAAGGGGATTATGAATGTGTGGCTGAGAGTGAAGCGGGGTCAGCTGAACGGACCATTACTCTCCATGTTCAAAGTGAGTTTTCACTTGTTTATAATTCAACCGTGTTTAAGTAACCCTCGTGCCATGCACTTGGACCTGTCACACAGCCTATATTCCCTGTCAAAGTACACACAGTAACTCCTTTCCATCAGCCATCACACACTATTTTACTGAAACTGTCCGTTTCTATTCATTGGTCATTTATGGGTGGGGAGGTTGTTGCATCACCAATGTTATCTTGGTTGTGACTGCATTTTCTTCAAATATCTGCTAATGGCCACAATTATTTTCCTCTGTGTCTTAGTTAATGGAGGCTATTCCAACTGGCAGGACTGGGGTCCTTGTAGTAGCATCTGTGGTCAAGGCTCCCAAGAGCGCAGTCGACTTTGCAACAACCCGGAACCAGCTAATGGTGGACGAACATGCATCGGGCCCAGTATTGACTCCAGGACATGTCATGCCGGCCTTTGTCCAGGTTTAAGTAAAATCCTACAGTATATTTATTTATCTTCTGTCTGTCCGGTAGGTATATAATTAAAAATTCAGGCCAAAAAAAAAAAAAACCATTCTCTAAATGGATGCATATAATCTGTGTGCAATGGAGTAGATAAACACATTGGTTCAGGGATTTTTTTTTTTAATCCCATTGCTTTCAATATATTTGCATAATATTTTTAACAGCCATATATAGTATGTACATCTTTTCAACAATCTAATATTGCATCAGGAAGGCATAATAGAAGTCACGTTGCATCTTACCCTGTTTCATGCAAATGAGCCGGTACTCACTAAGTGCCCCTCTACTACGATTGCATTACCATGTCACCCGTGGTCGGAGCTATTTCGAGCTCCTAATTAGTTTCTTTTTTTCCTCACCCAACCATCCATGATGACGGCAAACGCATGAATTGTATTTCCACACATTGCATTTCATCAGCAAGCTGCCAAATTGCACATATAGACACCAATTAGCGTGCGAATCTGTGCACATGGTGTATACAGTGGACACAGTGTCAGGTTCCACTATTCTTCTTCTCATTATCCAAGCATAGTTATCCGCCTTGTATTATGATGCATCTGTAATGTATTTTTTTTTCTGATGAAAGGTGAAGCCCCTCGTAAGACCAGAGGCAGCCTAATAGGCATGGTCAACGAAAGGGAGTTCGGTGTGTCCTTCCTCGAGGCCAACATCACAGATAATGAAGAGGAAGGCAGCAGCTCTTTGCAGGCCCGTCTTGACAACATTCCGCCAAGTCTGGGTTAGTAGCACACAGAACGATGAAAGGAGTGGTTTTCAGTATTATAGTATACAGCCATGGCACCAGTAGGGACATCATTTTTGGCTTGCTTCATCGTGGTGCTCCTAGTACAGTGCAGTGTAGATTTCACTCTTGCTATAATCCAATTTATTGATGTTCATATGGTAGGGCCCTTGCTGCGGGTGCTGGTATCTGTTTTTGCACCTATCTACTGGACCACTGTGCTTCAGAACGGGCCCACGAGGAATGGTTACTCCTTCACACACGGCCAGTTCAGGCAGGAGTCTCAGCTGGAATTTGACACAGGTTTGCAGTTGATTGTACTTATTCACCCCCCCCCAACCACCAACACCTTCCCTCCCATCCCACCACCATCCCACCAACATCAGGAATGACTGTCGCAGTGCTGACAGTCTTGCTTTTAATGACTTCTACGTCATTTTATATACAAAAGAACCACAAGATGGCGGTACTGACTCGTGTCTTTGAAGGCCACAGTCTCCCAACTGGAAGTGTAAAATATTGTTTGGGATTCCTTCAACCAGGGGAGGTCCTTCGTCTCACCCATGTTGCCAGAGGACTGGATTCCGAGGGAGTTTTACTGCTTGACATTGTAATCAATGGATATGTACCTCCATCATTGACAACCTCACATCTGAGCCTCCAGGTGTGTTCACAACTCTCCTTATTATCAGCAGTGTTCTCAATTTCTAAAATGGAATTGTATATCCTGTAGGAGTTTGATGAGTCCTACGTGCAGACAGGCCAAGGGCAGATGTACTCCTGGTCGTCACAGAACCACCAGAGGGGAGGGAGGCCCATGGTGTTGCGGTGCAATCACACCATTATTTACGAGGGCGAGGAAAATCGTCAGGGCCCTCTGCTCCAGCTGTTGAAGGTTTCTGGAATGAATAGTGTCTACAATATGCTTACTCTTACACTGGACTTCCACTTCACTGCCAGCCTTCTTATACCAGGTCAGAGGAAATTATTTAGGGAATGTCAAATAAATAAATAAATAAATTTGGGGAACCAAACATTTCCCGCTAAATGGTTCTGCTTGCAGATGGATATGAAGAAAGTTGCCCTAAAGGCTTTGTCCTCGACACAACCTCATACTGTGCTGGTAGGTGGCCTCCGCCTCATGTATGGTTCGTCGATTTTTAACTTTAAATGTATGTGATTGTGCCACTTTATTATCGTAATTCAGTTTGTGGTTATGACTAGATGAAGATGAATGTGCCCTTCAGTCTCCCTGCTCTCACTCATGTAACAACATCATGGGAGGATTTTCCTGTGTCTGCCCTTCTGGCTTTACCATCTCCACCGAGACCAACGAATGCCAAGGTCAAACAAGCACACATGATATTCTTTAGTTAACAGTTCACTGACTGCATTGGCGGGTTGTAATTTGTATTAAGCTGTGAAAATTGCTCCCCGAATTCATCACGTGGACCCAACAGATATCGACGAGTGTGCCCAGAGCTTCCACATGTGCCACTACAACCAACAGTGCGTCAACACAGTGGGCACTTACCGCTGCCAAGCCAAGTGTGGAGCAGGGTTTAAGCCCAGCAGTTCAGGACACAGCTGTGAAGGCAAGTCGCCTTTTATCCTTGTTCACTATTTCATCCATACATTCATTAGATGGATAAAAAAAAGGGTGAGACCAGATGAATCCTGAAATGGTTGTCAGCCAATCGATAGATAGGTAGATATTATTCATCCCTAAGGGTAATTCACATATGTGTGATTACGAACCGTAGTCACTGAATTAAACCTATGGCAATTACACAGCAGACTGATGAATCCGGCCGGATGCCTAATTTTGTGTTTTAGATGTAGACGAGTGCCGAGAGTCAACTCTATCACCGTGCCAACATCAGTGTCTCAACACTTTGGGCTCCTACCGCTGCATCTGCCACCCCGGGTACCAGCTGTCAGGACACCAATGCATCGGTCAGCCATTTCAACACTAAATCGGCAACGGATACTAATGTTTCATTTGAATGATGGAGTAATTTAATTCTTTTAACAGACATCAATGAGTGCATGAGGAATGTGTGCCCAGCTCACCAGCAATGCCAGAACACTGACGGAGGTTACCAGTGTTTCGACAGCTGTCCTGCTGGCATGACCAAAGCAGAGAGTGGAGTGTGCCTGGGTTAGTGTCTGTTCTTTCTCACTTCATTCATTTTCGAGAATTTCCACAGCAATTCCAGTTTTCTACTCTACAGAGGTTAGATTATGTAAGATTATAGTTGAAGGTTTCCAGGAAATTTTAGAAGCACATTTTTCTCAAGTGGGTAAAGGTGGGGATGAGCCTGTTGGCACTGCATTTTACATTGTGTAACAGAGTCCCATTTCACAGGAAATCTGACGCATTGCTTCGAGGCAGCATGAAGCCATTGGTTTACCTCCATAATGTCAGCAAGAGCTTTCCTCAATGCTATAATTTGTTGCGCGGATTCCACATTAAGATCCTCAACAGGAGTATGAATAGACTAAATATAAAGCCACATTTCAAACAAGTGGTACAATTTAGTTCAGGTCGCCACGTTACATTTGGAATCGTAAACCGTGATCTGGCTTGTGTTTACACCACAGGAGGGCGTAACACACGGAACTAAAAATTAATGCAGCACTGCACTGGGTTGTATCTTGTCATGTTTTTTTTTTAACAGTAAAATGACATTTTAAACATAAGCAGCCCTCTTCTTCTTCTCCCTTGGTTGAACTGAACTGTCAAAATTCTGTTAGTGTGTCTCGGCCCTCTGGTAGGTACTTTTATTCTGTGGGGACCAAATACAGGTGGTGGTCAGTTGCTCTGGAACTTTGGTAAAATCTCCAAAATCTGCAAACGACACCCATCCATCCATTTTCCGATCCGCTTATCCTCACAATGGTCACGGGGGGTGCTGTATCCTATTCCAGCCGTCTTCGGGCAGTAGGCGGGGGGCACCCTGAACCGGTTGCCAGCCAATCGCAGGGCACACAGAGACAAACAACCATCCGCGCTCACACTCACACCTTGGGACAATTTAGAGTGTTCAATCAGCCTGCCATGCATGTTTTTGGAATGAGGGAGGAAACCGGAGTACCCGGAGAAAACCCACGCAGGCCCAGGGAGAACATGCAAACTCCACACAGGGAGGCTGGAGCTGGAATCGAACCCGGTACCTCTACACTGTGAGGTCAACTCGCTAACCACTGGACCACCAGGCCGCCTTCTGCAAACGACACCCAACACAATTTGTACTTCTAGCCGGGTGTTTTAACCCCCTCACTTGTCGTGTTTTTGAAAACTTGATGACCCTTTTCTCTCTTGTTTTTCAGATATTGACGAGTGTCAGGATGGAAGTCACATGTGTCGCTACTCTCAGATCTGTCAGAACACGATTGGTGGATATGGGTGTCTCTGTCCCAGAGGGTACCGATCTCAAGGAATTGGTCTGCCATGTCTGGGTAGGACATTGCTTCATCTCTTGCAGATTAGACACAAATATGAGTATAATTGTATTATTGACTCTGTTGTATACATGCAGATGTCGATGAATGCCAGCAGACACCAAGTCCATGCGCCTTTCAGTGCCGCAATGTGCCTGGCAGCTTCAGGTGCCTGTGTCCACCTGGAACTGTGCTGCTTGGGGATGGACGCTCGTGTGCAGGGCTGGAGAGAGGACAGTTCTTCACGAATGGAACCAGAGTCAGAGCGAGACTTCGGCCGCAGCTTGTGTCATCCCTCGGCAGGCCGATTTTGTCTCGTTCTCACGGGGTATCTCGTATTACCAGGCAGAGTTGCCCTGTAGGGTACACCAGCAGAGACGGCAAATGTGTTGGTAAGCTTCCATCGAAGGCTGCCGGTGCCCTTAGTTTGATGACAGTGCTCAGCCAGTGCAGCGAGGACTACCAATCACATCATCTTGTCCAAAACAGGTCTTGATCTGACAATATCTTCCAGAAATATGCTAACTAGGGTTGAGTGCCAAAATGTTTTTTGTCTACAATGTGATAAAAGTCGAGTCAAAGTACAAAGAAGCTGGCTTGATACCGTCATTGATATTCTTTCAGCACAGCACAGCGTTCCCCAACCTTTTTTGCGCCATGGACCGGTTTCAAGTGAAGACATTTCGATCGACAGGCATAAAAACTAATAAAAGGAAATGTCTTGCTTTGAGTCCCAATTTTTGGTAGAACCACACACTTGTAGCATCCATGTCGCTACTAGGCCTGTCACGAGGATCAATATATCAGCTTATTGCTCAATGAATAATGAAGTATATCGACATGATAGTATTTTTAGGGACTCCATAAATGGTCATTTACATGCGTGTTTGTTGACACACGTCATCAACACTGAGTCACGCTGGTTTGTTCCTTCTCAGGTCAGTCCACTCGCTCGCCGCGGTGCGAGGTGGCACGCACACGCACATGAACACACAAGGGCTGGAATGGCTTTTGAAAACTGTTTAAACGGTTCAGTTTGATTGTTGTTATCACCATTCGAAAGAGCATCCAAAAATAGAAAAACCAACAGTAAATATACAAGCTTCGTTCGACATGCTCATACTTTATCACTACAATGTGTTGTCATTTGTGTAGATGTGGATGAATGTCTGCTGAGGAAGCCATGCCAACATGATTGTCAAAACACCATTGGCAGTTTCCGGTGTCTATGTCCTCCAGGGTACCAGCTGCTACCCAATGGGAGGAACTGTAAAGGTACCAGAAAATCAGTTTGTGATTACGTATCTTTCATCTCTTCCGTAATTAGTAACTAGTGCTTTCTACTGTCTTTGTTATTCATTTATTTTTTTTTATTGTTGTATATATGATATTGCATTGGTTGTTTTAAAGTGCTCTATAAATACAGTTGAGTTGATTTGAGTAATTACAACAAGTGAACTTTCTTCTCCACTCTAGACACTGACGAGTGCCTAGAGCAAGGCATTAAATGTGGCTACAATCAGATGTGTTTTAACACCAGAGGAGGATACCAGTGCCTGGACACTCCATGTCCTGCATCCTACCAGCGTGGAAGAAGCCCAGGGTAAGTCCAACAAAAACTGACATGATTGATTGATTGAGAGAGAGGGAGAGAGAAAGAGAGCGAGAGAGAGAGAGATAATTGAGACGTGATTGTAAAACCATTAAAATGCCTCGACATGTCCCTCGTCTCATCTTTAAAAGGACATGCTACAAGCCGTGCTCTCTGGACTGTGCCACAGGAGGCTCTCCTCTGCTCCTGCAGTACAAACTCCTCACGCTTCCCTCTGGCATACCTGCCAATCACAACGTAGTGCGGCTGTCCGCTTTCTCAGAGTCCGGCATCCTCCAAGAGCGCACATCTTTTATCATGCTAGAGCAAGAGTCCGAAACGGGTCTGATGGGACAGGCATTTGACATCAGGGATGAAGCAGGCCGCGGGACGATCTACACAATGCGGCTTCTTGACAGGCCGGAACTAGTGCGGCTCAAAGTGCAGGCCACCACCATTTCGCAGCAGGGCCGTGTGACCTACCGGAGCATTTTCATCATCTACATTTCCATCTCAGCATTTCCCTACTGAGCATCTGCTGCTTCACAAGTGACTAGCCCCTAAAAGGCCTCTAGATACTTTTAAAACAAAGGCAATACCCCAGAAACCTTAGCCTCGGGTGCATTATGCCCTTCCACAGACACCTCAACATACAGTATATGACTAAGTGAACACAGTCAGTCAGACAAGATTCACAATTGTATCCTTATCTGTGACTGATAAATCCTGTAGATACTGAGAAATTTAGGACTGAAACACAAACTTAATATTGTCATGGTCGATATGCCTGACCAGAGAAAATTGAATCTGTCCTTAGCCCTAAAAATGGAAAGTGCAATGCATCAGTTGTTTTAGCAATAATATCAAAAAGTACCAAGCTTAGCTCTTCTGGCAGTGATTCAAGGTCTGGTGGTACTGTTTCTAGTAAAGTCTCAATAGGACAAATAAATGAAACTGCGTATGTAGCTTGATCTGTTTAAAATAATTCACCATTAATGACAATAGACAACATTTACATTAGTAATTGCCTATTCTGCAATCTTTAAAAAAGTCTGACTCTTGAGCCACTTGTTTTAAGTGACAAACCAGAAGAGGCGAGTGTAACAATGTGTAATCGTGTTGCACTTACGCAGCTTTTTTTTTTTTTTGTACTCTGCATTTTTTGAATGTACATATGTGTTTAAAAGTGCCTTTCTGAATGTATTTGAGTGACCTTTATTGAGGCTGTGACTCACCTGGTGCTACAAAGAAAACCATTTTTACAGGTATTGACTGCATTTACGGGTTGATTGGTGCAGCTGTAAGTGGCATGTCGTCCTTCCTTACATGACATTATAAACAATGTTGAAAAAAAGGTTATTTGCAACACGTTTGCCTGTGAAAAAAAATGAATAACGTGTTGACCCTTCTCAAGCTGGGTTAACACACTTTTCGCTGTAAATTGTATGTAAGTTGAGTTTTTGCAGAAATAAAAACAGACATTTTTTACGGTTGTTCTAATTGTCATTAGTAAAAAGCACATCAACAGCACTATACACATGTTTTAGGGCTTCTTTATTTTAACAATGAGATTTGCATTCATAAAATGACCTTTCGACCTTTCTAACTAGACACTATAACTATGAACAGATACATACTTGGCCAAACATCTGTTTCGAAGACAAAAAGTCAATGTGGAAAAATGCCTTTCGTCTTGAGTAAATAATGTGTTTGTTCAAGATGAAGTGCTGGGACATCCAGACGAGAATCAGCTTTGTATTAGGGGATGGAGAACAGAGTCCCAGCACAAGGGTGCTCTTGCCTGTGCTGGCTACTATTAAAAGCAGAGTAGAGGTACGCCAGACAGCTTTTACGTTCCACAGCAGAACTATCATATCCAGGTCAACGATTGGTCTCTGGAAAAGTCATAAGGAAACAACTATTTCCATGAAAAGCTGGTCTCCAAGCACCTTTTGTACGCACAGGAGCCTAATAAGGTCATACATATGGGGAAATGCTTGTGTTTATGCAAGAATATTAAAATATCAAAACATAATTCGGGCTTGAAGTATTTCAACAACGAAAACAACTTTCTGAATTCACTACTATACACCACCACAATGAATTTGAATTAAAACATTCAAGACATGATAGAAATGTGTTCTGGGCTTGAGATCAGACTAGGGTATTGGTGAACATTTGATTGTTTTTTTCATCAAAAAGTCTCGAGTGGCTTTTCTAGAAAGATCAGTGTCATTTTCCATCTTTCATCATCAGTTTTGTAGCATTTGATTGAATGTGAACGGCTCTGTGGCAACTAGGTAGCACATCCACAATGGATTGGTTCATGTTTGCTAAGCGCAGTGTGAAAAGGCTTTTATAATCGGGCTCTTGGCAGCCTCCCTGACAAATTCTCATCTTTTTAAGCAATTTTGGAGGGACATCCACTGTAATGTCACTATAATGTGATATTTTCTCAACTTGATGATGCCCGTGTTCCATAATACAGTATATTAAAGGCCTTGGAACTTGTTTTGTACCTTCCCTCTGAATGATTCATTTGTATAATGAGATCCACTTGAAGGTGTGGAAGCTCTCTGTGGGCCAAGGCTTGTGAATTAAGATGCAACTACAAAAATGTCAAGAAACTCCCACTGGAACATCTGAACTTTATTTTGGGGAAATCAGAGGAACTTTAAATGGTGGCAGGTGTGTGCTGACTCCTATTTGACATGAGCTTGAATGTCATTGTTTAATTCTGAACACACCCACATCTCTAGTTATAAGGTGTGCTCACTTGGACAGCCATATTATCTTAGATATATCATTTTCCTGCCCCACAGAAATATGTATTTCTTTCAATTGAAATCTACTGTTGATATGTCACATTAATGGTGGCAAATGGCTGATCTTGGTCTCTCTCCCTTCACAGTCTCTCTCTCTCTCTTTATATATATTTATATATTCTCTCTCTCTCTCTCTCTCTTTATATATATTCATATATATGTATATACATATATCCATCAATCCATTTTCTGATCCACTTGTCCTCACAAGGGTCGCGGGGTGTGCTGGACCCTATTCCAGCTGTCGTCGGGCAGTAAGCGGGGGACACCCTGAACTGGTTTCCAGCCAATTGCAGGGCACACATAGACAAATAACCATACGCACTCACACTCACACCCAGGTACAAGTTAGAGTGTTCCATTAACCTGCACATTTGTTTTTGTAATGTGTGAGGAAACTGGAGTACCCAGAGAAAACCCACGCCGGTATGGGGAGAACATTCGAACTTCACACAGGAAGGCGTGAGCCGGAATTGAACACTGCACCTCTGCACTGTGAGGCCGACGCGCTTACCAATCGACCACCGGGCTGCCCACTCCTCTCTCTCTCTCTCTCTCTCTCTCTCTCTCTCTCTCTCTCTCTCTCTCTCTACTGTACCGTATTTTCTGCACAATAAGGTGCTTCAGATTATAAAGTGCAGCTTCAATAAATGGCCTATTTTAATACAGTTTTCACATATGGGGCGCAGTGCATTATCAGGCGCATTGAATAGAAGCTACAATAGTGGCTGCAGTTGCACTCTGCATCCACTAGATAGAGCTACACTAACGAAAGACAATACAATACATTACGATACAGCTTTATTTATATAGAGCCCTCACAACAGCTGCAGCTGTAACAAAGCCACGAAAACTGGTCACAAACACTGACATGAAACATAAATACAAATGGCATCACAAAACAATAAATGAAAGACAAAAGTTATGAAGACAATTGATTCAACAAAAAAGGCACACAAACCTCGTGGGCTCACGTCCACAAGGGGCAAAATATCTTTAGAAATCTCGCTTGTCTGATCCTTCCTTTGTTTAGTCAGAAGTTAACGATGCTTGTGGTATTGTCTTTGTTTCATAATGGCTGTGCAGAGCTCAGACAATAGTTGTCTGTTTGAGTGTGTGTTGGCGAATGCAAATGCCAATCAGTGTCGGGCAGAACCCTTTTAGGTTACAATAGGTTCCTGCTAGTAATCACCACTTGATGCCATAGGAACACTTGCAGGGAAACAGCTCCACGGGGAATATAAAGAGACGGTGACACCATATATAAGGTGCATCAGATTTTGGGGCGTGCTGTTGCCGTTTGGGAAAATGGAATGCTTTTAGGTGCGCCTAATAATGCGGAAAATACGGTATATCCCAAAAACCTGACATTTCAACAGAGGGGTGTAAACATTTTATACCCAGTATAATAAGACAAAATACCTTCCTGTATATTGTGCAACATTGTAACTGTTTCAAGATGTACAGCAGGTGAACAGAAAGCAGCACTCAAGGAACAATTAAAAAAAAAAGTTTTTGAAATCAGTTATTTATTCCAATCTGGCAGATTCAGTATGTCTGCTTTCTAACAGAAAGCAGCACTCAAGGAACAATTAAAAAAAAATGTCTTGAAATCAGTTTGTTATTCCAATCTGGCAGATTCAGTATGCTTTCCGGGTGTAAACATTTTATACCCAGTATAATAAGACAAAATACCTTCCTGTATATTGTGCAACATTGTAACTGTTTCAAGATGTACAGCAGGTGAACAGAAAGCAGCACTCAAGGAACAATTAAAAAAAAAAGTTTTTGAAATCAGTTATTTATTCCAATCTGGCAGATTCAGTATGTCTGCTTTCTATTCTTTTCAAAAGCTTGTATCAGCTCTATCAAGATATTTGCTAAGGTAGCCGTCACACTAAATATTTTATTTGACTCTTTTCATGTTTGAAATTCCATCATCGAGATTTTGAGTAATGTACAAAATGCCTCAATATTCGCTTCTCAAAAATTTGAGTAGCGAAGTTCATCTTTTCTCTTGAGATTTCTTTGATTTGAGTTTTTCTTGAAACCAAAAGGAAGTTGGCTCGAGTAATACCTCAGCTTCTCAGAAGATTGTTCTACAAATGTTTTAACGGATCAGCAGCACTGCTGTGTTGAGTACTGTTGGGTCTCTTTGCTGTCATCGCTGTCAGACGTGGGCTGCTGGTTGTAATAACTGTTTGAGTTGAACAACATTGCAACCAAGATTGCTCTCAGCAGGAGTCGTGTTCAACATTCTCACTGGATTGAATAGAAAACCAAAATGACACTCTAATACCTTTTCATGGCATGAGTGAATTTTTGTCATTGTGCTGTACCAGGTGGATGAACGTTGTTGTTACCAGTCATTTAAAATAAATTTTTGTTGCTTGCCATTTCCTTGAGGGTGGCATGGTGGTTGACTGGTTAACACATCTGCCTCACAGTGCAGCGGATGCCTCACTTTTATTCACTACAGTATTATTACCAGGAGGCAACAACAAAGACGATGGCAAATGTGATAAACAATCACAATTAATTTTGGAACAGAAGAGAGGGCAGAAATGAACAGAAATCTATATTTGTTCTATTTGTGTTTCAAAATGTGCCCCCGGATTGAAAGTTGTCGGTGCTTCAGTAAATAAGTTCATGCAAAAAGGAATTTATAAATAAATCAATACATAAATAAACTTTCCCAAGAGTTTAGAGTTAAGAGTTAAGTGTTTGGGGTGCAAAAAGCAATGCATTAACAGAGTAAGTTCAGCTCATGAATTCTCCTCATTCAACTCTAAAATGTGGTTATCCTCTGAGAAATTTAGTAAAGATATACAGATAACAAAAACACTCAGTAAAGACCTGGTTGCTGGTAAATGCATCACAGCATTACACAACAAAGATATGATGCAAATAAACCAACTTGGGTTTGGAGCAAATACCTCAATCTCCGGCACCGTGTAACTCGTGGTTATTTCATCCAAGACAATGGATTTGAACTTTTGAGCCAGTATTGGTTTTATAGTCTGCAACTATACTCCTTACTTCTGTCCCACACCTCTGATGAGCAGGCCTTCTCTCCAGTAAGGCTGTTCTGACAAATGGAATATAAGCTTGGCGACATGCCCGCGACAGCAAGGAGACAAAGTTAGCGTCACATTTTGCGACAGAGCGTAGCTTTTTTTGGAAGCCACAGAAGCAGAGATGTCCATTAATTGTTCATGAAAACTGAAGAGGACTGTAAAAATGGCTGAAAAGCGCTCTCATGAATGCTAATGCCGTCACATGTTTGTTCAATGACTAGATCGACAGATGGTCATCGTTAACTCAGCGTGTTGTGCTGCCACCAAGAGATGAGCTGCTAGCGCTATTTAGTTTGGGTCATTGTTTTGGGGGATAAGCTATTGTATATGCATGTGATTTTGGGGCGAGTGCTTTGTATGTGGGTGGCAGGTCTTAGTCTAAGCACTGACAAGCTTTGTTAGTGTTGTCATGGAACATAGTTATTTTGGCCAAAGTGCATTATTGACATGACAATATGGCAGTGAACCAATACATGAGGTCAGTTGTTTCCAAGAAGATGGAAGATGTGTCCAAGAGATTTTTTCTTTGTCGGGGGTGTCACTGGAAAATAACAGTTCAACTATGAGTAATGCCGCAGTTGCACAC